TAAGTGCGCATGTGGCGACGATAGCTGAGAGCCAGGGTGGGATGCGACAGTCAACACCCGCCTTGACTGTGGGACCCCAATACCCGGGGGTGGCGTATTTATACATTAGTTACTATTGTCGTGGCGTATTTATACATTAGTAGCTATTGTCGTGGCGTATATATACATCACTCGCTTTTGTCGTGGCGTATATATACATTAGTAGCTACTGTCGTGGCGTATTTATACATTAGTAGCCATTGTCGTGGCGTATATATACATCACTCGCTTTTGTCGTGGCGTATATATACATTAGTAGCTATTGTCGTGGCGTATTTATACATTAGTTACTATAGTCGTGGCGTATATATACATCACTCGCTTTTGTCGTGGCTTATTTTTACATAAGTAATAATAACCACGGTGCATTTAGACATTAGTAACAATAGCCGGGGCGTATTTATACATCAGTAGCTATTGTCGTGGCGTATTTATACATAAGTAATAATATCCACGGTGCGTTTATACATTAGTAACAAAAGCCGGGCGTATTTATACATCAGTAGCTATTGTCGTGGCGTATTTATACATAAGTAATAATATCCACGGTGCATTTATACATTAGTAACAAAAGCAACGGCTTATATATGCATTAGTAGCTATTGTCACGGTGTATTTATACATTATGAGATATTGTCGTGGCATATGTATACTTTAAACGATATTGTCACTGTTTATTTATACATTACCAGACATTGTCACGGTGTATTTATACATTATCAACTATTGTCACGGTGTATTTATACATTACCAGGTATTGTCGGGGCGTATTTATACATTCCCAGCTATTGTCACGGTGTATTTATACATTATAAACTTAAGCACAGCAATTACAATGGCAGTATGCAATAGAGTGGTGGTACAAACATAAGATGGCAGTGGTAATGTCAAAAAGTTCAGTGATAATAATATTCACCTATCCGCAACAGTGGTCAAGCTTCCGAGATAGGTCAAGGCAGGGAATGATACGTGATCTTCAGAAAACCGCTGGTCTTGATGTTATGTGAGATGAAATGTGAGATCCGATAGGCACGTGCCCGCTCCACTTATATAGTCTTACTAGCTTCCAGCACTTTCCACACAGTGCTAGCTCGGTCCAGTGTCACTGGAACATTACATAATATTCTACGTGTTTCTATAACCCTATCCATGCTGTTCCGGAAGTTTACAGATAATTCTAGCATCTAAATATAATCTACCTCACCACTGCTTACATTAAATATAGGTACATTCCTGACAACCAATCATTGTCCAAATATAATGCAATGAACCTCTACTGAATCCTAGAAACAATGTAATACAGTCACAACTGTAGCAATCAGTGACAATAAATTACATTGAAATATAACAGTATTGGTATTCAGAAGCTATTATCGCGGGGTGTTCATACGTTATTGTCAGTATAGGCGACGGCGTACGTATGCAGCAGTCTATACAGTCGCTTCGTGTTACACTGGTAACAAAAGCCATAGGTTAGCTATACATTTGCAACACATCACGGTTTAGGTAAACGATGAATAATTATGTCAGTAATGTGTTCATTTGTTCGCCACCCTTTTCAGTAATGTGTTCATTTGGTCGCCACTTTTTGACATATTCTCACCGTAATAGAAATAAACAAACAATTTGATTGAATATATGAATGTAGATCACACATTTCCACCATATAGGTCCATTTCCTCACGGCTAGTTATTATGACTCGTTCCTCGTGTATGGTGAAATCCTCAATGAAACTGTGGCAGAAGGTGGCGATCCCAGGGACGGGAAGGTTTTCGCCCTGAAGCTATGGAATCGAACATACCCTGGTAAGTATGGAATGTTTGACACGTCAACTTTCATGCATTTTCCGGGTACGTTTATGGAAAACATATGAAATATATTCACAACAGTTACCTTTACAATGTCATAATACAAGTGGTCCAATGTAGATAAAATATAGTACTTGTATTTCGCATGCCCAAACAACCTATGTAAGGGACCACAATGTCATATATTGGGGTGGTACTAGATGTATATTGTCACTGAAAAAAGAAATTCTCGTGAGATTTTACCCTTAAAAAAAATTGTTCGTTTGAAATGTGCCGTGAAAATATTTCGTTTGTCTCCACAAAATTGCATGTTTCGAAGCAGCGTTCTAAACATATATCACCTGAATGATGAAATGAAACTCTTCTATTGAATTAAAGATGCAATTTCCTGGTTATCTATTTTTTCTGTAAGAGCCAACATTTATTACACCAGGAGTTTAACACCTTTTTTTTATTACGTTTGCTTTAAATGCCATGCGTTTCATCAAAGGAAGGTTTAATGATAAAAATGTGACACTATTTTAAAATACTTTTCTCAAGCATTTTCGCGGACAGTTTGTTTCGATAAAATCCCAACAGAATATGCATTGTATGACTTTCTCGAATAATCTAAGTACTAATTGTAGAACGTTTGATTGTTCTCAGTCCTAACTCTGACACCTAAATTGTATCAATGAATTGTGTGATTGCAGTCTTGTTTTTTTTTTATCCAAAGGTTTAACTGGTCAGTTCACGATCAATGCTGGAGGCTCTCGTGACTCCGAGGTGTATATGCATGACCTTGACCCGGCTACTGGTGCATTCAAGGTATAGCGACCATCTGACTACAAGTCTTTAGGAACATTAGGTCATCTTCCCGAGGCAAGAGAGTTAACTGACTTTAAAAGTCCAGTTTCCACCCTTGCCGAACTAGGCTTGAATTCCTTGGCTCGATCGTAGCGCCACCAGTGGCTATTACGAATAATGTCCTTTCTATGCCTCTCCTATTGACCAATCAGATTCAACCTCTCGTATCACTAGCATTTGCTTCAAACAAAACGGTGGCGCCCAGTCAAGACGATCTGATCGATAATCAAGATCTATGTTGTGATCAAACGAGTCTTACATCGCGAAGTGCATCAAATCACGTGAGCACCTTGATTAAAAACATGAAAAGATATAGAAAATATTTTGTTGACAACGAGTTAGCGGTGCACAAGCTTTGCAAAACCTGCAGTCGACCGAGCTATGCATGACAGTTTACGAACCGGATTTTGATTTCGGTGCGCGATTTTGATTGGACTATGCATAGACTCGTTAGTCCAGCCCAAATGTAACTCCATAATACCAGCCTCGTTCGGCAAGGGTGGAAACTGGACTTTTACAGTCAGTTAACTCACTTGCCTCGGGAAGATGCGGGTAGAATACAGGAGTTGGGTGCACGGGTATTGGCCTAGTGGCAGGACACCTTAAGCCATACAATGTGTTCATTCTGGCTTTGGTGACAAACCTTAACTAAGTAAGCCATGTGTGACAGACAGACAGATTTTTTATTGGAGTCTCACCCCAACAAACGAATCATACAATAATACATTATAATAATTGAGCCATTTCACACGGAATTATGAGCGACTATTTGTTTGTAAAAATGTCCAATGGAATGTATTGTGGAATTAGACAGAGATGTGTGGGCAGACGTAATCTTTAATGTTAGCCCCCTTATAAGGACATGGCGATACCAGCTAAAAACGCGTATGTTTATGAACATGCTTAAATATACCCCCAATCCATGTTAAACGTGTAACTTAATTTTATCTTCATATTGTAATCTTATTGTTGGGGGAAATAAAGAATATCTATCTATCTACGTTTAAACCCCCCGTTACTTTGTTCAAAGTTTTTGATAGTGTAACATGCCGTCAAAAACCTGACGGGACTTTGATGGAATAGGAACTGATCCTATTTCTCGTCTCGATCCTATTCTCTGATCAAAATTTGATGACGTTGATTTAATTAAGCCAATCAGACAGCATGGAACATTTAGAGTCAAGTTAGGATGTTGGAAGAATAAATGATTTGTTTCAACAACGAACAGATATTCTCGGGACCAAATACGCCTATGCTTACCCCGACTCCTCCTTTTCAACATGGCAATACATAAAATACATATGACAACAGCAAAACAATTCTTCGTCAGCCACATCCACCTTGGCAAGATAGTTCTCACCAAAACTTTGACGCCCTGTCAAAAACTTTGATGAGTGTAAACAGTCTAACTGAGACCAAGAAAACTTGGTCCAATGTTTTGGACCAAGTTTTTGATCAAAGTTTTTGATAGTGTAACGGGGGCTTAGGAATCATATCCATACGTAAAACATTAAGTGAACATCGCAAAATAGTAAAACATTAATTATGAAAGTTTATTTATACAACATTGTACATATTTATGGTTTTTTTTTATAGTATATATGCAACCAGGTTTGGGCCGTTAGAAGACACATATCAGGGCTGGTTAGATAAACTGTACTTTTTCCCTATCAGTAAAATTACCGAAGTTATCTCAAAGGTGATGTGTGCGATATGATGCGATGCCCTAATATACATGTCATTATATACATGGCATATATACCTAAATAACGGTTTGTAGATATCCGTGATGATCCGGTTAGAACAGCTCTTCCGCAACCCATGTTTGTCGTAAAAGACGACTATGCTTGTCGTAAGAGGCGACTTACGGGATCGGATTGTCAGGCTCGCTGGCTTGGTTGATGTATGTAATCATATCCCATTTGCGTGGACCAATTCTCATGATATCAATCACTGTATTGTCTGATCCAGACTCGATTATTTACAGACCGCCGTCATACAGCTAGAATATTGCTGAGTGCGGAATCACACAACAAATAAACAAACAGTGTGTAGCACTGAATAATTAAAGTGTGCGTTTTTATTACTAATGACACTATTTTAGACACAATGCCCTGTCAGACATCAATGCCTCTTAAAACGAAATGTTGTTTTTGTCACCAATACGCCAATAACTCGAAAAGCGCCAGATAAGAAATTTAAAAAAAGATCATTGTTTATAAAGTTCTCGACAGTTCTTGGAAAAAAATCCTTAATCTAAATTGTTTAAAAGGAAGCCTAACGGTAAAAGGGTGGCCTGTTTACAGATGGTAGGCCGGTACGCTCGAGCCACAGACACACTGACACTTGTTGACGGAGGAGACATCATCCACTGGCCAGGAACCGGAACTCCACCTCTAGACATTCCTGTGTGTGGCTTCAGGAACGACAAGTGTGAGTCTACAGGTGAGCTCTGAACAGTTAGCACATTTTCAGAACAGCTACTCAAGCTGTAAAGTTCATCAACATGAAACTGTCAGAGGCTAACACAGTGGTTTAGGGTGACTCGTTTAAGGAGGACCACAAGGGAAAGCTTGTTCTGATCATGTAACCAATCAAGACCATTGTCAGTACCGGATAAAATATGTGGTCTCGTATTCACTACGTGGAGCTTTCGACCCGTGAAGATACGGACTAGAATAAGTCTTCAATATCCCATGCTTGCCGTAACAGGCGACTTCTAGTCTATTTACTTGTCGTCAGAGGCGACTGGCGGGATCGGGTGGCCAAGCTTGCTGACTTGGATGATGCATGCCATCATGTCCCAAGTGCATAGACCGATGATTTTGATATCAATCACTGGATTGTCTGGTCCAGACTCGATTATTTACAGACAGCGGTGATATAGCTGGAATATTGCTGAGTGCGGAGTTTAACAACAGATGTGTAGCTATAATTTGTTTGATTTTCTTGTAATTGTTTTTTTGTGTCATATGTACGTGTAGATTATAACTTTAATGTGAATTGGCTTTTGGGTATTGAATGGGTATTGACAGGTGGAAAGAAGATTATCGAGTTACTTTTGTTCAAAAGAAGAACAGTGATCGTAACAGCAATGTTAATCGATGTTCCCACAACACGTGTATAACACGTGTTTAGGGACACGGGTGGTCAGTCTTCTAAGACACCGCAATTCGCTGTACAGAGTTGCGTCCCTTGGACACACCAGAAACCTATGATTGTCGGTTCGAATCTCGATTCGCCCCAATTTCAGTAACATCCCTGTGCCTGTGGGTTTCACTAAAGTGCCATACGTCTGAGTCCTGCATTGCTTAGGGCTTTCCTCTTAAATTAAACGCCATGATGTGACTGGAGTACTGTTCAAGGCCGCGTTATTCCTCACTCGTTCGCTCGCTCTCTCATGAGTAAACCAAACATGTGTTGCATGCCGGTTGTGTACCCATGGTTATTTAGTGACCTCGAGTTTGCATTTGAAAGAATTGAGAAGAAACAGGTCTTATGCATTGGCGGATCAGTCAATACACTGTTGTGCTTTTGCGCTTTACATTACCCTATATGTTTACCGTTACTAACAGCTAAATAACAATGGTTACATAGACATCATGCAACACATGTTATGAATCTGGCTACCTATGAATAGCTTGCCCTGATAATAATAATGAAGACGAGTTATCTATGCACGAGTACGTGCGTGCGTGCGTGCGTGCGTGAGCGACTGAGTGCGTGAGTGAGTGAGTGAGTGAGTGAGTGAGTGAGAAATACGATATCACGAAGCTTGTTGGAATATTCCTACACCCAAAATGGTCTGGATTTCCAGGTTCGGGCTCGAACCCGGTCATTCGACGTCACTAGCCAACGCGTTATCCGTTACCACTTTATCGATTGACTAGGGTCGGTACTGTTATGTCATGAACCGTTATCCTTGTAACCACGCAGTCTCATGTTTCCTTCACACCTGCAGGTGCCAACGACTCACTGACCATCGGACTCTCATCAGCTTTCGGGGTGATTTTGGTCGTCGCCTCTGTCATTGCGTTTGGTATAATATGGTAAGACTAAAACTAGATATGGCTGTTCACCTACGTTCTTTCAACCCCAGTGACATATTAATAAAGTGATGTCACATTTGAATAACTCCGCACATATCCCTGTTGAAAGAAAAAAACGAAGTGTAAATCACTACATCGGTCAACTTTATAACCCATTTAATGAAAAAGGTTATATGATTCGATATAACAGAATATTCAGATGGGGTTTATAAATTGTAACACAATGTATGTTCCTGTTAGTCCCTGTGGAGTTTCGACAACACAATTGTACAGCAATCTACGGTCCAGTAAGTCCTTGTGGAGTTCCTATCGACAACACAATTGTACAGCAATGTAAGTTAAAGTTAGTCCTTGTGGAGTTCCGATCGACAACACAATTGTACAGCAATGTTAGTTAAAGTTAGTCCTTGTGGAGTTCCGATCGACAACACAATTGTACAGCAATGTTAGTTAAAGTTAGTCCTTGTGGAGGTCCGATGGACAACGTAGTTGTACATCAATCTACGGTCCAGTTAGTCCTTGTGGAGTTTCTATCCACAACACAATTGTACAGCAATGTAAGTTAAAGTTAGTCCTTGTGGAGTTCCGATCGACAACGCAATTGTACATCTATCTACGGTCCAGTTAGTCCTTGTGGAGTTCCGATCGACAACACAATTGTACAGCAATCTACGGTCCAGTTAGTCCTTGTGGAGTTCCAATCGACAACGCAATTGTAGAGCAATCTACGGTCCAGTTAGTCCTTGTGGAGTTTCGATTTTGAAAATCTTTTCATGTTTGTAAGCAAGGTGCTCGAATGACTTGATACACTTCGCGAGGTAAGACCAGTTTTATTACAATATAGATCATATTGTATGATTATCGATCAGAGTGTCTTGACTGGGCGCCACCATTTTGTTTGGAGCAAATGCAAGTGATATGAGAAGTGGAATCTGATTGGTCAATAGAAAGGACATAGAAGGGACATAACTCTTAATAGCCACTGGTGGCGCTACGATCGAACCACGAAATTCCCTTGCCTCGGGAAGATGGAATGACATCTGACCAGTGTAGAAGGCGAATGTCAATTTATGCTCATTAATAACAATTAATGAAAGTGATGAAAAATATATGTACCAAGGAAATATGCAAACATGAGCTCCATAACTCACTCTCATTCGTTAAACGGGTAGAGTGAGTGAGTGAGTTATTTGTATCCTGGACTAGCCAACGGGGAAGCAACACATGCTGTCGTTAGATCGTGTGAGATCTTAATGGATCGTGTGGTCGACTCGGTGACTTAGTTGATAGCTGATAGCTGAGTCACTGAACCCTGATCTCGACGGCGTGGGTTATGCTTTTAATATCAATCATTAGATTGTCTTGTTCACAATCGATTATTTACAGACTGCAATCATATAATTTGGACAACGAACAAACAAACAGATCCCACTGATTAAATTTGGTGCCGATTAAAAAAATACCTTGACATAGGTGAGGTGAAATGGGGTTTAACGTCGCGTTCAAGGTTATTGCACTTAAATGGCGTGTGTGTGTGTGTGGCTGCTTGTACTTGTCCGGATTTAGAGTGCTAGCCCATTGAGATACCATGCCGCAGTTTAACATGAATACCCCACTCAGTATACTGACTCCAAGCCGACCAATCCTTGTTTTAGCACCTTAATGCCGAGCACCAGGCAGGATAACAACACGTACCATATTTTTACGTATTTTGGTATGACGCGGCCGGGGATCGAACCCCCGACCTTCAGCTCTCCGTGCGGACGCTCTACCACCAGACCACGGAGGCGGTATACAGCAGAAATATATATTGATATAGCAGATCGCAGCCAACCCATCAGTTTCTCGTCACACAGTCTGTAATCACATGTACTGCAGTCGTTATCCGATTTAATATTTATCGGAGAACAGACCGTAGGAGAACTAATTCTGGAAAATGGGAATCGTGTCTTTCGACCAAATAAATGTCATCTTGAAATAACTAAATAGTACATAACCTATACAGATACAGTTTGTTATAATGACAGGCGTGTTGCCGTGACAATGGTCACATTTAATGCCTCACGCAACAGACTAAATAGCAAACAGGATCCATTTTCCTTGACAGCTCGAAGACAGTTATGCTACTTACTGATACTGATAACTTGGATGCACGAATTTCGCTGCGAAAACGTGTACTGTTAAGATCAATAATATTCAGCAACATATTTTATCAACGAAATATATATTTTTAAATGGGCTTTGTTGTCAATGTATTGAGACCAAAATAATGTTCAGCTTACCATAATAATCAAGAGGTGTAATTAGAAAAGGTGTTGTCTTGTGGATGATGGATGGACCGACGCTGTTCAACACAATCATTATGGTATTGTCTCCCCAATGTATCATTCATTACAGGAGTTCGATATGTTTGTGAGTGAGTGAGTGAGTTGGGTTAAGCGCCGCTTTTAACATTATTCCATATTATATCACGGCGTGTCAGCTTAATGTGGGAGGAAAGCCCGAAGTGATGCAAGTCTCAGACGTGTACCACTTTGGCGAAACCCAAGAGCACAAACCTAGAAACATAATCGGGACGAACCGGGATTCGAACCCACAATCATAGATTTCTGGCGTGCCCAAGGGACGCAACTCTTCACAGCGAATCGCGGCGCCTTAGACGAATGGGCCACCCGTGCCTAGAGTCTGCTTGTCAGTTGACGTATCTAAGTTATCGAGGAATCCAGTGATATGTTTCATTCATGTAATTGATGAATTTGACCGAAATTCATTCCAGCAACTTTTCACAAACCTCCCATTGATCCCCCATGTTGTTTGGTGCCCGTACGCTGATCCTCTCCCCTACCCTTAAATAAATGACGTGTTCCTAAATATTTAAAGGCGCTGGAAAAAGAGCTCCGAGGCGGACATGTGGTGGTGGAAGATCGACATCAACGAGCTTAAGATGACTGACGGCAAGAAAACCGGAAGTTGCATCATGTCCTTCACCTCCAGGGTACCACAATGCATCATTATGATTTCCGATATGCCCATATATGGGCGATACGACAAAATGTGTCGATACATTTCTTTTAAAATTAAGTCATGTCATTTGAAATCACCTGGTTGTTGAACGGGGTCTTTTCTTCAGATGAAAAACTCAATATGTGTAATTTCTAAATTTTATTTGTGATTTTTTTTTATCTACAATGCATTCCTGATATCTCAAAACAATCTTAAGAGCGTTTATTTTGATCAGAGCTGAGGCAGGTTTGAACAGTGTCAGGTTCAGACCAATCTCATTAAAATCAGACCTTAGTTCTCGCTACCGCTAAACAAAGATCTGAGGACATCCCATTACGGGTCACGTCACAACGGCCTTTCATCCGACCAGTCAGAGCGTCGATTACCAGATCATGAAAGTGACAGTCGGAAAGTGATTTCTAATCATGCATCCTCTAAAACGTTAAAACGGGGTATTCCGAACGATAGTTACAGGCTTAACGACTGAATGCATACAATCTAGACCTTATATTAGCCATTCGAGAATGTTCTTTTGTTCAGGTTTCAAATTTTTAAGTGAGAATTTGTCAAAATAGGTTTCGAAGCGTAGTCGCCAATTTGAAATTAGTGCCGTAAACCACGAGAAAGCTGCCTTCTGATTGGTTAATGTCGACTTCTTGTCAGTAATTCCATTGGTCGATCAGAGTTCGCGAAAGGTCGATCTGACGTGACCAGGAATGAGATGTCCTCAGATCTTTGTTTAGCGGCAGTGAGAACTAAGATCTGATTTTAAAGAGATTGGGTTCAGACGGGTAAGGATGACCATTCGGCTGTATATAGCATAAACACGCCTGTATTTGGGAATATATGTTTGCATTAGGATTCAATATCTACGAAATATATAATTTTGTAATTTATTGCCATTATTGTTAATGTATGGAGGCCATGTTCAGTTTGTCTCAGTAATTAATTTTTGCAATAAGAAATGGTGATGTTTCATGAATTATGCGGGGATGAACATAATACCAATTGATCCATTTCGGTGTAACACAATCAGTATGATATTGTTTTCCGATTTTATCTTTCACTACATTATTTTGGGATGTAAAATGATAAAACGACAAAAAACATCATAACCGTTTTGGAATGTTTTGAGAAAGTATATTAATATCTACTTCGTCTGTTTATACGACATAGTGTTGATTATATGTTCAAGCGTATAGGCTCCATCTGAAGAACATAGGTTCTGTCTGTAATATCTAGGTTTATATCTAACTTTATGTGATTTTGCATACCCTGTATAGTTACAAAGATTTTTTTTGCTTTGTTTTTGTCAGATCAGTATACTTACAGCGAAGGATGACACGCCGTTCATGGACTATATGACCGACACAGCTGTCTACAAGGTGGGTGAATTTTATACTATGGGGTGATATTCTGGGGTGGGTGGGGGTACCGGATTGGGATTAAAAAATAAAAAATAAAAAAATACATAGGAGTAGATAAAGATAGTATTAGTATTAACTTCTTGCAATGTGACGGAACAGTGGGGTTAAAGAATCCTAAATAAAGAAATGAGATAAAAATTACGAATGCCACTTTGGTAGCAAAATTGTATTTTTTAAAATAGAAATTTAGAGTTTATTTCTCGTTATTTCAATTATTTAATATTTTCTTTCTCGAAATTTCGAGGCTTTTTCACGTTACTTCTTATTTTCTCGTTATTTCAGTTTTATTTTAAAAACTTGAAATTTCGATTTGTTTCTCGTAGCTTCGATTTTCAACCGTAATTTGTTAAAATATAAACGAAATTACGAGAAAAAATAAACAAATAAGTGAATTAAAGAAGAATTCTGATTATGCTGCCAAAGTGGCACCATTAGGCCTTTGTAAATAATAACCACGTAAGTTTCGTGGGGAAAGTTCAAGGGTTATTTTGCAGGATATATTACTCAATCAAAATTGCACACTGTGATATCACTTATAGTCATCACCGGGTTGCAAACCAACTTCAGATCAGTAAGGATAAACAACGCATGCGTTTGACAACATCAGTATCAATCATGACGTGACCCTATTTTCATTTCCTGTTGATACGTATCCCTATGGCACGAGCCACGTGAGAATCTTGACTCCGTTCCACAAAGCGAAAGTAGCGCTAAGACGATCGTAACTCCCAAACTTTACCGTAGGCTTACAACAGTAGTAGCTCTGTGATCGCTCTGAGGGCCGGGGGCCAGGTTACGATTTTGCCCACAGAAGGCTAGTATGCTGGTCGAAACAAATGACACACAACTAGCCCTATGGATTGAAGTTGTATTAAGGCCAGGGAAGTAAGGTGAGGTGAAATGGGATTTAACGCGTCCAAGATTATTGCACTTACATGGTGACATGCATGCACGTGTGTGTGTTTGTGTGTGTGTGTGGCTGCTTGTACTAGCCCGGACTGATGCCGATTTATACTGCTAGCCCACTGAGATACCATGCCGCAGTTTAACATGAATACCCCACTCAGACACAGTAGCCGACCAGTCTTGTTTTAGCCCCTTAATGCCGAGCACCAGAAAGGGTAACAACAAGTACCATCTTTTAACGTCTTTTGGTATGACGCGGCCGGGGATCGAACCCCCGGACCTTCCGCTCTCCGGGCGGACGCTCTACCACTAGATCACGGAGGCGGGCCAGTGTAGTAAGGCCATGTGGGTTCCGGTAAGAATAGGTCCTCAGCAACCCATTCTGGTCGTAAGGAGGCGACTAAATGGATCTGCTGGTCAGACTCGGTGACCTGGTTGACGCGTGGCTTCGTACCCCGATGGCGTGCATCGTGGTTCATACTATCAATCACTGGTTTGTTTGGATTGTCTGGTTACTTACAGGCTCCAGCCATGTGAGAAAATGGATATTGTTGGGTGCGACGTAAAACAACAGCCACACACACACAAACACTCTAAACTGCATGAAATTAAAAGCATTCCCAGTTTCCATCATGCATGTCATTGCCCTACTGTATTTGTTACAGGGTCAGGTCGTCCGACTTCGAAAACTGACACTGAAAAATCAAACCTTCAACAGATCCATACTCTCTGAGTTCAAACAGGTAATGTATAGCAGTACGGAAAGTACGAAAGCCTAATGGTGCCACTTTGGTAGCATATATATTTATAAACATAAACATAAATAAAAATGAGTATATTTTAAAGACAAAATTGCTCGTTAGTCTCTGAAAATATATTTTATAGAAACAAACAACTGCATTTAAATTGAAAAGGAGCCCCAGTGAGATTGGAGACAACCTGTGGAAAATCTAGACTTGCTTCATTTAGTGCCATAGCCATACAGTAAGGGCTGGGTGGAAGGTAGACTAATACGGTTCAGGGACTGTGAGACAGACTAGTCTGACGCAGTCATGGTTGATCCGTACGCCAATGTCGAGGGTCGTTGCTCACAAAATCTATATCTAATCCAGATTCGATCGTTTGATTATGTTCAGACCGCCATATGTTGCATGAATATTGCCGACTCTAGCGTTACACGGCAAACACATCGGCAACACATTTTCTCTTTGATGGTTCCCTGAACTGGAAAATCTTTACATACAGAAAATTCAGATTTACCTCTTTCAATTTAAATATGGAAACATGTTTGAGAGTGTTTAACACCGACTTGCTAAACTAACCAAATTGCACGCACGTATTTTTAACCCGTGAAGATCCGGGTTAGAATTGTTCTTCAGCAATCCATGCTTGTCGTAAGAGGCGACTAACGGGATCGGGTGGTCAGACTCGTTGATTTCGGTGATGCATATCATCGTATCCCAACTGCGTAGATCTATGATCATGATGTCAGTCACTAGATTGCTTGGTCCAGGCTCGAATGTTTACAGACCGCCTTCATTTAGCCGGAATAGTGCCGAGTGCGGCGTTAAACAACAGACAATGTATTTTGAATATGCTTGATTTCTATGTTTTTACATATTCTTACATATCTGTGTGTTATCCGTTTAAACGATGTCGATGTTCTTGGGTACTTATGGCATAACGAAGATCAGCCTGTCGTCCTAATATACGAGATTATGTTTCCTTAATACATATTATTGCCATGCTGAGATATAAACTATAATAAGGATGGAATAAAGATACATCGATGTTCTCATTACAATGCTAATGGAAAGCCGTTACTGTGACTACAAAGTTATGAAAACACAACGTAATTAACGTAAGTGTTTTTTGTGATGGGTCCATTAATGAATAATGCAGTACATTTCGTAATATGGTCGATGTTTAGTCAATGACTCGACAGTTAATTATAGGTAATTCTTAAAGTGCAGTTGGATGAGAGGTCAATCACATGACTGCGAAACTGATGTTCATAAGTGTATGAACAAGACATTTTGACGTTCATACGTTTTTCACGACATTGGAAACCCCTGGGAATTCCCTGGCAAGAATAATAACAGAAGCGTTGTTTTTAATCATTTTGACCCTTTAATCTTGAACTTTGCGTTTTTAGCATACAAAAGGATAAGTCAGGGAGTTAACTGTGTGTCTGTTCAAGAATATCCTCGCTACGAACCATCCTAGTGAACAAAACGAAGATTTGCACACTTAAACTATGGATTCCATCCTAATCTTGACAGTTACAGTCCACAGCAAAGTATAAATCTAGTCAAGACGATCTGATCGATAATCAATGTTGTGATTAAACGGGTCTTACATCGCGAATCGCATCAAATCACGTGAGCACCTTGATTAAAAACATGAAAAGATTTGAGAAATATGTGTTGACAACGAGTTAGCGGTGCACATGCTTGCAAATCCTGCAGTCGACCAACATCTGCATCACAGTTGACGAACAGGATTTCGATTTCGTTGCGCGATTTTGATTGGACTATGTAAAAACTCGTTAGTCCAGCCAAAATGTAACTCTAAAATACCAGCCTGGTTCGGCAAGTGTAGAAACTGGCCTTTTACAGTCAGTTAACTCCCTTGCCTCGGGAAGATGCTGATATATAAGTTTGGCACATTTTTCTTCCAAGTGAAGAGCGAGGAAGAACTTAAAACACAGCTTTACAGGAGAAACACTTTCTATTTTTCCCAACCGAGAGTACCAACAAACTCAACTGGGCCAACATTGAACTCGGGTCTTTCATACATGCAGTTGTCAAGCATGTCATTTTATTGATAACAGGTGAGGTGAGGTGAAATTGGGTTTAACGCCGCGTCCAAGATTATTGCACTTATATAGCGACGTGCATGCACGTGTATGTGGCTGCTTGTACTAGTCCGGACTGATGCCGATTTATAGTGCTAGCCCACTGAGATACCATACCACAGTTTAACATGAATACCCCACTCAGACACAGTATACTGAATCCGAGCCGACCAGTCCTTGTTCTAGCCCCTTAATGCCGAGCGCCAGGCAGGGTAACAACAAGTACCATCTTTTAACGTTTTTCGGTACCTTCCGCTCTCCGGGCGGACGCTCTACCACTAGACCACGGAGGCGGTCTATTGATAACAAAGTAAGCTTTATATGACATGTTTATTTTGTCAATAATGACTGACGGATTTAAGCGACCACGTCTTTACCCGAGAAACATTTCCTTCTCTCAGCCAAATATCATACTCAAAATTCCTTACCGTATTAAATAAACCTCCTAACTGTTGGTGTTTCAGCTGCGCGATCTGAACCAAGGCAACCTAGTAAGGGTGATAGGAGCCTGTCTGGATGACACGCCCAAGTACCTGGTGACCGAGTTTTGTTCGAAGGGGACATTACAGGTAAACAGCGACAGCCATACACACTGCTGTATTTCGTTGTCCACCGAACTCGAGAGGGACATGGTTTAATGTACCCTCTATGTTAGTTCATGTCCCCCTTGTCCTTCGGCCTCTCAACGAGTGGCCGGTGGACGACGAATGTAGCTTACATCCCACCCAATTTTATTTCAGGCTGGTTTCATGCGTCCATGCTTTGGTCCGGATCGGTAAAAATACCACAGTTAGGCATTTCTAGCAGACGACAGAAAACAAACTTATAGCTATTCCCCCTAGATATATTTCATTCGGAAAATATCGTAAATATGCGGAGAATGCGTCTTACATAATTAATCCGAGATAAAAAAAATGCGGTTGGTATGTTGCAAATGTAATGCCAACAGTTCGTCAATTCGAGCGGGGTACATTGAAAATAATAGAATGGGTCTCAGCCAATCAGAGTCCAATAGGTTACGTTTAAGGTAAGATAATTATTATTGGAGGGTGTGTATTATTTACAAGGCTACCCTTGTCACAATAAACAAACAACGGTGCATATTTGTTGAATGGTGATTAGCTTAGTTTTACTTAATGGGATGATGTTTTCTGAAACATATTCTGTTTTGTTCTTAAAGTGAAATAATGTAATATAAAATAGCATATCTGAAAGTAGTTAGTATTGCTGATGCATTGTAGATATCAGTGTTATTTAAGATAAAACATACTCCCTGATCTATCTTATCTGTTATTGCCATGCAGCTACAATGTGTATTGTTATGCCTCTATTGAGCATCTTGCAACTTCATTGGTTAATCCGTATCACGTGACGAAACAATACATTCCATGTGGACCCCGAATGTGACTGACACTGACCTCGAATATTGGCTCGTCACATGGTCAAAATTGACCTGTCACGTGAGGAATATTGACTCGTCTGCTAGAAAACAAGATGGTGTCTGGTACGAACATTTCACGGTTCGCATCTAAGTTTAATATTGTAATGAAACAGGACGGTTTTAAAGATTTCATAAACTTTAAAGTGATTGTTCTTGACGGGGTCAATGTGCGAAAACAAGGACTCTCGGACAAGATCCCCGCCGGCGGCTAGACCACCTGAGGGATCTGGTCCTCGGGTCTTTGTTTTAAACTTTTAGAGTAAGTATTTGTGTACTACAAACTCAATATACATGAACAGATCCACTAATGGCTCTCAATATCATAATGAATAGCGTTAATACCCAACATGCAACCATGGAATTCTATCAGTTGCCCCATTAGAGGATTGATGGTTGACAATGGAACCGATCAGCGTAGTGATGTCCTTTCTGTAAGCCACAGCGTACTGACGCTTTTAGAAGAAATCGTGTTTGTTTTTATTCCCGCTGTTTGCAGGATCTCCTGGGAAACACCAGGCTCCCCCTCGACACACACTTCAAGTTTTCTCTCAGTATTGACGTTGCGCAAGTAAGTGATATCAACGGTCGTTTTCTATACTTTTACCAATAATTCACTTTGGACATAACAATAACGCTTCACGACGCTGCAGCTGCACACAAAGGGATGTAGAGATGCAATGATAACTAATCAACAATATCCTACATGCATGTAACACTACGACAAAAGCTTAGAAATGTCCCTGACGTCATGTTCATGGATCGGGAGGTCCGGTACCGTGACTTTCCTGGTTGTAACCCGACCGGTGTAGGACGCATTGAATATATATATATATACAGCGGTAGTTCCACCCCCCTATCTCTCTCTGTCTCTCTCTGTGACCCCCCCCCCCCCCCCCCTCTCTCTCTCTCTCTCCCAACGAAACACAGCGATATATGATTTGCGCGTGTGCATTTTAGCGTCTCTCAATGTTGATTAGTCAAATAACCCTCGTACGTAAATTTTCTAAAATAAGTCGCTGACGTTTTCTCAGGGGATGGCCTATCTTCACAACAGCAACATACACATCCACGGCCGCCTCAACAGCGCCACCTGCCTCATCGACAACAGGTTCTCCGTCAAGCTCGCTGATGTTGGTGTCCCTTGCATTTTTGACAAGCTGGTTGTTGACCAACAAACACAAGAGCATAAATTGGGTAAAAGCCGATGTCTTTGCATCACAGTTTTAACGCATATGGATTTCCTAAATCCATAATGGCAGATTCAGATTAAATGAGGCATTGTTACCTCCCTGGGACGTATACAACCTAAGCTGCCTTGTCAGGCGCTGGAAGGTTAACAGGTCACCTCAATGTCTCATCCTACCCATTTTACTGATGTGAACAGAAGCAAATTTCGAAACAAAGTCAGTTACCTTATGAGGTGAGGTGAGGTGAAATTGGGTTTAACGTCGCGTCCAAGATTATTGAATGTACGTGTATGTGTTTGTGTGGCTGCTTGTACTAGTCCGGACTGATGCCGATTTATAGTGCTAGCTCACTGAGATACCATGCCGCAGTTTAACATGGATACCCCACTCAGACACAGTATACTGACTCCGAGCCGACCAGTCCTTGTTTTAGCCCCTTAATGCTGAGCGCCAGACAGGGTAACAACAAGTACCATCTTTTAACGTCTTTTGGTATGACGCGGCCGGGGATCGAACCCCGGACCTTCCGCTCTCCGGGCGGACGCTCTACCACTAGACCACGGAGGCGGTCCAGTTTACCTTATGAGACACCCCATGTGCTACGTGTGCCTCAGATACATGTTATTAGTACATTCGGCTTGCCTTTGGGATTTGTATCAAGATTCAGCTACAGCTACAAAACCAGATATTTGTTTTATCTAAAATTATTAAACTGAATTATTTTTTTTGAAAAAAAGGACACCTTACAACAATGTAATTTATGTGACAGGTAATTTCTTTTAACATTCTGTAGCCTAAGTTTCAAGTATTCGAAACCATCCCCCGTTTACTCCCCTAACCAGTACGTTTCTGCATGTCTAGAATGCCTGTGGAAGGCTCCGGAGGTGCTGCGAGACACTAAGAGCAAGGGGAGCCAACCCGGAGACGTGTACAGCTTCGGGATCATCCTGCAAGAAATCATCACACGGGAAGCGCCATTCTTTGAGGAGACAGACACTATAGGCGTGGATGGTAAGAACGACAGACCCGTAGCAGCATCTATAGTACTTCCGGGTTGACAAACATTTGCGGAAAACCACTCTCTATAGACGATAGCTGCTTCGAACGCTTATAAACATGATATGAACGATGGGCCCATGGGTAGACAATCTGGAAACTTGTAAATTGGGAAGAATCTTTTTGAACCGCCTGAATTAACAGGGTTGGTTGGTTGGTTGGTTTGTTGTTTTACGCCGCACTCAGCAATATTCCAGCTATATGACGGCGGTCTGTAAATAATCGAGCCTGGACCAGACAATCCAGTGATTAATATCATGAGCATCGATCCACGAAATTGGGATCGATGACATGCATCAACCAAGTCAGCGAGCCTGACCACCCGATCCCGTTAGTCGCCTTTTACGATAAGCACAGTCGCCTTTTACGGCAAGCATGGGTTGCTGAAGACCTATTCTACCCCGGATCTTGACGGGTCGGATTAACAGGGTGTCATTGTTCTCTTATCTGTCTGTACTTAAAGTATCGGTACATCATTTTGGGGTAAAAAGAGAAGATTTGGAAGTATTTCTGCTGAGGATGTGGATACAATCGTACGGATGTTTAATCTGATGCATTATAGAATGTTTATAACTTGTAAAAGGATGACGAGTATATGTAAAACACCGACCACTATTTTCTGACGATTTTAAGGCGTACTCCACAAAGTAAAGAGAGGAGGTGTGCCGTCATTCCGACCGAAGATTGCTGTGGCGGACAGCATGCGGGATCTAGCCATACTGATGGAGACGTGTTGGGAGGAGGATCCTGGCCGTCGTCCGCACTTCCACGCCATCAGGAAGGCACTCAAGACTCTCGCTGCGTACGTTATCATACTAATAATGTGCATATTTATAATGCGCAACAATCCGCACCCTAAGGCTTTCTCAAAGTAGTACATTATTGTGCGGGTCAATAGGTCTTTTTTTTTTATCTCACTGGGGAATAAACAACACAAGCTGCTTGCAAAGCGTTGAAGGTTAACAGTCACAGTAACATTTTATACTACCGGGTACCCATTCAATGACGGGCGAACAGAGGCATATTTCGAAGAAAGGCACTTGCCTAATGAGACATGTGCTACAGGTGCTTCATTGTGGGCAGGACCACCTACACTCCGCGCCCATTATCTGAAGCACAATATGGTTCCATTGTGATGGTGGGGGTTTCATGAATTTGTTTATCTGCTTCGTTGCTCCTGTTACAAACGAGTGAATGTATGAGTATAGTTTTACGCCGCATTTAGCAATATTCCAGCCATATCATAACATGGGACGCATGAAATGGGCTTCTCAAATTCTTTCAATTTCTGGAATCAAAGTTTGTCAATGGGCGTGATGAGCGAACGCTTTAACCACTAGGCTACTCAACCGTCCTGTGTTACAAGTGGCCATATTTGGTTCAAGACACGATCTTCGTGGCGATTTCTGGGGTACAAAATTTCCCCAGTGAATAATGCTTGTCATAGATGCCCATTGAAGAGAAGGAAACGTCACCTGTGTGGACCATTGCTCTTACTAATTACTCAGTCTCATTACAAATCAGATCTTTGTTATCGCTGCCGCTGAACAAAGATCTGAGGACATCTGATTGACTAACTATTTTGCTGGCAGGAATCTTTGCTGCGTATTGCCTGTAAGGGTGTTGACATACCGACTACAACTGCGTATGGCAGTAAAGAACACGATAGACATACATAAGCAATTTCCAGCACGTGGAGGGTAGGTGGGGGTAGCCTAGAGGTTAAAGTGTTCGTTCGTCACGCCGGAGACCCTGGTTCGACTCCCCACATGGGTACGATGCGTGAAGCCCATTTTCTGGTGTTTTCTGAAATGGTACCCCGATTGACAAACCAATGTCTGAACGATTAGGCTGGTCCACCGACCCAATCTGTATGTGAACATACCATTTGCTGCAATCATTTCGTTGTCTGTCTGAAGGATAGGATCTCGCGCTAAGGCGCTAAGTAATCCCTTTTGGTACCTATCGAGTCAGACACATCTGTGATAGGACGTCACCGGAGGAAGCCAGATATATAATAACAATGTAACCCACCGTTGGAGAATGCCGGATATACGAGTAGTGGCCGGAAGGTTCTATAAGTAACTTCGAAGTATATGTATGTAGTGAACCTGTAACAATTTGAATGTATTACGTACAATACTTCCCATGCTTACAAGCTGCATTTGAACCACATACACAATCAGACAGACATTTTGTACAAGCATCAAAGTGATAAGGTATTCTCTGTTGATGGAATTGGACAAAACTGGCCACCGCGCTGTCATCAAGCATCTCCAAGGGCTAACTCCAACAGGCATCAATGCGGACATGGTGTCAACTTCGGAGGACGATGCTCCTTCCTATGCAACTGTTAAGACTGGGTATGAGAGAGCATCTGAGATGATCCAGGATCAGGAAGGCCACCACTAAAGACAATGTTCATCAAATTCATGATATGATCATCGATGATGCACGAGTAACCACACGCCACAAAGCCAAATATAGTAGGCATCTCTCAAGGGAAAGTTCGGAACAGTATGAGGAACTGGGCATAACAAAGGTTTCAGGACGCCATGGCTTCTGATTCCTAATCAGAAACACACAAGGTTTATCATTTACATCTTTTTGATGCCTACCTTGCTGCTTTTGTTGATATGTAACCATGGGTGAGTCTTGGGTTTGCCACAATCAGCCAGAGACTAAACAGCTGTCAAAGCAGTGGAAACATCGTCTTCCATGAAGAAGGCAAAGTATGTTCCATCAGCTGGCAAATGATGGATTCGGTTTTAAGGTATTCCAACGGAATCTTACTGGGGGAATACCTCCCGAAGTTTCAAACCATTCATAGTCAATATTATGCTACTCCGCTTATAGAATATCAAGGCTAAATGTCAAGGAAAAGCCCACTAAAGGTGTCGTTCTCGAGGCCAATGTCTGGGGATAGTATGATGAATAATATTAAGCAACCAACTCCATCGACCCGTGAAGGTTCAGGGGTAGAATAGGTCTTCAGCAACCCATGCTTGCCGTAAAAGGTGACTATGTTTGTCGTAAAAGGCGACTAACGGGATCGGGTGGTCAGGCTCGCTGACTTGGTTGATACATGTTATCGATCCCAATTTCGTGGATCGATGCTCATGATATTAATCACTGGATTGTCTGGTCCAGACTCGATTATTTACAGACCGCCGTCATATAGCTGGAATATTGCTGAGTGCGGCGTAAAACAACAAACCAACCAACCCTGTTAATCCAGACGGTTCAAAAGGAATCTTCCCTTAGCTGGGAATAGCTGGAATATTGCTGAGTGCGGCGTAAAACAACAAACCAACCAACCAAAACCAACTCCATCAACACAGTCCTTCTAGTTAGTTAGACTCAGACCTGCGCAGCACCCCTAGTATGTATAGTGAATGTAGGGTTGAACTCCCCATTTCAGTCGTTTCGGGGCGAGTGGGAGTCTGATGGACAGTCTCCTCCGTCGTATGGAGCAGTATGCCAACAACCTTGAGAAGCTGGTGGATGAGAAGACCATTGAATTGCAGGAGGAGAAGAAGAAGTCGGAAGAACTCCTCTACCAGATACTGCCAAGGTACGTGACGCTGTGCATCTCGGCAAGGGAGGTTTTAAACCATCATACCAAGTTCCATTGACAATGGGCCCGACGGACGTGTTGTTATCTGTGTCGTTATACAATGTGACATTATATCTTTCACTCGTCTGACCATGCTCTTGAAATCACCTTCAGTTCCATATCTGTAGTTATTATGTAAGGGTTATTAAAAAAAATGTATTCAGAGGCTGAAGACATGAACGTTCTGGCTGAGACCCTCAAGGACATGGGTGAAAAATCAAAGGCTGATAACCCAGATGTTTTGAAACAGTAGATGGCAGAATACTTCTCAGGGAGAATCCATAGCCACATCTCCTCCGCGCATACCTCTTGATCACATAACTATATTACACATCCTGCTTAGGTATCTACTTTCATGGGTGAGACTGGTAAAGGTGAGGTCTGGAGGTAAGAGGTGGTTACATTGCTTGAGAGTAAAGAACACTCCACAGCATTTGTCAATTCTTATAATGAGGTTTCTAAAGGGGAAGGCTGGCAATGTCACTCATTGTGTAGTGCTAGTAACTCGGGAGGTGTTGGCTGTAATGCATACTTAGCGTACTGTGCAGAAAAAGACTTCTCGACCATATGCAGTTACTGTATTCAAGGAATTAACACCACATCTCGATACGTGAGCCAAAACGATTATACTTAAAGTTAATATTAAAAAAGTCCTTATTTGCTCCAGCTTGCATGTCGTTGTTATCGTTACCAGTGATCGTTTTACTTTGTTTTCAGATCAGTAGCAAACAGTCTACGCCAAGGCTTTAGAGTCGATCCCGAGGACTTCGAGAATGTCACCATCTACTTCAGTGACGTCTGCGGCTTCACAACCATCTCCGCCATGTCAACACCCTTCCAGGTAAGTTGCTAATCACTATGTAAACACCCTTTCCAATGAGTTGCTAGTTGGTTTGTCATCACACTTACAGGCGAGTCTCTGGAAGCCATGTCAAAACCCTTGAAGACGATTCACCAGTTGCCATGTCAACACCCTTCCATGTGAGTCGCTAGTCGCCACGCCAACACCCTTCCATGTAAGTCGCTAGTCGCCATGCCAACACCCTTCCATGTGAGTCGCTAGTCGTCAAGTCAACACCCTTCCATGTGAGTTGCTAATCGTCATGTCAAAACCCTTCCATGTGAGTCGCTAGTCGCCATGCCAACACCCTTCCATGTGAGTCGCTAGTTGTTATGTCAACACCCTTCCATGTGAGTCGCTAGTCGTCATGTCAAAACCCTTCCATGTGAGTCGCTAGTCGCCATGCCAACACCCTTCCATGTGAGTCGCTAGTCGTCAAGTCAACACCCTTCCATGTGAGTTGCTAATCGTCATGTCAACACCCTTTCAAGTGATTCGCTTGTCACAATGTCAACACCCTTCCATGTGAGTCGCTAGTCGCCATGCCAACACCCTTCCATATGAGTCGCTTGTCACAATGTTAACACTCTTCCATAGGAGTCGCTAGTCGCCATGCCAACACCCTTCCATGTGAGTCGCTTGTCACAATGCCAACACCCTTCCATGTGAGTCGCTAGTCGTCATGTCAACACCCTTCCATGTGAGTCGCTTGTCACAATGTTAACACCCTTCCATGTGAGTCGCTAGTCGTCATGTCAACACCCTTCCATAGGAGTCGCTTGTCACAATGTTAACACCCTTCCATGTGAGTCGCTAGTCGTCATGTCAACACCCTTCCATGTAAGTCACTAGTCGCCATGCCAACACCCTTCCATGTGAGTCGCTTGTCGTCATGTCAACACCCTTCCATGTGAGTCGCTAGTCGTCATGTCAACACCCTTCCATGTGAGTCGCTTGTCACAATGTTAACACCCTTCCATGTGAGTCGCTTGTCGCCATGCCAACACCCTTCCATGTGAGTCGCTTGTCACAATGTTAACACCCTTCCATGTGAGTCGCTTGTCACAATGTCAACACCCTTCCATGTGAGTCGCTTGTCACAATGTCAACACCCTTCCATGTGAGTCGCTAGTCGCCATGTCAACACCCTTCCATGTGAGTCGCTAGTCGTCATGTCAACACCCTTCCGTGTAAGTCACTAGTCGCCATGCCAACACCCTTCCATGTGAGTCGCTTGTCACAATGTTAACACCCTCCATGTGAGTCGCCAGTCGCCTTGCCAACACCCTTCAAAGTGAGTCGCATGTCGTCATGTTAACACCCTTCCATGCGAGTCGCTTGTCACAATGTTAACACCCTTCCATGTGAGTCACTAGTCACAGTAGTTCGTCATTAATGGCATTATAGTTTGTAGGTATCAAGTGCACCTTTTCAGTCCTTTTTGTTTGTTTCGTGTGACAGAGGTATGATTCCAGCGACAAAGACTCTGACGTTTACGCTGCGAACGTTGTTGCATAGGGAACTGTGTGATAGGCAGAGTTAAAAAAAACAACTAATATAATGGGATATGTGATATCCTTTCCAGGTGGTTGACCTTCTCAACGATCTCTACACTTGTTTCGATGCCATTATCGACAGATTTGATGTCTATAAGGTGGGTGATAGTTTAGGTCACGGCGGTTTTCCCCAATGTCCTCCTACAACATAACCGCATCAGTGGTCTAGTGGATAGAGCGTCTGCCCGGAGAGCGAAAGGTCGGGGTTCGAGAAAAGGTTGTCCTTTCCGGTACTGTTCGATCGCCTGCAACGTCATACCAAAAGATGTTAACAATTGTACATGTTGTTACCCTTCCTAGTGCTCGGCATTAAGGGGATAAACAAGGACTGGACAACTCGGAATCAGTGTACTGTGTCAGCACTGTAAAACCGGCATTAGTCAGTATAAGCAGACGCTCACATTAACACACTCACTCACTCACTCACACACACACACATACTCACTCACTCACTCACCCCCCCCCCCCCCCCCCCCCCCCCCCCCCCACACACACACACACACACACACACACACAGCACGTCACTATATAAGTGCAATACTTTTGAATGCGACGTTAAACAGCACATCATCTCACTTCCTGTTATATTAAATCATCACCCACTTCTTTAGTTCAATGATGTATAGCCAGTATTTTCCGTACATAGGTAGAAACAATCGGCGATGCCTACATGGTAGTTTCGGGACTTCCACAAAAGAACGGAAATCGACACGTCTCAGAGATTGCCCGGATGTCACTGGCTTTGCTGAAAGAGGTCGACATGTTCAAAATTCGACACTTGCCAGACGAAAGGCTCTTGTTGCGCATTGGCTTGCACTCAGGTATGTTAAATTCGCGATATTTCAGTCCACTCTGTATAAGGTATGAATGTAATAAATATTTCAGACCATTTGATGATGATGGTTGGAACATGAAATTAGTTGCCGAATTATGTTATGGCGCGATCCTTACTGTTTTATTGGCCAAATCTTTTGAGATATACGTTAATAAATCATTGTTGTTAAACTGAGGCACATATTCCTGGACCAATTCAAGTTGAACTTCCTATATGCATCTTTTGTAAGCAGCCTTCGTAAACAATCTGCATCACATATTGTTCCCTCATCAAGTTCTACACGTTATACTTGTTCAAATAACGTACATTTAGAATCATGTATGATAATTTCATATATACTTGGACGTACCAGTATTCATTGTCATTTGTTGGTTGGTTGGTTTGTTGTTTGACGCCGCACTCAGCAATATTCCAGCTATATGACGGCGGTCTGTAAATAATCGAGTCTGGACCAGACAATCCAGTGATTAATATCATGAGCATCGATCCAAGCAATTGGGATCGATGACATGCATCAACCAAGTCAGCGAGCCTGCATTGTTTATTTGTAATAATACACATGTAATGATGCTGCAGTGCTGTTCATAGTCTCATACACGCTTTCCTTATACCTTTCAAATCGACCCTACAGGCAACACTAGAAAATGGTCAGATATTTCTTGACAAGTGTCTTGTAGTAGATCCGAATGGTCTTGTTCTTAAATGATAACCAATCGGTATCTCTTGCATTTAACATCACTTCTAAATCATCTTACCTGGAAAGCGTATGTAATAAACATGTTGTCTCCAGGACCCGTTGTTGCTGGAGTCGTCGGTCTGAAGATGCCCCGGTACTGCCTCTTCGGTGATACAGTAAATACTGCCTCCCGGATGGAATCTCATGGGGAAGGTAACATCTCAATACACCTAGGTGTCACTACACCGTGTCTCCTTTCATCATTTGACCTACGGTTTTTTTGGTTGTTTGTTGTTTAACGCCGCACGCAGCGTTCCGTGTATTTCACAGTGGCATGTAAATAATCGTTTGACTAAAGGTTTGCAAACTTCACAGGACCTTGGCTTGTGCGAACAATCCACAGCAGGTTGTTAGGTCCTGCCAGCCTATCGTCTTTTAATATAAGTAACTTGACCTCTGCCTTAGTCGCTGATTCACGCACCTGCTTCTTTCCACATAATGGTTCTATCAAGGTTTAGCTCCTTGATATTGTGAGCAAAGATCCACGCCATGCGTTAACACCAATCAACCAAGTCACCGTGCAGGACCACCTGATCTATTGGTCCCATCTAGACTAACACTTATTCTCCGAATAGATATTACTTTGATAAAAACAAGCGGCCACATATAATTTGAAAGTAAGATGGGAGATTCAGCCTGAACCTATGGCAAATCTAGACTTGCTTGACAGGTTTCATACATTAGGATGACACCTCCAGGAAGTGACGTCATCGTCCACAAATTGTCCAGGTGTGGTATGTTCTTATGGTTTTTTATTTGCCTTCAAACCTCCGCAGTTTCTTCCGAGTCAAGGAGTCCTTATGAACACAGGAAATGCTTTGCTTGACTAAAGGTTTGCGAACTTCATTCCCCCCCCCCACCCCCCACCCCCGACTGTGCGAACAATCCACAGCAGGTTGATCCAGTGAAATGATCACAGTCACTTACACCCATATCTGAGACCCGTATCATATCAAGGTGATAGACCATGATGTTACTGAACTACTCTTCAAAACGGCCCCTGGGTGTGAATACCTATAATTGTGTCAGGCAACAAACACATACTTTCTTATGCAAATTGTGTCAGTAGCAGGTCTACCGGTGGGGCAGGATATATTAACCCTTTTTCTCGAACGCCTTGGCATCACTGATTTACAGTGATCCATTTATATAGTTTTCACCGCCATTCTGGTTTTTACCCCAAATGGAATCTGTTTCGTCGGATAATTGAGACTGGTTATTCTCTGGTGTTGACTTTTTATATTTATTTGGGTTGAAAGGTTACGACTGTTATAACCTCACACTGGCATAAAGCTGAGGTAGCAGTGAAGCTTAAATATATCGAACGTTGCTCTAATACAAAATACTCTTTTACAGAATCACGAACAGTAAACTACGGTTATAACGAACTCAAAGGGACCACTAATTTTAGTTCGTTATAACCGTAGTTCGTTATAAACATATATACAGCACATATGCAGCAAATAGCTGGGACCCCAAAAAACAGTTCGTTATAACCGCCAGTTCGTTATAAGCGTGTTCGTTATAAACGTAGTTTACTGTATTTGATATCACATACATATGTACTCGAATGAGAGCTATTGGATGCAACAGATGAAAAGACGTAAGGGCGATAATATAATACATTTTTCAAATTTAAGATATATTCAGAGAATATAAATGATATGCTTTCCCTAGTATGCTGATTCATGGATCCAGATTGTATTGGAAATGTGCCCCAGAATTGTGCAAGCAAATCTTTCTCTTCCAGCAGGTATTTTGCAAGGGTACATAAAATCCCCTCTGGAATACGCGGCCTATGTAGTTTGTAATGCAATTTACAAATGGGAGCTGTTGTAGGGAATTATCCTCTGATCAGCATCACTGGTCGTGTGTTTATATTTATAAGGAACGAGAGAGAGAGAGAGAGAGAGAGAGAGAGAGAGAGAGAGAGAGAGAGAGAGAGAGAGAGAGAGAGAGAGAGAGAGAGAGAGAGAGAGAGAGAGAGAGAGAGAGAGAGAGTGGAGTGTTACGCTGTTTACTTGTCATATTTTCGCAATATTACGGCGGGGACACGAGTCATGACCTTCACACTTTGTACATGTAGAGTATCGAACCCTGGTCTCTGCTCGAAAACAACTAGCCTCAATAATTAGGAATAAATATGGTTCTAATGTATCCTTTCAGAACTGAAGATTCACATTAGTGGAAGCACAGCGGGCCTTTTGGGGAGGTTCGACATGTTCAACCTGAAGTCAAGAGGATCTGTTGAGATAAAAGTATATGACCTTCTGCAACGTTTTCTTGTTAGGTTTCCTTTAGACGTCATACCTGACGCTCAGTAACTCAATGTCTGCCACATTGTAGATTTGCCAAGACGCTAGCCAGGAGATTTTTTAATATCAAACTTAATGCACATTATTACCTACGAGGGCAAACATAGCGGGGTTCATAAAAATCATATGTGCCTTATGGTCACACATGTCACGAGACAACAGTGTATTGTTTTCGTCATCCGGACGGCATTGTTGACGTCATTCGAATCTTATTGTGACGTGAGGTCTGAATAACGTTACACTAGAAACGACATCATAGCTCATGAATGTTGACGTCATAGCTCATGAATGTTGACGTCATTCGACAAATTGTGGTACCGCTGCATTTGCGACTTGCTGTCCTCGGTAAACACTAAAATTCGTCTTGTATGTAGACATCTCCTTCGGTAATAAATAGAACGTTATATTCGTGTTCATGTCATACTATGTTTACGACACTCATGCCGAAATCCGGTATCATCAAACCTTATTCCCCTAATGATAAGCCTACAACTTTTAAGTTTTATGTATCACTGCATGCATACATATTGGTACGGCGTTTTTATAATTTTAGGGCAAGGGACTAATGGAGACATACTGGCTGCTCGGAGTGACCAACTGACGCAGTCCCTGATGAACTATTTCGTTGTCTCTGTGCCTAGACTTGTCCTGTAATGCAGCTACTCTATAGATTACCCGTTCACGAATATCCAGGCGACATATGAAACGTACTAGTATTCATATTGAAGGAACATTTTTAAGTGGTGTCTCTCTATCACGATACGCCAACTGCAGCTGGCTATACTGACAAAACTTGCCTAGGAACAAACTGTTATATTTTGTCTAGCAATGGCATCCTATACTTCAAATACAACAGCTTTAGCCTTGAATCAATTGAAACGTCTTGAAATTACCCTGCCCACCAGTAGCTACATACTCTGATGTGTGTGTGCTGTAGCCGTCCACTAACCAGTTGCTACACTCTACTAACCGCCCACCCACTAGTAGCTACACCCTACTAACCGTCAACCCACCAGTAGCTACATACTCTGATGTGTGTGTGTGCTGTAGCCGTCCACTAACCAGTTGCTACACTCTACTAACCGCCCACCCACTAGTAGCTACACCCTACTACTACACCCTACTAACCGTCAAACCACCAGTAGCTACATACTCTGATGTGTGTGTGTGCTGTAGCCGTCCACTAACCAGTTGCTACACTCTACTAACCGCCCACCCACAAGTAGCTACATACTCTGATGTGTGAGTGCTGTAGCCGTCCACTAACCAGTTGCTACACTCTACTAACCGTCCACCCACCAGTAGCTACACGCTACTAACCGTCCACCCACCAGTAGCTACATACGCTGATGTGTGTGTGCTGTAGCCTCCACTAACCACTTGCTACACTCTACTAACCGCCCACCCACTAGTAGCTACACCCTACTAACCGTCCACCCACCAGTAGCTACACGCTACTAACCGTCCACCCACCAGTAGCTACATAGGCTGATGTGTGTGTGCTGTAGCCTCCACTAACCACTTGCTACACTCTACTAACCGTTCACCCACCAGTAGCTACATAGGCTGATGTGTGTGTGCTGTAGCCGTCCACTGATCAGTTGCTACACTCTACTAATCGTCCACCCACTAGTAGCTACATGCTACTAACCGTCCACCCACCAGTAGCTACATACTCTGATGTGTGTGTGTGCTGTAGCCGTCCACTAACCAGTTGCTACACTCTACTAACCGCCCACCCACTAGTAGCTACACCCTACTAACCGTCAAACCACCAGTAGCTACATACTCTGATGTGTGTGTGTGCTGTAGCCGTCCACTAACCAGTTGCTACACTCTACTAACCGCCCACCCACAAGTAGCTACATACTCTGATGTGTGAGTGCTGTAGCCGTCCACTAACCAGTTGCTACACTCTACTAACCGTCCACCCACCAGTAGCTACACGCTACTAACCGTCCACCCACCAGTAGCTACATACGCTGATGTGTGTGTGCTGTAGCCTCCACTAACCACTTGCTACACTCTACTAACCGCCCACCCACTAGTAGCTACACCCTACTAACCGTCCACCCACCGGTAGCTACACGCTACTAACCGTCCACCCACCAGTAGCTACATAGGCTGATGTGTGTGTGCTGTAGCCTCCACTAACCACTTGCTACACTCTACTAACCGTTCACCCACCAGTAGCTACATAGGCTGATGTGTGTGTGCTGTAGCCGTCCACTGATCAGTTGCTACACTCTACTAACCGTCCATCCACTAGTAGCTACATGCTACTAACCGTCAACCCACCAGTAGCTACATACGCTGATGTGTGTGTGCTGTAGCCTCCACTAACCACTTGCTACACTCTACTAACCGTTCACCCACCAGTAGCTACATAGGCTGATGTGTGTGTGCTGTAGCCGTCCACTAACCAGTTGCTACACTCTACTAACCGTCCACCCACCAGTAGCTACATAGGCTGATGTGTGTGTGCTGTAGCCGTCCACTGATCAGTTGCTACACTCTACTAACCGTCCACCCACTAGTAGCTACATGCTACTAACCGTCCACCCACCAGTAGCTACATAGGCTGATGTGTGTGTGCTGTAGCCGTCCACTAACCAGTTGCTACACTCTACTAACCGTCTACCCACCAGTAGCTACATAGGCTGTGTGTGCTGTAACCTTCCACCCACCAGTAGCTACATAGGCTGTGTGTGCTGTAACCGTCCACCCACCAGTAGCTACATAGGCTGATGTGTGTGTGCTGTAACCGTCCACCCACCAGTAACTACATAGGCTGTGTGTGCTGTAACCGTCCACCCACCAGTAACTACATAGGCTGTGTGTGCTGTAACCGTCCACCCACCAGTAGCTACATAGGCTGTGTGTGCTGTAACCGTCCACCCACCAGTAACTACATAGGCTGTGTGTGCTGTAACCGTCCACCCACCAGTAACTACATAGGCTGTGTGTGCTGTAACCGTCCACCCACCAGTAACTACATAGGCTGTGTGTGCTGTAACCGTCCACCCACCAGTAACTACATAGGCTGTGTGTGCTGTAACCGTCCACCCACCAGTAACTACATAGGCTGTGTGTGCTGTAACCGTCCACCCACCAGTAGCTACATAGGCTGATGTGTGTGTGCTGTAACCGTCCACCCACCAGTAACTACATAGGCTGTGTGTGCTGTAACCGTCCACCCACCAGTAGCTACATAGGCTGTGTGTGCTGTAACCGTCCACCCACCAGTAACTACATAGGCTGTGTGTGCTGTAACCGTCCACCCACCAGTAACTACATAGGCTGTGTGTGCTGTAACCGTCCACCCACCAGTAACTACATAGTCTGTGTGTGCTGTAACCGTCCACCCACCAGTAACTACATAGGCTGTGTGTGCTGTAACCGTCCACCCACCAGTAACTACATAGGCTGTGTGTGCTGTAACCGTCCACCCACCAGTAACTACATAGGCTGTGTGTGCTGTAACCGTCCACCCACCAGTAACTACATAGGCTGTGTGTGCTGCAACAGTCCACCCACCAGTAACTACATAGGCTGTGTGTGCTGTAACCGTCCACCCACCAGTAACTACATAGGCTGTGTGTGCTGTAACCGTCCACCCACCAGTAACTACATAGGCTGTGTGTGCTGTAACCGTCCACCCACCAGTAACTACATAGGCTGTGTGTGCTGTAACCGTCCACCCACCAGTAACTACATAGGCTGTGTGTGCTGTAACCGTCCACCCACCAGTAACTACATAGGCTGTGTGTGCTGTAACCGTCCACCCACCAGTAACTACATAGGCTGTGTGTGCTGTAACCGTCCACCCACCAGTAACTACATAGGATGTGTGTGCTGTAACCGTCCACCCACCAGTAACTACATAGGCTGTGTGTGCTGTAACCGTCTACCCACCAGTAGCTACATAGGCTGATGTGTGTGTGCTGTAACCGTCCACCCTCCAGTAGCTACATAGGCTGATGTGTGTGTGCTGTAACCGTCTACCCACCAGTAGCTACATAGGCTGATGTGTGTGTGCTGTAACCGTCCACCCACCAGTAGCTACATAGTCTGTGTGTGCTGTAACCGTCCACCCACCAGTAACTACATAGGCTGTGTGTGCTGTAACCGTCCACCCACCAGTAACTACATAGGCTGTGTGTGCTGTAACCGTCCACCCACCAGTAACTACATAGGCTGTGTGTGCTGTAACCGTCCACCCACCAGTAACTACATAGGCTGTGTGTGCTGCAACAGTCCACCCACCAGTAACTACATAGGCTGTGTGTGCTGTAACCGTCCACCCACCAGTAACTACATAGGCTGTGTGTGCTGTAACCGTCCACCCACCAGTAACTACATAGGCTGTGTGTGCTGTAACCGTCCACCCACCAGTAACTACATAGGCTGTGTGTGCTGTAACCGTCCACCCACCAGTAACTACATAGGCTGTGTGTGCTGTAACCGTCCACCCACCAGTAACTACATAGGCTGTGTGTGCTGTAACCGTCCACCCACCAGTAACTACATAGGCTGTGTGTGCTGTAACCGTCCACCCACCAGTAACTACATAGGCTGTGTGTGCTGTAACCGTCCACCCACCAGTAACTACATAGGCTGTGTGTGCTGTAACCGTCCACCCACCAGTAACTACATAGGCTGTGTGTGCTGTAACCGTCCACCCACCAGTAGCTACATAGGCTGATGTGTGTGTGCTGTAACCGTCCACCCACCAGTAACTACATAGGCTGTGTGTGCTGTAACCGTCCACCCACCAGTAGCTACATAGGCTGTGTGTGCTGTAACCGTCCACCCACCAGTAACTACATAGGCTGTGTGTGCTGTAACCGTCCACCCACCAGTAACTACATAGGCTGTGTGTGCTGTAACCGTCCACCCACCAGTAACTACATAGTCTGTGTGTGCTGTAACCGTCCACCCACCAGTAACTACATAGGCTGTGTGTGCTGTAACCGTCCACCCACCAGTAACTACATAGGCTGTGTGTGCTGTAACCGTCCACCCACCAGTAACTACATAGGCTGTGTGTGCTGTAACCGTCCACCCACCAGTAACTACATAGGCTGTGTGTGCTGCAACAGTCCACCCACCAGTAACTACATAGGCTGTGTGTGCTGTAACCGTCCACCCACCAGTAACTACATAGGCTGTGTGTGCTGTAACCGTCCACCCACCAGTAACTACATAGGCTGTGTGTGCTGTAACCGTCCACCCACCAGTAACTACATAGGCTGTGTGTGCTGTAACCGTCCACCCACCAGTAACTACATAGGCTGTGTGTGCTGTAACCGTCCACCCACCAGTAACTACATAGGCTGTGTGTGCTGTAACCGTCCACCCACCAGTAACTACATAGGCTGTGTGTGCTGTAACCGTCCACCCACCAGTAACTACATAGGCTGTGTGTGCTGTAACCGTCCACCCACCAGTAACTACATAGGCTGTGTGTGCTGTAACCGTCTACCCACCAGTAGCTACATAGGCTGATGTGTGTGTGCTGTAACCGTCCACCCTCCAGTAGCTACATAGGCTGATGTGTGTGTGCTGTAACCGTCTACCCACCAGTAGCTACATAGGCTGATGTGTGTGTGCTGTAACCGTCCACCCACCAGTAGCTACATAGGCTGTGTGTGCTGTAACCGTCTACCCACCAGTAGCTACATAGGCTGATGTGTGTGTGCTGTAACCGTTCACCCACCAGTAGCTACATAGGCTGTGTGTGCTGTAACCGTCCACCCACCAGTAACTACATAGGCTGTGTGTGCTGTAACCGTCCACCCACCAGTAACTACATAGGCTGTGTGTGCTGTAACCGTCCACCCACCAGTAGCTACATAGGCTGTGTGTGCTGTAACCGTCCACCCACCAGTAACTACATAGGCTGTGTGTGCTGTAACCGTCCACCCACCAGTAACTACATAGGCTGTGTGTGCTGTAACCGTCCACCCACCAGTAGCTACATAGGCTGTGTGTGCTGTAACCGTCCACCCACCAGTAACTACATAGGCTGTGTGTGCTGTAACCGTCCACCCACCAGTAGCTACATAGGCTGTGTGTGCTGTAACCGTCCACCCACCAGTAACTACATAGGCTGTGTGTGCTGTAACCGTCCACCCACCAGTAACTACATAGGCTGTGTGTGCTGTAACCGTCCACCCACCAGTAGCTACATAGGCTGTGTGTGCTGTAACCGTCCACCCACCAGTAACTACATAGGCTGTGTGTGCTGTAACCGTCCACCCACCAGTAACTACATAGGCTGTGTGTGCTGTAACCGTCCACCCACCAGTAACTACATAGGCTGTGTGTGCTGTAACCGTCTACCCACCAGTAGCTACATAGGCTGATGTGTGTGTGCTGTAACCGTCCACCCTCCAGTAGCTACATAGGCTGATGTGTGTGTGCTGTAACCGTCTACCCACCAGTAGCTACATAGGCTGATGTGTGTGTGCTGTAACCGTCCACCCACCAGTAGCTACATAGGCTGTGTGTGCTGTAACCGTCTACCCACCAGTAGCTACATAGGCTGATGTGTGTGTGCTGTAACCGTCCACCCACCAGTAGCTACATAGGCTGTGTGTGCTGTAACCGTCCACCCACCAGTAACTACATAGGCTGTGTGTGCTGTAACCGTCCACTAACCAGAAGGTACACATATAATGATGTTGATGTGTCTACATCTAGTAACTGACTGTGTGCCCTGTAATAATTATTATGACACATATATCAATATAGGCTGTCATCATTCCGATATCATCCACGAGGTAATGACATTCTTGTATTTAAGGTATATGGATGAAAATAAGATGTCTTATATATGACACATGCATCGTGACGGTTCACTTAGCGCACATGAATTATGACACCGAACGTCAATACTGACACATGCTAATTATACAGTCCGATTGGAGTCCTGCAGCATTTGACACTGTTATACAAAGGCTGGTCAAAAGGTTCTAAGCCTGACTAACTTTCAAAGTCAAAAGACGATCACTGGTGCCTTCTATGTAGATTTTCTTTGTCGCCTGAGAAATTCTATCAAAGAAATGTGGATTCGAAGAGCTTCCTCACCCTCCATACTCGTCAGACCTGGCACCAAGTGATTTCCACCTGTTTCCTAAACTGAAAGAGCACTATCGTGGAAAGCGCAATGACGACGACGATGACCTCACAGCTGCCGTCTTTGGGTTTTTCAGAGTGGCTTTAGAAAACTTCTTCCTGACTAGAATTGAAAATCTTCACTATCAATATGAGAAGTGTATTGAAATTCAGGGCGATTACGTTGCAAAATAAAATAAAAAAACACTTTCACAATTGTAGGTTGTGTTTGTTAGACTTAGAACATTTTGACCAGGCCTCGTAGGACTTTGAATTTGTTTAATCTTTTAATTGCCATGTCTTAGATATTTTTCAACACGTAAGTGTTGTTTGAACAAACGTATGTCTGCCCGAAGTGCTGGACATTTTCAGATCACATAAATGTTTAGTTCAGCTACTGCCACATGGTGAGTGCACACATAGCAGTATTCATTTCCTGTGATGTCGTGTATTGTGTGTGGTAAGTCGACATTGTTACCTTTGTCTGGATCAATATCGTCATTGACTGATCCGTTATGCGTATACAGTGAAACCTCGTTAATCCAGACTCCTGTCATCCGGGCAATATATCGCAGCCATCATTCGTTAAATCGGACAGTTGTTTGTCTGAATGAACTTTAAGAGATGCAGTTCGGAGTAACAAGGTTTCACGAAACCTTTTATTTCTGGAAAATTCAAGTTGCAATGTTTTATCTAAATATAAATAATAGCTCACCAACAACGGCTACAAATATACCATACATTTAAAAAAAAATTAAATATGGATTTTGTAAGCCCATACCACATTTTTCTTTAAATCACCATGTCTTGTCTCAACCTTTTTCTAAAGTGAAATAAATGTGTTTGAAGATGTCACGGAGCTTTTGTTTTTGTCAGACAGTGGAAATGTATATTTTTAGAAAGCGGTAAAGTGAAAGCAAAAAAACCTCTCTCCATAATTATACGAAATATCTGCTGAAAGCAGAGACCCTATCAACGATTCCGACTGTCATGATAAGCGACAAACCCCTTTTCACAGCCACAAGAAATCTCTGCTCACAGCGCAGTCCATTGTACGATTCCGGCTAACCACGAGCATGTGTTTTTGAATCTCTTTCAAATAGTGATGATACCAGGTGTTCTCGAAAGGTAACCGGATCCTGCCCCACTGGTGGCACCCGTCACACACACATGCAAAAGCAAGTCAATTATTCACATGAACAAGACGGGAAAATATGTCAAAATAGGGAATTGCATCGGACATCATTTTTGTCACTGATGCGTCAAATGTGGAAACACATTAGCATGTGTTTATGAAAAACTGTTATGCATCAGTTGTTGATGCCAGGTGTTCGCGAAAAGGTGAGTGTATTCGTGGGTATCCGTCACTCATTGCCTGAAGGGGTGGAATAGGTCTTCAGCAACCCATGCTTGCCGTAAAAGGCGACTATACTTGTCGTAAGAGGCGACTAACGGGATCGGGTGGTGAAGCTCGCTGACTTGGTTCATGCATGTCATCGTATTGCGTAGATCGATGCTCATGATGTCAATCACTGGATTGTGTGGACCAGACTCGATTATTTACAGTCCGCAGTCATATAGCTGGGATATTGCTGAGTGCAGCGTTAAACAACAAACAAACAAACAAACAAACATTGCCTGAATGTTTGAACACAAGGTTGTGTTATCATGACCTCGGTGCATATGTACTAGGTTATCCTGCGTCCGTATCCACGCATCGCTTTACTTATGCTGGAATTAGTATGGATGGTTTCAGTCTCATATGTATCGATCGATGGAAATGGTCAGTAAATCAATTAATTGTTCTCATGCCTTTCAGCTCGTGACAAAACGTATTAAGTCGCGATAGCAGAAAAATGACACGGAGAAAGTAATCATCTAAAAGAGTTATTGTCAAAATTATATTTTGTGGTCATATATTCTTCTGTGGCATAAACTGCAGGTTTCGTTCTCATGAATATGGAAAGGGGATTTGTGGCTGTGGCTGGCTGTGGCTGCTCCGGGCCGACCAATCCTTTTTTAATTCCCATAAGACCGAACGCCATGCAAGGTAACAACAAGTACCATCTTTCATTGGTATGACGCGAAAGTGGAGCGTACAACTGACCTTCAACTCTCCGGGCAGGCTCTCTATCTACGGAGTCACTGCATAACACAACAGCAACTTTCCGGCATAAAATAAATGACACATATCGATGACATTGATAACTTCCCTGAAAGTCGCTTGCTACTCTGATTGACGAAACATACTTATGAAGTATTCACACATTGATACCAGTATATAGTTCTAGAGATAGTAGGTCCATAGTATTCATGTGCACTTTTGATTTAACTCAGCATCTACAGCATCCCAATAATACAAATTGAAAATAGGGAAACAAATGGTGTTTTGAAACAGTGACGTGCGAATTAGTAGAAACACGTTATTTGTATCTGTCTACACATGCGCCTCAACACACTGATGACGATTGGGGTTTATTCCAATACATTGCTGTGTCTACCGACCGTCTCCGTGGTGTAGTGGTAGAGCGTTCGCCCGGAGAGTGGAAGGTCCGGGGTTCGATCCCCGGCCGCGTCATCCCAAAAGACGTTAAAAGATGGCACTTATTGTTGCCCTGTCTAGCGCTCGGCATAACGGGGCTTAAACTAGGACTGGTCGGCTCGGAGTCAGTATACTGTGTCTGAGTGGGGTATTCAAGTTAAACTGCGGCATGGTATCTCAGTGTGCTAGCACTATACATCGGTATTAGTCCGGACTAGTACAAGCAGCCACACACGTGCATGCACGTCGCTATGTAAGTGCACTAATCATTGACGCCACGTTAAACCCCATTTCACCTCACCTCATCTGTGTTTACTGTTGTTTGGAATGAATGACTGAACAGTCAAATTGCCCATGCAAAATTATATTCCTAAACAAAAGTGAATACTTTTATCGTTTAACTCTTATTTGCCCTTGTTTCGATCACATGAGACCGGCCTCGTGGCCTAATGGATAAGGTGACTGCCCGAGAGCGGAAGGCCGGTGGTTCAATCCCCGGATGCGTCACACCGAAAGACGGTAAAAGGGGTAACTTGTTTTTACCCTGCCTGGTGTTCGGCATTAAGAGGATAACACAAAGATTAGACGGCCCGGAGTCAGTATGCTATGTCTGTAAAACAGGGCCATGGTGTCTCAGTGGTCTAGCACCTGTTCCGGACTAGTACAAGACACATTGTATAGTTTCAGTGTGCCCGTTCCATGCCGGACCGCCTCCGTGGTCTAGTGGTGGAGCGGCCGCCCGGAGAGCGGAAGGCCTGGGTTCGATCCCCTGCTGCGCCATACTAAAAGACGTTAAAAGATGGTACTTGTTGTTACTCTGCCTGGAAATCGGCATGAAGGGGCTAAAACAAGGACTTGTCGATTTGGAGTAAGTATACTGTGTCTGAGTGCGGTATTCATGTTAAACTGCGGCATGGTATCTCAGTGGGCTAGCACTATAAAATCGGCATCAGACCGGACTTGAACACGCAGACCCAAATACACACACACACACACGTACCCACACACGAACCCACACACGTACCCACACACGTACATGCACTTCGCTATATAAGTGCAATAATCTTGGACGTGACGTTAAACCCAATTTCACCTTACCTCACAGTTCCATTCCATACCTTTCATCTCATCTCAAACTTACACACCAACAATTCACACTTACCTTATATAATGTTTTTAAAAGGATTTCCTAGCGGTTGAACCGTTAGCATCACACAAAATATATTAATATAATTCAAACGTGTCTTTACTTGTTTGACTGTGTATATGAAGACAGAGGGCACACGGTAGAACAGATAATTATAAGGTGGCGATAAACAGCACAGACGGTCAGCTGGCTTCTATACCTTCTATCTGAAGTAACGGTAAACATGTTCCTGGAATGGTTCGGTAAGTTTAAAATATGCTTGAATGTTTAAGTAATTATAAAAACATGCTGCACGTACTTCTAGTTATTTATGTAATCAGCGTCACTAGTGAATATGGGATCCTTACTGTGTATATTAATGGGATTAATAATACATGATCGGTCGCTCTGCCATAATGCCATTTGAGAAAGTAGACACATATGGTACTTGTATTCTTTGAATTCAGTATGCCAGGGCCCCGTTCCGAAAGCGGTCGTAGCGCTACGACTCCCGTAAGCCTATGGTAATGTATGGGAGTTACGATCACCTAAGCGCCAAGGTCGCTTCGTGGAACGGGACCCCGGTATGTGTTAACGGTTTAGACATGTAGATGTGGAGAGATTAGATAAGACCTATAATTTAACTGACGTGTGCTTTTGGAGTGTAACCACACGGCATGGCCCTGTGAATGAAGCTGTTTTATGTGGTATGTGCCTTCAAGGGTGTGGCTGAAGTAATGCACTCACATCATCGTTATATATATATATATATACAAAAATGAGGTAAATGTTCACTCGGTGTACATGTAATATATAATAAAATAATAAAGTCCACGTTAGTCTATCATCTTCTTTATATCTTCATACATAGTACTTTCGCTGTCTCATGACAGCTCTTCAGTGTAACTGACAATGACATATAATGACGTCATACTTATGATGACGTCATAAATTATAACTGTGACGTCATAATGTATTTACACACTCCAGCGACGACACCAAGTGTGTAAATACATTATGACGTCATCATAAGATGATGGACTAACGTGGACTTTATTATTTTATTATATATATATATATATACACACACACACACACACACACACACACACACACACACAAGTGATTTCATCAGGTGTAAACTGCGGCATGGTATCTCAGTGGGCTTGCATCAGGTGTATAAGTATTAAATATACAAAAAATACCAGAGTCCAGATGTTAGTGCTTGTCAAAACCTTATCCACGGAGGATCTTTCGCCGTTCAACGGCTCTTCATCTTGATATATATACTGGAAACATTGAGGATTATGAAATATGTTAATATGTCGTACACTTATAAGAAACTTAGTCTTCATTTAAAAAATACATCCCCCAAAATATGCATGATCCCTAATTTTTTTGGATCTGTATATGATGGCGAAAACATCTTCCATCCCGGACCTCCACCATACATTAGATGTAATAGAACTCAATACATAGGGATGAGTTTCAGTAATCGTTTCTTTCAAGTCGGCCACCTCATCAAAATATCGGGCTCCCTATTTGAATTGGACAACCGCTGCTCATTGACTTCGCAAACACCCAGTTCGCGTTTAATTTTGAAAGGATGGAATGAAGATTTTCTTACTATTTTATCAGTGTGAAATTATGTTGAATTTAGTTGAGTGCTAAGTTTAACATTTTAAATTTAACTTAACACCGTCAAGAATATAGGTATCATATACTTTAATAAACTTTACAGCCGTCACTGTTTTAGTATTGATCGAAAAATGTAGGTAAGTGACGTAAGCTGAGGGGGGAAAGGTATACCGTGGTTTTTTTTAATGTAATTGAAAGAACTTGTTAAGTTTGATTATGCTTTTTAACCATCACTCATTCCTGCAACAGTTTGTAAAATTGTAATCTCTGAATAGATAATTTTGTGTGAAAATATATTGATTCAATGGAGTTCACAAAAAAGATTAAAGTTTAAGTCGTGTAGAAGTAATTTTTGTGACAAAGCTCCAGTACAGTTCATTTTTTAAATATAAAATATCGCTAACGTTATATATATAATATTAATATCGATACTACTACTACTACTACTACTACTACTACTACTACTACTACTACTGCTGCTGCTGCTGCTGCTGCTGCTGCTACTACTACTACTACTAATTATAATAATAACCAGGATAATCCAAACCCTCTTTGCTGCATTTTATATTTTATTCTCTAAATAATAATAATAATAATAATAATAATAATAATAATAATAATAATAAAAATAAAAATTATAATATGTGCAGTGTGTTGAAAAGATCAGCAATCCTGCAGAGTCCTTTGCTTGGATGAAATCGTCAGGCCTGAAAAGGGAAACAGAAGGCTTTCTGTTTGCTGCTCAGGACCAGTCACTTCCCACTCGAAACCGTCAATGTGTGATTTTGCATCAAAATGTACATATGAAATGTAGATTATGTAATGAATTTAATGAAACTGTCCAACACATTGTCAGTGGATGCCCAGCTTTGGCACAAACACAGTATTTCAAGCGACATGATGGAGTGGCTCGATCATTTTATTACCGTCTTCGACATACTTATGGTTTTGACACAGAGGTCCACCCATGGTACGACCAGGAATATGTAGAGGGCGTCGTGGAAAATGATAAATACAAAATCCTTTGGAATAGGCCCGTATACAGCCTCAGACATACCCAGACCAACAAACCTGATCTTGTCCTTTTTGATAAATTCAATGAAATCATTTATATCATTGAATATTCTGTCCCTTTTGACAGTTATGTGATTGACAAGATTGAGGAAAAACATGGCAAATATGCAGACCTCGCTTTCGAAATGTCACGCTTGCATCCCAAGTACCAAGTTGTCCAACTCCCCATTGTTCTCGGTGCCTTAGGTTTGGAACCTCCCAATCTGTTGACTGACATTGGGAGAGTACCCGGGTTTGCTACCAGGAATGCAGCCCTTCTGACAATCTGGGTAATGAAGAAGGCTGCAATGTTGGGGAGTCTTCACATTCTCCGAAAAGTTCTGGCTGGGTTTGACTAGGCAGCGCGTCCTGAGAGAAGTCCCATTTGCTGTCTGGGCTGCGTGGAGAGGGGGCAAGGGCCTAACCAGCCTGACTGTGCCAGGACCACGCAAACCCTCTTTGCTGCATTTTTTATTTTAATCTTTAAATGATGATGATAAAATAATAACAATAATAATAATAATAATAATGGAATTCTTTCCTCAAATACTAAGTCCTTTTTCATTTTCAACATTCTGAGCTAGACTAGAATACGAAACGGTGATAAATATAATGACTGTCACACCAGTATTGGTTCTGTTTGCATTTCCTGTCTCATTTAATGCAATAATAAGACTACAAGGCAGGGGTTAGTGTAGGTACGCCCCACACAGTAGGGAGATGATTGGCATTGGTGCCCAGTAACTAGGATTCACGGCAACACACCCAAACCATGGTTTCAAAATTGCTTCCAGAGACGAAAACACAATCATTGCTTTTAAATGAGTCAGTTGCATGTAACATAATACTATGGGACTCCCATGGTTGCAATGAGGAATATGAACCAATACAGCCCTGGTATCAGTAGCCGGCTGTTATCATATTAATAAATTTATATCCATAATGATTATATACCATAATTGGAGGCGCGGTCGATACCATCACTGGAGGCGCGGTCGAAGAAACCGCTATTGTCCAAAAGGTTGTAGGTGAGGTGAAATTGGGGTTTAACGTCGCGTCCAAGATTATTGCACTTATACACGACGTGCATGAACGTGTGTGGGTTGATGTGTGTGTGTGTGGATGTGTGTGTGTGGATGTGTGTGTGTGGATGTGTGTGTGTGTGTGTGTGTGTGTGTGTGTGTGTGTGTGTGTGTGTGTGTGTGTGTGTGTGTGTGTGTGTGTGTGTGTGTGTGTGTGTGTGTGTGTGTGTGTGGCTGTGGCTGTGGCCGCCCCGAGCCGACCGAGTCCGGCCTAATATCCGATTTTATAGTGTGAGCCCACTGAGATACCATGCCGCAGTTTAACATGAATACCCAACTCAGACACAGTATACTGACTCCGAGCCGACCATTCCTTGTTTAGGCCCCTTTATGCCGAACGTCAGGCAGAGTAACAACAAATACCATCTTATAACGTATTTTGGTATGGCGCGTTCAGGGATCGAACCCCCGAACATTCCGCTCTACGGGCGGACGCCCTACCACTATACGATTCATGAGGTAATAAATTAATATAATATAACTGGAATTCTATTCAAAGCGGCCTTAAATTAAACACACTCTTTCACTGACTCTAAGTTTTCAGCAGTGTCCTGACACATACACTTGCCGACTCGTGTGCTGATCCTACCCAGTTCGTTGCTCAAAACAAAAAATGTCTGACAGACAACAACATAACGTTTACTCTACCAAATGACATCAACGTAGCCGCTGACAACGTTGTGGAGACAATGAAGACGGTGTTGACACTGGCGGACCCAGCTACGATGTGCAGGTTTGTGACTGTGTTACACCCTGCTATGCTTCTCTAACTCAGGAAATTTATGCGTTTTAGGACATTAGTACCCGAAAAAGGTGGTTGAAAATGCTTAAATTGATTTGTCGTTCCACACAGCTCATCCTGTCATTAGACTGGTCTTGGGCCGAGTCAGTTCTTGTTTAAACATACAGTAAACTACGTTTATAACGAACACGCTTATAACGAACTGACGGATATAGCGAACTTACTTTTTTGTCCCGACTATTTGCTGTAGTTATGCTGTATATATGCCTATAACGAACTACGGTTATAACGAACTAAACATAGTTGTCCCTTTTAGTTCGTTATATCCGTAGTTTACTGTATCTAATCCAGTAGGGTACACGGTACTGCAATGTATCATATCATCTCCAAGGAATGTTGTAAAATGTAGCATTGAATTCGCTTCATATAATATGTATTGTTTTCAGTACAAATTATTAAAATATTTGTCATTTGTATGGAATACTGCAAGGGACAAAGCTGGCCATCTCGCGATCTCGCATTTTCGCGCTTTTGGCAAATTCAGCTTGTTCCTGCGAGAACGCGAGAATGTCCCTTACTGTATTCCATACATTTATAATTTGTATTGCAATATGTATGCTTCTGTAGCTCGGGGTAACACCATCAGTCTCATCACAATAGAAATAATTTCATAACTTGATCATGGCATGGAACAAAGTACTGAATATATAATCGAGGTGATAGAAAAAACCGAAGTCACTCAGATCTGGTATGATGTAAATGAACAACGTCGCCTTGCGTAAGTGAGTGAGATGGGTTTAACGCCGCTTTGAACAGTATTCCAGTTATATCACTGCGTGTCAGCTTGATGTGGGAGGAAAGCCCGAAGTGATGCAGGTCATAGACGTTTGCCACTATTGTGAAACCCACGAGCACGGATATGGTGCTGACGAACCTAGAAACATAATCGGGTGAACCGTCATTCGAACCCACAATCATACGTTTCTGGTGCGCCCAAGGGACAAAACTCAGCACAGCGAATTGCGGCGCCTTAGACGACTTAAGTGTTTCACTCATGTCACGGTGTGGCAGGTTAATGTTGCAGGGCAGTCTTGCTGTGATGCTGATATAGACGTTTACCACAATAAAAACCCATGGTAAGAGGCATAACGGGATCGGGTGGTCGGGCTCGCTGACTTGGTTGATGCATGTCATCGATCCCAATTGGGTGGATCGCTGCTGAGGATATTAATCACTGGATTGTCTGGTCCAGACTCGATCATTTACAGACCGACGTCATATAGCTGGACTATTGCTGAGGGCGGCGTTAAACAACAAACCAACCAACCAAGCAACCAAAAACCCGATGGGGACGGGTACGGTCCTGACAAACCAGCATACCCGTGTTTTTTTAAGGGAAAGATTACAGGTCCCAAGCAAGGGACGACTTAATAGATCGGGTGATCAGGCTCGCTGATGTGGTTAACTGTGTGTCATCGTATCCCAATTATGTAGATCGCTGGATTGTCTGGTCCATACTCGTTTATTTACGGACCGACACCAATAGCGGGAATGTTGCTGAATATGGCGTTAAACACACACGCCAGTCAATAAATCTGGGCGAATCTCAGACCGTCAGATCACCGGATTGTCTGGTCTAGACTCGTTTATTTACAGACCGACGCCATACAGCTGGAATATTGCGTGTGGCGTTAAACAAACACACAAACCAGTACCTGCATCCCATATTAGCAGCTGTTGCCTCAGTTTGTATAGGCCACTGAAGATCCGGGGTAGAATAGGTCTTCAGCAACTCATGCTTGCCATAAAAGGTGACTATGCTTGTCGTAAAAGACGACTAACGGGATCGTCTGGTCAGGCTCGCTGACTTGGTTGATGCATGTCATCGTATCCCAATTGCGTGGATCGATGCTCATGATGTCAATCACTGGATTGTCTTGTGCAGACTCGATTATTTACAGACCGCCGTCATATAACTGGAATATTGCTGAGCGCGGCGTTAAACAACAACCAACCAACCATCAGTTTGTATATGTTTCGTCTCAAGCTCATTGCCATCTATTTACATACCTGACAGCAACCTTGACGCGTGGGGCAAGGCTCTAGAGTGTGTGTTCATCCTGGGGGGGCAGTGTCCGAGTGTAGGGGGAGGAACCACAGACCCAGGCCAGAAACTAAATGAACTCAAGACGATTCAACAGGAGGCATGTTTCGATCTTAAACGTAAGTATTGAACACATAAAGCTGCTCTGAGGATGGCTGTTTATTTAAAAAAGGAACATGAAACGGACTGCAACATAACTTATCCCTTGTTTGTATGTATACATGTTTCCAACGCTAATTGCCTGTTGGTTTGTAGAAGCTGGCTCTGTGATGATTGTTCCCACTGGGCGACATATATACCAGAAAAGAGGCGGCACCCTGAGACTTGCTTGTGCAGGTGTGGGTCTGGGGGGTGGAACTGATGCTCCTGTCTACCAGTGGAAGGACACGCATCGACACGACATCAACGTGACGCAGGGCAGGTAATGACACGTGGCGAACACAACACAGGGCAGGTAATCACACGTGGCGAACATAAAACAGGGAAGGCAATGACACGTGGCGAACACAACACAAAGCAAGTGAAGACACGAAGAGAACACAACACAGGGGAGGTAATGACACGTGGCGAACAGAAAACAGGGGAGGTAATTACACGTGGCGAACAGAAAACAGGGCAGGAAATGGCTGGGCATGAGATATACTTCATCAACAGGTGTTTGTCCTTGCACGTTTCCAACGTTTAAATTTAATTTAGTAAGCAGAAAATGCAGCTTTAGTTTGCGATCAGTACCTTTATTTGTTGCTAATCAACCGTCAAATATCAACATATCCATATACGTACAATTTCATTAACACTTCATTACACCTATTACACGTAGTTATCAGGGAATGTGCGCGAATGGAGTTTCTGTCACTGTAGCTTGAAATGTAGATTTAAGGCTTAGTTTCTGAAAACATTTAATTTTTGATAGAAACATGCAACAACATCCCATTGAGATGGGTGTTTCAACCTGAACCTATCTAGACTTGCTTCATTCAGGACAATAACACCACGGTATCTATCTATCTATCTATCTATCTATCTATCTATCTATCTATCTATCTATCTATCTATCTATCTATCTATCTATCTATCCATCCATCCATCCATCCATCTACTAGTATCTATCTATCCACCCATCTGTCTGTCTACATATACCTACATGTATCTATCTATATGTTTGACTGATTGGCTATCTATCTATATATCTATCTATCTATCTATCTATCTATCTATCTATCTATCTATCTATCTATCTCTCTGTCTACATGTACCTATCTATCTATATGTTTGACTGATTGGCGCATTATTTCTGCATTGGTGCATCAATGACTTAATAATTATCAACTCCCAATCCCCAACCCGTTCAGGGACAACACGCCATCTTAAAGCGCAAACCTTTACAACACTAACGACAAAGCATGTACCTTTAGGTCAATACTGTTGATTCAGGTTAATGTAAAAGAGCTCGTTATTTCTCAGCCATTGATAATGTAACAGCATTCAGATAATACATTAAAGACTATTACGAGACGATCAGTTATGTTAGTTTTGGTTAATGTACTCATTAATGTACTTCCTTTTGCAGTAAAATGCATTTGATGCTAGATTTAGTTTCATGTGCTTAAGGGTTCATGTTATCAACATGGGGACATCATCCATCCTCGTCATCAACAACATACAGGGGAGTGATGAGGGCACTTACTTGTGTACGGCATCGCCAACGAAGACATCACATGCCACGGCCTATACCGCAGCCAGGGTTTATGGTAATGTAACCAGTGTTTAATTGGACATTACTCCTTTGGCATTCCTCGTGCACTATTGACTCCTTTTTCACTCAATGGTCATGCAAGGGTATGTGGTCTTCATGACAGTATCAACTTTGTCACATACAACTACAAATGCTTTATTAGCCTTCCGGGGGCATGGGTGGCTCAGTCGTCTGAGGCACCGTGATTCGCTGTGAAGAGTTGCGTCCCTTGGGCATGCCAGGAACCTATGATTATAGGTTCGAATCAAGGTTCGCCCCGAATATGTTTCTAGGTTTGTCAGCACCATACCCGTGCTCGTGGGTTTCACCGAAGTGGTAAACGTCTGAGACCTGCATCACTTCGGTTTTTCCTCCTACATTAAGCTGACACACCGTGATATAACTGGAATACTGTTAAAAGCGGCGTTAAACCCAACTCACTCACTCACTCACTCAAGTTGGCAGGCCAATGCAGGAAGTGAAGTGACATCTCGTTTCTCCCAATCGACAATTATTGTCAGATATCAAAATTGGAAACACAAATACATGAATGTTAGAGACATTACCCTTTGCCAAATCATAAGAAATCTCTGCTAATAGCAAAGTCCACTGGACGAATTCGACGATGTCATAAACCCGGTGATAAGAGGTATGGTCCTAGGAAACTGTCTGAAAGCATTTGCACGAATCCTGTTTTACAGATGCATTTCATGTCTCCAATATCAACTGCAACGACCCCGCCAACTACAAAGCTGCGTTCGATGAGTGTGCTCACTATTACAACATCACGGGGTTGACCTTCTCTAAGCCGTTGGACACACCGGATTTAGTTACCAACAACGCTAATGTGTTCTTTACCCAGGATATTCAGAAGATGTGCAGGTCACTTCCTTACTCCATATTATGACATTTTAAGCCACTGTGTCACACCACACTTCAATATTTTAAGCTGTTTATAAACCTTATTACCCTATATTGCATTAGGCTCCTGACAACCTCGGGTAAACCTGGTAACCCATTCGTGAACAACTCGTGTTATTCCGGAACAAGCCGAATAGCGACTCGTGCCCCTTTCGTGGCCATTTTTTGCGACTGGGTTCCGTCTAAGCTCAAACGGGAATAGCCAGCAGAATTATCAACTCATTGCGTAATGATTTACGTATATTTCCTCCATGTCATATATATTCCAGATGCTATTGAAAACACATCGAGACTTACAATATTATACAGTTTGATTGAACACATTTACCTGCGTCTTGGGTATATTTTTAAATGCAAGACATAAGTAAAGTAAAAAAAATTATTCCTGCGGGATTCTTTAAAGTGATACGCGCAACCTGATTGGTTTGTCGTTTTTTCGTACATAACATTCATAGATAGGGGACGAGACGTCTTGCAGGTTACAGAAAGGGGCGAGCTTTGACGAATGCCTGGTAACTACGTAGCTCATCTTCCAAACCTAGGTTTTGAAGCGGGCCTCCTCCAAACCGAGGTTTTGAAATGGGTCACTTCTAGGCTGCTTTGAGGTTTTACGTTTCAATTGTTATACCCTCTTAATATCAACACAATTTTGTTTGATGATTGGTTAAAAGTCACAAAATATTCTGCATGAAAATTCCATGACGTGAATCGAACATGCAACCTCTCATATCATGTTAAGTTTATTACCCACTGTTTTCTCACTGAGCAACCGGGGTAGGTGATGAGAAGTTATTCAATTGTACATGTCATGACTACAGGTGGTACATGCTGCAAGTGTTTTTTCTCTCACACGCTTTCTTTGTTACTGTTAAAATGAATGCAATATTACGACATTTATAAAACCAGACAATCTGGTGGTACGTCTTCATGATAGAGCATCTGTCCGGAAAGCGAAAGGTCGGTGGTTCGATCTCCGACCGCGCCATACCAAAAAAATGTTCCAAGATGGTACTTGTTGTTACCCTGCCTGGCGTTCAGCATTAAGCGGATAAAACAAGGACTGGTTGGCTCAGGGTCAATATACTGTGTCTGAGTGGGGTATTCGTGTTAAACTAAAGCATGATTCGGCATTAGTCTGGACAAGTACAAGCAGCCACACACACACACGCGCACGTCCATGCACATCGCTATGTAATTAAGTGCTCAAGTTGCTCATGCCAATAAAATAAATGAACGATATGGATTTTGATAAAGCGACTCACAACAATTTGGTCTCCTTTCAGTAACCCTACGCCATACAACCAGGCGGCACGGTGTGTCATGGCAGTGTCATGGCAGTGTTTGAATGGTAACGCTATTCCACACTCTGGCAACGATGTAGTCGAGGGAATGGAGACTATATGCTCCGCTTACGTTGCAGGTAAAGTCCTGAGTGATGATGTTCCATGGCATGCTTTTCGGTTTCGCGAGCACCAGGTGTCATATTGTCACATTGATTTGTTAGGCATGGTTCTCTGTGTTCCCTTACGGGGTGGTGGGGTAGCCAAGTTGTTAAAGCGTTTGCTCTTCTCGCCGAAGGCCGGGGCTCGATTCCGTAGGTACTATTTGAAAAGCTATTTCACCATACTCACTCACTATGTTCCCTAACTGTTTTTTGTTTCGACTATGATGATATGTGTGTAGTGAGAAAAATATACCCGAGTGAACAGATCGGAGATTTATGCCGAGTTTTAGGCACTATATTTAAGTTATTATGCATTACGCAGCACATGTTTTTCATTTAAGAAATATATGAAACACAGGCACACTACGTCATGTACCATAATCGCTTACATTGTGACAATTTTTCGGATTTCAAATACAGACAAATTAAACATGAATGTCTGCTTCCTATTGTTGACGTACATCGGCAGTTTTACAGGTTACTGTCAACATTTCTTGAAGGTCAGAAATATGTATGACGTTAAAACACAGGGATTGATGGTCATGTTTACGTCTGAATTATGTATGACGTTAAAACACAGAGAATGACGGCCATGTTTACGTGTAAATTATGTATGACGTTAAAACACAGAGAATGACGGCCATGTTTACGTGTAAATTATGTATGACGTTAAAACACAGAGAATGACGGCCATGTTTACGTGTAAATTATGTATGACGTTAAAACACAGAGAATGACGACCATGTTTACGTGTGAAATATGAATGACGTTAAAACACAGAGATTGATGGCCATGTTTACGTGTGAATTATGTGTGGCGTTAACACACATTGGGTGAGAGCTACGTTTATGTGTGAAATATGTGTGACGTTAACACACACAGAGTGAGAGCTATGTTTATGTGTGAAATTATGTGTGACGTTAACACACACAGAGTGAGAGCTATGTTTATGTGTGAAATATGTGTGACGTTAACACACACAGAGTGAGAGCTATGTTTATGTGTGAAATTATGTGTGGCGTTAACACATTGGGTGAGAGCTATGTTTATGTGTGAAATATGTGTGACGTTAACACACACAGAGTGAGAGCTATGTTTATGTGTGAAATATGTGTGACGTTAACACACAGAGAGTCAGAGCTATGTGTATGTGTGAAATATGTGTGACGTTAACACACACAGAGTGAGAGCTATGTTTATGTGTGAAATATGTGTGACGTTAACACACACAGAGTGAGAGCTATGTTTATGTGTGAAATATGTATGACGTTAACACACATTGGGTGAGAGCTATGTTTATGTGTAAAATATGTGTGGCGTTAACACACACAGAGTGAGAGCTATTTTATGTGTGAAATGTGTGTGACGTTAACACACACAGAGTGAGAGCTATGTTTATGTGTGAAATATGTGTGACGTTAACACACACAGAGTGAGAGCTATGTTTATGTGTGAAATATGTGTGGCGTTAACACACACAGAGTGAGAGCTATGTTTATGTGTGAAATATGTGTGACGTTAACACACACACAGAGTGAGAGCTATGTTAATGTGTGAAATATGTATGACGTTAACACACATTGGGTGAGAGCTATGTTTATGTGTAAAATATGTGTGGCGTTAACACACACAGAGTGAGAGCTATTTTATGTGTGAAATGTGTGTGACGTTAACTCACACAGAGTGAGAGCTATGTTTATGTGTGAAATATGTGTGACGTTAACACACACAGAGTGAGAGCTATGTTTATGTGTGAAATATGTATGACGTTAACACACATTGGGTGAGAGCTATATTTATGTGTAAAATATGTGTGGCGTTAACACACAGAGAGTGAGAGCTATTTTATGTGTGAAATATGTGTGACGTTAACACACACAGAGAGTGAGAGCTATGTTTATGTGTGAAATATGTGTGACGTTAACACACACAGAGTGAGAGCTATGTTTATGTGTGAAATATGTGTGGCGTTAACACACACAGAGTGAGAGCTATGTTTATGTGTGAAATATGTGTGGCGTTAACACACAGAGTGAGAGCTATGTTTATGTGTGAAATATGTGTGACGTTAACATACACAGAGTGAGAGCTATGTTTATGTGTGAATTAGTGTGGCGTTAACACACACAGAGTGAGAGCTATGTTTATGTGTGAAATATGTGTGACGTTAACATACACAGAGTGAGAGCTATGTTTATGTGTGAAATATGTGTGGCGTTAACACACAGAGTGAGAGCTATGTTTATGTGTGAAATATGTGTGACGTTAACACACAGAGTGAGAACTATGTTTATGTGTGAAATATGTGTGACGTTAACACACAGAGTGAGAGCTATGTTTATGTGTGAAATATGTGTGGCGTTAACACACACACAGAGTGAGAGCTATGTTTATGTGTGAAATATGTGTGACGTTAACACACATTGGGTAAGAGCTATGTTTATGTGTGAAATATGTGTGGCGTTAACACACACAGAGTGAGAGCTATGTTTATGTGTGAAATATGTGTGACGTTAACACACATTGGGTGAGAGCTATGTTTATGTGTAAAATATGTATGACGTTAACACACACAGAGTGAGAGCTATGTTTATGTGTGAAATATGTGTGGCGTTAACACACACAGAGTGAGAGCTATGTTTATGTGTGAAATATGTGTGACGTTAACACACACAGAGTGAGAGCTATATTTATGTGTGAAATATGTGTGGCGTTAACACACACAGAGTGAGAGCTATGTTTATGTGTGAAATATGTGTGACGTTAACACACACAGAGTGAGAGCTATGTTTATGTGTGAAATATGTATGTCGTTAAAGGGTGGCGGCTTTGTTTACAACCTAGGTTCCTACAACGACAGCTGTGTGAATTCTGCAAAGGACGATATGGCTCACTGTAACATTTTTGAATTCGCAAACTGGTCCATGAAAGTCGACAAATCACATGGTTACGGGAAGGCAGAGTTGTGCAGGTATCACAATGTTCAATTATAGAGTGCTCTGTTGTCTTCAGTTAGATAACATACCGTGCATCGCCAAGCTCACCCTTCACCTGATCCTCAACCACCCGACTATTAACCCTTTTCTACACAACCCTTAACCCTCTTCCACTCAACCCTTAACCCTCTTCCACCTGGCCCTTAACCCTCTTCCACTCGACTCTGAATCCTCTTCCACCCGGCCCTTAACCCCCTTCCACCGACTCTGAATCCTCTTCCACCTGGCCCTTAACCCTCTTCCACTCGACTCTGAATCCTCTTCCACCTGGCCCTTAACCCCCTTCCACCGACTCTGAATCCTCTTCCACCTGGCCCTTAACCCTCTTCCACTCGACTCTGAATCCTCTTCCACCTGGCCCTTAACCCCCTTCCACCGACTCTGAATCCTATTCCACTCAACTCTTAACCATCTTCCACTTAACCCTCAACCCTCTTCCACTTAACCCTTAACCATCTTCCACTCAACCCTTATCCCTCTTGCACTCAACCCTTAACCCCCTTCCACTCAACCCTTAACCCCCTTCCACCTGGCCTTAACCCCCTTCCACCCGACTCTGAATCCTATTCCACTCAACTCTTAACCCTCTTCCTCTCAACCCTTAACCCCCTTCCACTCAACCCTTAACCCTCTTCCACCTGGCCCTTAACCCCCTTCCACCCGACTCTGAATCCTATTCCACTCAACTCTTAACCCTCTTCCTCTCAACCCTTAACCCCCTTCCACTCAACCCTTAACCCTCTTCCACCTGGCCCTTAACCCCCTTCCACCCGACTCTGAATCCTATTCCACTCAACTCTTAACCCTCTTCCTCTCAACCCTTAACCCTCTTCCACTTAACCCTTAATCCTCTTCCATTCAACCCTTAACCCTCTTCCACATGGGTACAATGTGTGAAGCCCATTTATGGTGTCCTCCACCGTGACATTGCTTAAATATTGCTAAAAGCGGCGTACATTTATACTCACTAACTCACTCTTCCACCCGACCCTTAACCCTCTTCCACCCAAGCATGAACGCATTTCCACCCGACCCTTAACCCTCTTCCACCCGAGCATCCTAACCCTCTTCCATCTGACCCTCTTCCATCCGACTATTATAACCCTGTTTCACCCGACGCTCTTCCATCCGACTCTTAACACTCTTCCAACTCGACCATTAACCCTCTTCCACTCGATTATTAACCCTCTTTCGCTCGAGCATCTTCCACCCGACCACTTACTGCAGCATCTTTAACAAAATTGAGGCAGTATAGTCTTATGTTTGTTTGTTTGTTTGTTTGTTTGTTGTTTAACGCCGCAGTCAGCAATATTCCAGCTATATGACTGCGGTCTGTAAATAATCCTGTCTAGACCTGACAATCCAGTGATTGACATCATGAGCAGTATAGTCTTATGACTGTTTATTGCTACGTTCACGTTTGAACAGTTGTAATGGACATACCCTTTTGTTGTTATTAATATGATCTCTCTATATGGAGACGCATTTATATATTTTCTTGTTTTATCAAGAGTTTTGTGATTTTACTTTAATTACATAATATTTATAATTGTTTAAAAAGATTTATTTCCTTAAACCAAATAATGGTTCTTGTTAGAGTAAGTTTCTACACATGAGACTTTTCAATTTAAAAACTTAACACATTGCCTTAAATGGTATTCTTCAGGATATACGGCATCGCTTTAGACTGCGCGGAGAAATTCCTTCAGGTATGCACGCCAAAGATGCACACTGTTGAGGCGTTTAAAGCCGCCTACAGAGCCATGGAACTCAGTCAGTGTGCCACAGATAGTAAGTTGATTGGTTTGTTTGTTGTTTTACACAGCACTCAGCAATATTCCAGCTATATGACGGCGGTCTGTACCAGATAATCCAAGTGTAGATGTGATATCGATGTGAGGGGGTGAAGCACAATCGCCTTCACATCTGGTGTGGTGATGGTATTGAAATGAATGTGGAAGTGCATTGCTCTCATATAGCGACATGGATGCATGTTTGTGTGTATGTGTATCCGGACTAATGGCAATCTCGGCCTTATTATATAGTATCTTGAGAAAGAATTTTATGGAATGTTATGGATAACAACTTATGAATTAATTCACCTGATAAGTGAGTGAGGAGGGTGTAACGCCGCTTCGAACAGTATTCAAGCCTAATGTGGGAGGAAAGCCCGAAGTGATGCAGGTCTCAGGCGTTTACCACTTTGGTGAAACCTACGAGTATGGCGCTGACAAACCTAAAAACATAATCGGGGCAAATCAGGCGTACCAAAGGGTCGCAACTCTTTACAGGGAATTGCGGCGCCTTAGACGATTGGGCCACCTGTGTATGCGACAAGGGACAAGAAGTAGCCTGAAACGATAATATAGAAATTATTTTCCAAATTATTGTCATAATTACATTCAGCTTCTAAATGCTAATAATAGGTTTTAGAAATACATGTTTTGATTGAAGTGTTTCCAATCTCATTAAAATCAGATCTTAGTTTTCGCTACCGCTAACCAAAGATCTGAGGACATCCCATTACGGGTCACGTCAGAACGACCTTTCGCGAACATTGACCGACCAATGAAATGACTGACAAGAAATCGACATTTGCCAATCAGAAGGCAGCTTTCTCGAGCTTTACGACACTAGCTTCAAACTGGCGACTACGCTTCGAAACATATTTTGACGTATTCTCGATTACAAAATTTAAAACTGACCAAAACAACATTCTGGAATGGCTTATAGATGGCCTAGATTGTATGGATATGATCAAAACCCCGTAACTGTCGTTCGGAATACCCTCTGTTACATATTTCGAGGTTGCATGATTAGAAAACACATTCCGACTGTCACTTTCAGGATCTAGTAAGCGACGCTCTGATTGGTTGGATGGAGGGTCGTTCTGACGTGACCCGTAATGGGATGTCCTCAGATCTTTGTTTAGCGGTAGCGAGAACTAAGATCTGATTTTAGAGTTTCAATGGTACATGTGAGGTGTGTGTATTTGATGGACAGATAGCCAGCCAGGTGCAGTGACCGACTCTCGGGTGTGTTTCCACTCAGCTGATCTCCATGCCCAGTACAGACAATGCTTTATTAAAGGAAATTACAGCATAACACTCCCTGCTTTCATCACCGAGATGGAGATGACTTACACCATCCCAGCATTGGTCGTTCTCCAGACAACAGCAGATACGTGCAGGTGAGTGTGTGAGTGAGTTTAGTTTGACCTCACTGTGAACAGTGTTCCACTTTTATCACAGCTTAATTTTGGAAGTAAGCCCAAAAGCCGGTAAAGGGTTGCTAAGAACAAGGTATGGTACATGTTAAATATAGAAGGGTTTTAGAAAAGGGCAACATGGGTTGACTAGGGAGTCTGTTTACTTACTAAAATCTCTCTCTCTCCCCCCCCCCCCCCCCCATCTCTCTCTCTCTCTCTCTCTTTTTTCTCTCTCTCCCTCTCTCTCTTCCTTTCTTCCTCCCTTCCCTTCTCCCTTCTCCCCCTCCCTCCTTTGCACCGCTCTCTCCCACACCTGCATGACGCCTGTATTTAATCTAGTCCATACAATCCACAATCCAGTGATTGATTTTATGAGCAACGATCCATGCTCGAAGACGCACTAATCAAACAAACGAATAACACAATGCACAATGATTATGATAAACATGACAGCTGGGATGGACTATGTAAGAGATGTGACAGGGCTGGTAGACGCGTCAGATGGAGAAGCAGTGGCTAGTTGTCGCTGTAGATGAACCACACATTCCACAAGCGTATGTATATACTTGAGCAAAGTAATCATCACATTAGGCAGGGATGAAAGTTTTAAAAGCGTGTTATAAACGATGATATGGCCGATGTATTTTCATGTATTGAGCGCCGTTCTACAAACCAGTCGTAACGCTAAGACGATCCAATATTTTGATATATCATGTCAAGTGAGATCGACCAATCAGACAGCAGATCTACTAACCCCCTATGGGCCCGTATACCGTAGGTAAAAATTGAAGATGGTTGTAACTGACCTCATATTAGACCGTATACCGGCAGTAACAGCCATTTTGGATTTTCTAATACCCACCTCACTCTCACATATTTCACCTGAAAATTCTGGTACAGAAATTTTATATTCGACACTGTTTTGTGCTTTAATATCATTAATCGTGATGTGCAAAGACATTAATTTGTCTAGAAAGCACGTTCGTGACGTTATACATAAAAATATAGAGAAAACACGGAGGTCACTGATTTACAAATATCAACGTCATATAATGTTTTAATTTGACGTTTACACGATATGCGACTTTCTCATTGGACGAGAGGTCGGTCACATGACCGCGAAATTGACGTTCATAAGTGTATGAACGACACAATTTGACGTTCATACGTTTTTCACGAGACCGTGTTCTTGACATGATGTAAACACTGACGGACTACTTCCACATTCCTGGGGAAACCCCTGGGAATTCCCTAGCACGAAACATACATAAACATTGTTTCTGATCATTTAGAACCTTTAATCTTGGTCTCAGCATTTCAGTATACATTGAGAAACGTAAGAGAGCTCGACTGCATGATTGTTCACAATTTTTTCCTCGCTACGGCCCATCATAATGAACAAACGAAAAAAAGCACATCCAAACTATCGTCAGTATCGACTCGAGCTGTGTCTAGGTTGACAGTGATTGTCTCCAGCAATCTACGAATTTACCTTGGTGTCTGTTTGACGCATCTTTAATCACCTTTCAATAATTGGTCAGTTGATCAATGATGACAAACACATGTAACCGCCACAGGTTCATTAACAACTTCGGAAATCCTCCCGTCACGTTTATCGTGTCGGCCATTTTGACGTCTTGTACTTGATTTAAATGTATTACGACGCGCTGTCATTGTGACTGACTTACTGAGGTAGTTCATTACAGGCCTTTCTCATCTAATGGGGATATTATATGAACACATGTGTTGCGTAAGATGTTTCTGAAGAGCAAGTTCTGCATCCATACGCTCATGTCACCTCTCTTTTTGGGGAACCATTTTATTCCGCGATATAGCTGGTTGTTGTTTGGCTGTCAGTGTAAACATGAAGTCACACGTACTAAATAATAAAACTGTGTTTAGATCTTGGCCTACATCCTTTGAGGTAAGAAATTGAGATAAAAAATTATAAGAATTGACTTCCACTTTGTTTGAGTTCATTGGAGTATGAACCTTCATAGAGTGAGGGCCAAACATTGTATGAACGTCGTCGCAAGCTCCGACAATTCATACAGTTTGGCCCTCACTCTATGAAGGTTCATACTCCAATGAACTCACACAAAGTGAAGGTCAGTTCTTAAATATATATCGGATGACGTCACAAACATGAAACGTGACGCCAATGACATAATATAGCAACTGAATAGATAGTAGCCCCTCTGCTTTCAAGTTATAGTGGCCCGCAGATTGCTGATTACATGCGGGTATTTTCTATGACAATTCTATCCATTTTAGCTATAATACTTGTTTAAACGTTCACATTTAGTGCATTATATATTCCATTGTTAACGTCTGTCTTAACATTAAAGCGTTGTATCGGAAACATATGTACTGGTCCTGTCATTTATACCAGTTGTTAGTGTCAAGTTGACATTTTGACATGACATGTGCGATAAAGATACCAAATAGTGTGAACCTTTTGGCATAATAAATTCGTTAAGGTGTCTTTAGTTGCCGTATACGGTGTCATATTAGGTTAGCGGAAACATATTGGTCGAGGCCTGAGCTATTTTGTATCTTTATCGTACATGTCGTGTCAAAATGAAAACTTGACACTCACAACCGTTGACGTTAAGGGTAAAAGGGAGACTACTCTTCAAACCTTAGAGGCCAAACCTTGTTGACAATTTTAACGATCATATTTATTAATGAAGGCACGAAAGTGATCTAAAAAAGATTAATGTCCTTGCACATCACGATTAATGACATAAAAACACAAAGCCGAATATAAAATTTCCGTACCAGAATTTTCAGGTGAAATATGTGAGGTGGTTGCTGGAAAAAAATCCAAAATGGCGTATACTGCCGGAATACGGTCTCATATGGGGTCAGTAACAACCATCTTGGATTTTTACTGACGGTATACGGGCTCATGCGCGGTCAGTACTTCTGCTCTCTGATTGGTCAATCTCACTTGGGGAGCATAATAACTAATAATGTACTTACGACAGTCGTAGCGCTACAATCGCGTTGAGAATCAGGGCCCTGAGCTGTAACCAAGTACATTTTTCAGCGATACAGCTCCATTAAAGGTCGCAGCTCAGTGCGTAAGAGACATCAGCAGACCCTGCCTCTTTCACAACTGGTACAATCTCATACACCACATCCCTCAACTGAAAGACGTGGAAGCAGCCATCCAGTACAAATGTACTCATATCGCAGGTTGGGCATTGACATGTATCGATATTATGAGCAAAGATTCACGTCGTCGGGGTACGATGGCACGCTATCAACCAAGTCACCGAGCCTGACGACCCGATCCATTAGGTCAGCTCCTTCACCAAGGGACTCACATTGTCCCCATTGCAATCGATGTCCATTTGAGTCAATATTGCTGTCTTATGGAGTCTAATTGGAGCTATAATAAAGATACCGCGGGAAACGCTACTACGCTGGAATCTGATGTATGTTTCCAGAAACAAATTCTTTAATTCAAATTCAAGTCAATAATAAATTGTTTCTCGGGGTAATAAATTGTTTCTCGGGGACATTTTAAAATTGTATTTATTGAAAAGAAAAGTTCTGAGGGAGGAACACTTTTTTTCTTCTTTTTTTTTTTTTACCAAGAAACACAACAGGACACGCATTGGACTTTTTAATACAATATCAGTGCCGAGTGCGTTCATGTATAACAGAATCTGTTTCATGTAACGCGGAAAACTGAAACAATATTTATTTAATGGCAATGGTATTGACGGAGACACAGTATTTAAAGTCACGCCCGATGCCACAGGAACTAAAGTTGAATCAAAGGATTTTAACGTACAAAGGTTACACGTGTAGAGCCACAGTAAATTGGAACCATAAAACGCAGCGACTAATGAATCAACAACTCTTGGTATTTTGATTTAAGCTCCAGCTGGTCAATATCGTTAAAACACATTTGAGCAAATCAAATCAGGATATTGTCCATGCTTTGAGTTTACGTAGCTTATGGGTTAGAAAAAATGGCCTTGTGGTTGATAAAAAAGAAGAGCAAAGGATAATTTATTAGGCAAATCATTTGCACTTAGATACATTATTACTATGGACAATTCACGTTGTGATATTAGGGATAGGACTTTTAAAGGGATAGTAAACCTTGTTTTTTACATGTTTATAATTAGGGAGAATTGCAAGATGGTTGCTAGATTATATCGACAAACTATGTATGAGGGTGAAGCAGTCTAGTGTAGTCTTTCCATCGTAACGCCAAATGTCTGGGTTCGATTCCCCTATGTGTTTTGTTAATGCATCATATGTGCACCGTTTGTGTTCCTTGTCGTGATATTGCTGGAATGTTTCTAAACTCATACACGTTATTCTTTATTCTTATTGGGGGCACGGGTGACCCGGTCGTCTAAGTCGTCGCGATTCGCTGTGCAGAGTTGCGCCCCTTGGGCACGACAGAAACCTATGATTGTGGGTTCGAATCCTGGTTCGCCCCAATCATGTTTCTAGGTTTCTCAGCACCATACCCGTGATCGTTGGTTTCACCGATGTGGTAAACGTCCGAGACCTGCATCACTTCGGGATTTCCTCCCACATTAAGCTGACTCGCCGTGATATAACTGTAATACTGTAATTAAAAGCGGCGTTAAACCCAACTCACTCACTCACCATATTCATTTTATTGAACATTTGTGTGTGTTTTCAGATTATGACGCCACATGCGCTGCACCAAATTCCCCCAAGGTGTTCCAGTGTGCTTGGCAAAAAATGGCAAATGAATTTAACTTGGTTTACCAACGCAACATGCAAGCTATGTTTTGTAGGCGAGTAACTAAATCTTTTTTAATTTTTTTTGGACTATATCTATGTTCGTATCTCTTTGAGCAGGCAAACAAACATTCTCTTATTTTAACAGAATGAGTAAAGTATAGCCAACAACATCAAAGTTGGTACCTTGATAAGATTAATGTGTTGTTTACAAGGCCCTTGCTGCTGCAGTAGTGGTGGTGGCACGTGCACAGATCGCAAATCAGGTGAAGTTAGGCAACGTTGGTGTCGGAGAGATGGGTGACCACGTTCAGCAGCTTGACTCCTGATAGTTTCTAGGGCTTCGGTCCTGCCCCACACTGAAGCACATGTACCACATGTGGTGTCTCCTGAGGCAGGTGACTTTGTTCGAAATGTGCCTCTGTTCACCCAGCAGTGAGTGGGTACCCGGTAGGACGAGATGGTAATGTGTCTGTTAACCTCAGAGGCATCTTGGGTTGTATACTCCCCAGGGAGCTGAGAATGTAAATCGAGTCCTCACTGATCCGGGATAATAACAGGGTAGCGCTATGAGCATCCACTTGGTGAATGGAATCTGGCGTTTTATAAATGCACTTATTATTTATTATTAGTAGTACATGTAGTTGCCTTGAATGAGGACATGCTCACCCGTTTTATAAACGCCTGGTGTCATCACGGATAATCGAGACTGGTTATTCTCTAGCGTTGACGTATACATATTAATATTTTGTAGAATGCGGGAGCATGTCGACGAGTGTGTCCAGTCCGCCTTGGCTGCATGTCCAGCCTCGTCCAGGAAGACGTTTCTCAACGTCAACAACATCCTCTCACCTACACAGAACGGCTGTCAGAAATGTACGGACACGGGAAGTATAGCCGTATAGTATTCACACCGGAACCTGCTCTCCGCTCCGTTCAACTCCTAAACGACTGAAATCGTCGTGCAGAGTTGCGTCCCTTGGGCGTCCAAAATACCTCCCGTCGTGCGTCCGAATTGCCCTGATTATGTTTCTAGGTTTGTCAGTATCAATCGTATAATAAAGCGGTTAACATCTGGTCCCCTTACCCCCCCCCCCCCCCCCCCCCCCCTTCCAGCATATGTTACGATATGCTTGTTCCAAAATGAGAAACATGTCCCTCGAATAGTAGACCGTCTCTATGGATTATTTGAGAGAACGCGTGTCCTGTAGGTCTAGGATTTGATCCCCCGGCCGCGTCGTACCAACAGACGTTAAGATATGGTACTTTTTGCTACCCTGACTAACACACTCACTCACACACACACACACGCGCGCGCGCGCGCGCACACACACACACGTGCATGCACGTCGCTATACAAATGTAATAATCTTGAACACGTTAAACACTTGTAAAGTGGGTAAGTATGAATTATATTAGTACATGTGCAGCAGACTAAAAGACCCGCTTTCTGTTTCAGTTGGCCATGCCGTGGCAGTATCTAACATCATTGGGTAGAGTAGTAAGTGCAACGGTTTTCTTGAGACGAGAATATATGTAAAACACATGTTCTGCCTTCCAATAAATAATGTCTTGCCTTCGTTCACTTTTGTTGTACTGTCGGTCACCGTGATTCCAGGTCAGACGGTATAATAAACTGATTGGCAGAGGGAAGTATACACCCATGTTTTGTTAGTTTGTTGTTTAACGCCGCACTCAGCAATATTCCAGCTATATGACGGCGGTCTGTAAATAATCGAGTCTTGACCAGACAATCCAGTGATTGACATCATGAGCATCGATCCACGCAGCTGGGATCGATGGCATGCATCAACCAACACAGGCCTGTCTGGTCCGAATGTGACAGGCAAAGCGTTACACCCTCAACCTGAGTTGGTTAGGTTTAACGTCGTTTGAACAGTATTCCTGTTACATCACGGCGTGTCAGCTTGACGCGAGAGGAAGACCCAAAGTAATGCAGGTCTCTGACTTTTACCACTTTGGTGAAACCCACGAGCACAGGCATGGTGCTGACATATTACCATATTATTAATAACATAATGAAAAGTGAGACAAAAGATCCATAGGTTACAGGGCACAATAAATAAAAAGACATTCAGTTAACATTGTTTACTGTGACACTGCAGAGCGTGTGGGTTCTGTTTGTTGTGTTACGCCTCACTCAGCAATATTCCAGCTATATGACGCCGGTCTGTAAATAATCGAGTCTGGACCAGAGAATATAGTTATCACGAACATCGATCCACGCAATTGGGATACAATGGCATCAACCAAGTCAGCGAACCTGACCACCCGATCCCGTTTGTTGCGCGCTCGGTATTAAAGGAATAGAACAAGGACGGGTCGGCTTGGGTCGGATTCAGTATACTGTCCTTAATTGGGTATCCATTTTAAACTGCGGCATGTTATCTCAGTGGGTTCGCGCTGTCAAAGCCGACTATGCTTGTCGTAAGAAGCGACAAACAGGGTCAGGTGACCAGACTTGCGGACTTGTATCCCAATTGCGTAGCTCTGGATTTACAGATCGCCGTCATATAGCTGGAATATTGCTGAGTGCGGCGTTAAACAACATACAAACAAAATCTCACAAAGAACTGACACATATCTTCGGAAATTATTTTTTATATATAGTTGACCTTCTCTAATGACAATCCAACAGGTTTAGAGAGGTGCGCCTGGGCGTTATCATACAGCAGAAAGTCAAGCTATACATGCATGTGCGCACATGACAGACTGTTGTAGATTTTATCAGGGTTCCGCTATCTCATAATATTTATAAGAATAGGTTTAAGCTATAATCTGTCAGAGGTCAACTGTTCTTGGTGACGTGCGTGGAAATGGTCCAGATTGTCTCGTGCTTAGTAAGTAAGTAGACGATCAAATCACTTATATTTACCCACATCTGGGACAAAAGCGTTTCCTGCACATCGTACCCATGCATTTCATGCATTGATTGTATACCTGCACAAGTGGGACTGGCATAGAACATAAATTTACGTATATACGTCAATGTCCACACAACAACATACATCACACGCATGTACGGGCCTACACCTAGTAGCAAAGATGTCATATGAGTGAATGAGTGAGTGAGTTGGGTTTAACGCCGCTTTTTAACAGTTTTCCAGTTATATCGCGGCGTGTCAGCTTAATGTGGGAGGAAAGCCCGAAGTGATGCACATCTCAGACGTTTACCACTTCGGTGAAACCCACGAGCACGGGTATGGTGTTGACAAACCTAGAAACATAATCGGGGCGAACCGGGATTCCCACATTCCGAACCCACAATCATAGGTTTCCGGCGTGCCCAAGGGACGCAACTCTGCACAACGAATCGCGGCCCCTTAGACGACTGGGCCACCCGTGCCCCCTTGTCATATGAATTATATTGAATGACAAGTATAAATATCATTATCTCATTCTTATGAAAATTAAAAGATACCAACAAATTTCATGCAAAGGCAAGTCAAGTGTTCACCTGAACAAAAATAACCGTGGCTTTCGCCAAAGTGTAAAGACTTCTAGGCTTTCCTCCCACATTAAGTTGACACGCCGTGATATAACTGGAATACTGTTCAAAGCGGGGTTATAAAACCAAACTCACTCACTCACTATACGCGACAAATGCCAATGCATTTGATGTATCTATGGCATGGTGGAACAATGTAACAATGACGTTACGACTTAACTTTCAGTTTTCGGCAGCATATTCGCACGACTCAGTTTTGGCATTCCGTGTGCGGATCCTGCACAGTTTGTTGCTGAACACGCACAATGTCTGACAGACAACAATATAACGTTTACTCTACCAAATGGCGTCAACGTAACGGCCGAAAACGTTGTGGAAACGTTGACGACGGTGTTGACTTTGGCGGACCCTACTACTATGTGCAGGTTGGTTTGCGGTTTCTTCCTCCTTTATTTAGTTGTGCTCACCCCAGAGGGACCCAGTACTCTACTGCGAAATCAGAACGAATTGTCGGGCTCTGTGACGTGGCTGATCGCGTTTCGCTCGCACCGATGACACGGGTCGCTGCTCATGGTATCAATCACTGGTTTGCCTGGTTTACACGATTAAGCTGGAATATTGCTGACTTTCATATGTACCTCGATTAGTTATGTACCAATGTATGATAGGTACCCGATACATCGCAAAGAACAATGAAGAACGAAGCGTGGATTATTTCACGATAAATCATTGTTCTATCACGACGTCATTTCTAGAGATTCGAACAAGCGCTCAAAACTTGATGACGTCGTTAATTGTTGTCAAGAAAATATGTCTTGAGAGTTGTTGTCCATAGATGTAGCTGGGTTACGTAGATAATCGCATTCAAATGCGGGAGAGATATAATAATCGGATACCGATAATCGACGCGAAAATGTGAGAATAACCAGGAAATACCAAATGTAATCCCCTGTACATCAAATGGACTTGGCCGACATTGCCCGTATTCAGGGAGTCATCAGTATTTAAATACGGGTAAACGTTTTGTAAGCTTGTACATTTTCTTGACATCCACAGAAAGGCTGTAAAATTGTTGATATATCACGGTTTATTCTCCCTGTAGTGTTTTATTGTATGATGCTCCCACTCGTCGTTTATTTCTTGAATAAATACATCTGTGTATGTTCTTCAAACATAAACAAATATCACATACAGAGGAAAGTAAGAATTGATCAGTGAGTAAGTGAGTGAGTGACTTCAACGCCGCTTTGAACAGTATCCCAGTTATATCGCGGCGTGTCAGCTTGATGTGGGAAAGAACCTGAAGTGGTGAAGGTCTGAGCCATTTACCACTTTATTGAAACCCACGAGCACGGGTATGGTGCTGACAAACCTAGAAACATAACATTCATAGGTTTCTGGAGCGCCAAATGGACACACCCCTTCACAACGAATTCTGGCATATTAGACGACTGGGCAACCCGTACCCCAAAATCAGGATGAAACACACGGGAAGAGGTATGGCTTTGACCAACAATAGATCACAATCTGCGGAGGATTCGTAGCCACTGGCAACTCAGCACAGAGAGTACTGACGCCTTGGACGATTGGTCCATATTTTGAATGTCAATCGACAATTCTTGTGTGCGTTGAGGAAAGAGGGGGTGGGGGTGTGGGGTGTGGGTGAGGCAAACACTTACTTTGGCATGTGCTTGAAGCTACAGTCTGTTCGTTTGCCTTTGTCTCAAGCTTCTGTTTACATGCCCGACAGCAACCTTGACGCGTGGGGCAAGGCTCTAGAGTGTGTGGTCAGCCTTGCGGAACAGTGTCCGAGTGCAGGGGGAGGAACCACCTACTCTGGCCAGAAACTTGATGAACTCAAGAAGATTCAACTTGAGACGTGTTTTCATCTCAAACGTAACTACTGAAACACCGAATTCAACCATCTACCCGAGGCAAGGGAGTTGACTAACTGTAACTGTCCAGTTCCATGTGAAAAATGGACTTTTACAATTAGTTAACTTTTTGCCTCGGAAAAATAGATTCAACATTCACCACAACCTTAAAATTTGTATTGTAAGCCTCAACGAGATCATGTACATATTTCGATTTATAATAAGTTATTGTACTTGTTATGTGAATACGGAATCATGTCAATAATGGTCTTTAAACGAGTACACTCTTTAAGCAGCAAACGCCAATGGTGGCACCGCAATTCGTTGCGCAAAGTTGCGTCCCTTGGGCGCACAAGAAACCTATGACCGTGGGTTTGAATCCCGGTTAGCCCTGATTATGCTTCTAGGTTTGTCAGCACCATGCCCATACTCGTGGGTTTCAACAAGGTGGTAAACGTCTGAGACCTTCGTCACTTCAGGCTTTCCTCCCACAGTAAGCTGACACGCTGCGATACAACTCTGTCTGGATATAACTACAGCTCCACGATGGAGCATTGCATCCATTATGCGTGTCAGGAACCGACGATCGTTGGTTCGAATGCAAGATTCCCCACGGATTATGCCTCTGGGTTTTCAGAAGCATGTCAGACCTCATGGGTTTCACAATGTGGTAAACGTCTAGGACCTGTGGCCTCCCTCAACATCAAGCCGACATGTAGTCATTTAACTGAAATACTGTTCAAAACGGACTTAAACCCAAGGTCACTGACTCACTTCCTCAATAGTAGAATGTTCTTATAGCCTCTAAACAGCCACCATTTGACACTTAGGCGCTGGCTCAGCGATGATCATCCCGACAGGGGGGCAGGTGCACCAGCAGAGAGGCGGCACCCTGAGACTAGCATGTGCAGGGGTGGGGCCCGGGGATGGGGCTGTCTTCCATTGGACGGACATGAACTACCACGTCATCAACAATACAAAGGGAAGGTAATGTTACATCGAAGAAAAGGGAGGTCGTTAGGACGTTATTAAGAATAGTCTTGTTGATAGAAGATGCTTTGCCATTTAGAATGTTAACCCTGCCCATGGGTATCCATTGTGGACATTCTCATATCTTGATGGCGTTGTAAGTTGGACGACGTTATTTTTAGAGGGAAGTGTCTCGTGAGTTGTTGCCCGTAGTTGTTGCTGGACAACGCAGATAAATGCTATGGCCGAACGATTGCATCCACTGTGGGTGAGTTATGACAATCGGTACAGAAATTCAAGGTGCAAAATGCGAGAATGCACGGAAAAAGACACTCTTAACCCCCCTGTTAATGTCCGACTTGTCCGACATTTCCGAGATCGAATAGTATTCAGGGAGTCGTCAATATTTAAATACCGGTAAATAGGTTTAAAGCTCGTACGTTATATTAACATCCTGAAAGAGGCTGGAGATAACGTAAGTTGCGGCTACATGGATCGGGTGATCAGGCTCAGTGACTTGGTTGATTGCATTCCATCCTGTCCCAATCGTATTGTAATCATCTTCAGAAATCATGAACTTGAGATAGTTATGTTTGTATCTCAATGTATTTGAACTCAGTCATAGAGTTATTTTCAAGAAATCAAATGCTAAATTTGCAGAAGTTTCCTGTTAACCAAATTGATAAATGTACATGAAATCATTATCGATGTCCTGCTTTATTTTTTGCTCATAATTACGTACCTGACATGTTTATGCCTGTTTGGTCTGTTTGAGAGTGCATGCCTGACACGTTGTTTTATCTGTTTGAGAGTGCATGCCTGACACGTTGTTTTATCTGTTTCAGAGTGCATGCCTGACGTGTTGTTTTATATGTTTCAGAGTGCATGCCTGCCACGTTGTTTTATCTGTTTCAGAGTGCATGCCTGACACGTTGTTTTATATGTTTCAGAGTGCATGCCTGCTACGTTGTTTTATCTGTTTCAGAGTGCATGCCTGACGTGTTGTTTTATATGTTTCAGAGTGCATGCCTGCTACGTTGTTTTATCTGTTTCAGAGTGCATGCTTCATACTATGTTTTATATGTTTCAGAGTGCATGCCTGCTACGTTGTTTTATCTGTTTCAGAGTGCATGCTTCATACGTTATTTTATCTGTTTCAGAGTGCATGCCTGCTACGTTGTTTTATCTGTTTCAGAGTGCATGCCTGCTACGTTGTTTTATCTATTTCAGAGTTCATGTCACTGATATGGGGACATCGTCTATCCTTGTCTTCAGCAATATACAGGACAGTGATGCTGGCTCCTATTTTTGTGGGGGTTTCTCCCATGCTGCAGACGTATCAGATTCTGTCGCAGTGAACGTGTATGGTAAATGCGTGTGTCTCTTTACAGTGTGACATGATGACTGAGTTTACGCCGCTTTTAGCAATATTCCGACCATATCACTGCTTCGCACATGATACTCAAACATGTCTTTGACGTGACGTGCAAACGCTTCAACCACGAGGCTACCCAACTGTCTGTTTTTACTTATATTTGTAATTCTAGTCTTTCACTACACTTCACATCATTGTATCTTTAAACTGAAAAGCGTATTGTGTTGTTAGGCATTACGGTGCTGGTATAACTTACAGATTAGAGGATAACTTTAATTGAAAAATAACGTCAACCTCTTTTCAAAACATTGGTATTTTACCAAATCTAATAAAACGAAACGAATGTAACATTTCGTAATCGCAGTTTTATATAACAGCATGAAGCATGGTGTTACCGAGAATATGTATACTAGGTATATAACGAGTATTTGCAGCTTGAATGACCCGTTAACTTCGATATATTGTTAATTCCAGATGCCTTTTATGTTCCCACCGTCGACTGTGGCATCATGGAGAATGTCCACGCTGCATTCCAACAGTGTGTTGGGTATTACAACATCACGGGGATGATGTTCCCTGTGCCACAGGGAGATGCGGACATAGTTATCAATGCAGCCAATGTCTTCTTTACTCAAGATGTTCCAGAGATGTGCAGGTGAACCAATGGTCCATCATTAATAGGGGTGTCGCAAACATTACCCGTATTAAATAATAGCTCAATTTCTATGTAAAGAGATTTTCACAGCCACACAAAACCACATTAAAATCACGATGTATAAAGCAGGGATAATATTATTTAATGTCACTGACAGATATCATCATCATCATCATCATTATTTTTATTATTAAAATGTGTTTGCTGCTTCTATTTGTACTAGGATGAGGCGTATATATGTTAAAAACGACAGGGGTATTTATGTTCGTATATCTGTCAAAGTGGGATACAGTTTTATTGAAAAGGTGTCGGGTGCACTTAAATTATATTTTAAAAGGCTGAATAAATTCAATACTTCATTCGGGAAATTTGCGTTTGTAGGCCAAAATATTTTTTTTTAATACTTCAACATGATGAGTGTACTTCAAAAAGTGGTGTGTGTTCTCTGGATGCGGGTGTGCGTCAAACAAAAGAGGAACACCGTAAAAGTGTATAATATTGGAGAACTTTCCTTTTCGAATCACTGCAATAGTAAAACTAAATGTTAACGAGACAGGTGAGCATACCGAGTCTTTACCACTAACACCATTGCACACATCGGATTTATTGCGTTTAGAAAACGAAGGCAGTTCAGCCTGGCTGCACGGTGTGTCACTGCGATATCGGCTGAGTGTCTCAACCGGAACAGGTCGAAAGGCTGGCTGGATTACTTCCATACCGGAAATGACGTAGTGGACGGAATGGCGGTTATTTGTGAGGCTTACATGTCCGGTGAGTTCATGTGAATTGTAAGTTTATGCCATGCTATGTTTGTTATGTTAACGTGCAACCCTGCGAATACGGTGCCTGAATAATATTTGAACAAGTATATGACTAAGAAAAAACAGAAACGATTTGGTATTTGACAGAAGTAACCCTTGGATACCCTATTAAGACACAGTATACTGACTCCGAGCCGATCAGTCCTTGTTTTATCCCCTTATATGCGAGCGCCAGGCAGTACCATCTGAGTCCTGGATTGCCATAAAATCTTTTCACCTGTATTTGACATTAAATGAATATTATGTATACGTGCACGAGGTGCTCACATAGACACTCATAGCTTGTCCACTGAACTTGCATTGCCTATAAGAAATCATTATTCGTTTTAACAATTGTTACATCTTGGAACACGATCTCTCTCTATTACGGAAATATACTAATGATGGCATGTATTTGATATTCAAGGGTGTGATTTCAAAAATACTGTATATAATCATAATGTTATAACCATGTTTGCCTAGGATCCTACAACGCCAGCTGCGTGAGCTCTGTGGAAGACAGTTTGGTTCGCTGTGTAAACGAGGAATACAAGACCTGGCTATCGCAGCCTGTGGAAACTCATGGGGTTGGAAAAGCAAGTACTACAATGTGCAGGTAGTAGACTAAGAATATAAGAAAACTAAGTGAGTGAGTGAGTTAAGATTTAAAGTCACATCGGCAATATTTCAGCCATATCTCGACTATAATGAAACTAAGAGATATTTGCTTGGCGTGAAAGAAGATTATAGAGAAGGTTAGTTTTGACATCGTAGTTACGTTGCCTCTCTCTCTCTCTCTCTCTCTCTCTCTCTCTCTCTCTCTCTCTCTCTCTCTCTCTCTCTCTCTCTCTCTCTCTCTCTCTCTCTCTCTCTCTCTCTCTCTCTCTCTCTCTCTCTCTCTCTCTCTCTACTAAATATTCAATGGATATAGCCCTATGGCGGCATTACTCTCACTGTAAGTGGTGCACTAAATGAACACAATCAGGCAGTATAGAGCTGACCATGAGCATTCCTTGAGCTATTAACATTTGCCGAGAGTAAGCATCAACGTTGTCATTTCCACACTATCGATAACAAGACACCTCTCAGAAGTGGGATGAGACTAACCTGTTGTAAACATCCAGTGGTCAGTATAGATCTATACTGATAATAACTCCCTTTAATGACGTATCATATTGGGCTTAGATACCAAATACGTCCGGAAGAAAACCGTGGCCACTTCAACAAACCCTTCTTATCGTTACGACTGTCGTATGTCAGTGTTCAAGTAGGGGTGTTACGATCGTCCAAGAGCTTATATCAACTAGTGTAACGGAGCACACATTCTTCAACGAAAGTGTCGTTAAGTATATTATAGCCACATTTTATATTCACATCAACTGTGTTGTTCGAAGATTGTACAGCGCATCTTTGGACTGTGCGGAGAAAGTCCTACAAGTATGCAAGCCAAAGATGACCACCGTTGAGAGGTTCGCGGACGCCTACAAGAACATGAAGCCTAGCCAGTGTGCCACGGAGGGTAAGTGGGGCCAATTCAAACCTTAAGCATTAAGACCCCGACATCAATATCTATCATGATTAGTGGTTGTAAGGATTAGCCTGTTTCGTCCTTGCCTTGCCAGGCTACATACATACTTTTTTAAGTGAGTGGCGGATGTTACGGAAGGGCAGGACATGCTTACCCTTTTCGCGAACCTGGTGTCATCACTGATTTTCAGTGATCCATTCATATATTTGCAATACAGTAAACTACCTTTAGAACGAACACGCTTATAACGAACTGACGGATGTAACGAACTTACTTTTTGTCCCGATTATTTGCTGCAGTTATGCTGTATATATGCTTATAACGAACTGCGGTTATAACGAACTAAAACTAGTGGTCCCGTTGAGTTCGTTATAACCGTAGTTTACTGTACTATTTTGCTGTTTACGTCCAATGAAATATGTTTCGTCGGATAATCGAGACTGCTTATTCTGTGGAGTCATATTTACTTTAAATTGTCATCGTGCACTCACATATTGGGAACAGCTATTAACATGTTCAATAGAGTAGAGTATAAAAACCATAACGTACAGTTGTATTGAAGCGATCTGTATTGAAGTAAACATCAGCCAATCATACCATTGTACATGTAGATGGAAAACCCGGTCCTGTGACAGATCCATGAGTATGTTCAGACATTGGTGAGCTCCACGCAAAGTACAGACAGTGTCTGGTCCCGGGGATGTACAATGTTACATTGCCCAGCCTCATCACAGGTTCAGAGATGGCATATACTATACCAGCACTGGTGGTGCTGCAGACATCGGCGGACACTTGCAGGTATACGCGGATGTCCGAGACATCCTAGGCACGTTTCACACATTGAAGTATATACATATATGTTTCACATCCTAGATATCTTCTTTGATAGGCATTTAGAAGTTGGAGTACTGAGGATGGGAAACATATATGGCGTATATATATACATGTAATGATATGATATCCTGATATCCTGATCTGTGCGTGCAATATATCTAGGATGAGTAAGGATAAGAATTAATGGATAAAAAACTTCTTTATTACAATTTAGAGCGACGTTTCGGTGTTGTCGACGTTTCACTTGCTTGATAACGGTGTTAGAACCTACACCGGAACGTCGCTCTTAATTGTAATAAAGAAATTGTGCACACACTGAGATATATACCTCATGTATCCCTGATATCCCAGATACACAGCAAGCACTGAGGTAGATACGTCATATGGCCGTGATGTCCCAAATACATTGCACACACTGAGGTATATACGTCATGTATCCCTGATATCCCAGATACACAGCAAGCACTGAGGTATATACGTCATATAGCCGTGATGGCCCAGATACAGTACACACACACACTGAGATATATACCTCATGTATCCCTGATATCCCAGATACACAGCAAGCACTGAGGTGTATACGTCATATAGCCGTGATGTCTCAGATACATTGCACACACTAAGGTATATACGTCATATAGCCGTGATATCCCAGATACATTGCACACACTGAGGTATATACGTCATATAGCTGTGATGTCCCAGATACATTGCACACACTGAGGTATATACGTCATATAGCCGTGATATCCCAGATACATTGCACACACTGAGGTATATACGTCATATAGCCGTGATATCCCAGATACATTGCACGCACTGAGGTATGTACGTCATATAGCCGTGATGTCCCAGATACAGTGCACACACACACTGAGATATATACGTCATGTATCCCTGATATCCCAGATACACAGCAAGCACTGAGGTGTATACGTCATATAGCCGTGATGTCTCAGATACATTGCACACACTAAGGTATATACGTCATATAGCCGTGATATCCCAGATACATTGCACACACTGAGGTATATACGTCATATAGCTGTGATGTCCCAGATACATTGCACACACTGAGGTATATACGTCATATAGCCGTGATATCCCAGATACATTGCACACACTGAGGTATATACGTCATATAGCCGTGATATCCCAGATACACAGCAAGCACTGAGGTATATACGTCATATAGCCGTGATATCCCAGATACATTGCACACACTGAGGTATATACGTCATATAGCCGTGATATCCCAGATACATTGCACACACTGAGGTATATACGTTATATAGCCGTGATGTCTCAGATACATTGCACACACTGAGGTATATACGTCATATAGCCGTGATGTCCCAGATACATTGCACGCACTGAGGTATATACGTCATATAGCCGTGATGTCCCAGATACAGTGCACACACTGAGGTATATACGTCATATAGCCGTGATGTCCCAGATACATTACACGCACTGAGGTATGTACGTCATATAGCCGTGTTGTCCCGGATACATTGCACGCACTGAGGTATATACGTCATATAGCCGTGATGTCCCAGATACATTGCACGCACTGAGGTATGTACGTCATATAGCCGTGATGTCCCAGATACATTGCACGCACTGAGGTATGTACGTCATATAGCCGTGATGTCCCAGATACATTGCACACACTGAGGTATATATGCGAATCATATGAACTTGTCGGTACATGTACAGGGCAGTGTTTATACTGATGGCACATGAATTTACAATGTATAGTCCTAATGTGTAGTTCTACCACTAACGTGATAGATCCCTGAAGGTCCAGGGTAGAATAACTTTTCAGCAACCCATGATTGCCGTAACTATTCTCGTAAGTGGCAACTAACGGGATCGGCTGGTCACGCTCGCTGACTTGGTTGATGCATGTCGTCGTATCCCAATTGATCGATCGATGCTCATTATATCAATCACTGGAGTGTCTTGTCCAGATTCGATCACTGACAGACCGCCGTCATACAGCTGGAATATTGTTGAGTGCGGCGTCAAACAAACAAACAACCAAACAAACAAACAAACAAACAAACCACATGAAGAGCTGTACTGTTTTGATACGATTAAACTGAATGATACCAATGATCATATAACCGAATTACTGAAATTTAAGATAACTTTCTCTTATTCGACACAATTGTACAAGTTTAGAAAACCAGAGTATCCTTCTAACGTAATGCACATTGCACTTCAGCAACAAAGCGTCCCTGGCTGCAGCTGTTCAGTGTGTGAAAGCCATCAGCAGAAACTGTGTGTATCACACCTGGTTCAATCTGATCCCTGTCCTTCCACTACAGGCAGAGATCGACCTCGCAATCCAGTATAAATGCGTTTTCATAAGAGGTTTGTCAATAATAAGTAACTATATCCTTAGGGAAAGCCTAAAACTGAAACCTTAGAACGTTATACAGTTTGCATTTTGTTGCCAAGACAATTTTACAGTCTCCGTGGGCAAATCGACTTTGTTCTAAACATGCCTCTGTCCAGGTAGGATGAGATGGTAATGTAACCGTTGACCTTCTAGCTCCAGACAGTTATACTCCCCAGAGAGCTGAGAATGACATATCGAGCGCACACTAATCCATTGACCGGGGAAGCAATAATACAGCACTTCCAGCATATATCAGTCTCAATATCTAAAACCGTTTGATAGCATGTATTATCAGGCAAGTTTTATATATCCTCAACAATTTCTCAAGAGCCGTTTCTATTGATCTTACAATCGGCCTTCTGTATAAGCAACCTATACCCTTCGCAAATAATTACACAAATAACTGTATAGTTCAAAATAAAATACCATTTAAAATATCATATCCTGTTTTCATTTTATTTTTGACTGAATGAGTAGTACTATATTTTTTGCAGGCGTTTTTAACAAATACTTCTGGATTTATTTCTCCAGAAATCCACGTCTCCCTCTCTATAATGCGTCGTGTGTGGCTCCCAAAGCCCCAGATGTGTTTACAGACCCCTGTGTTGTCCTGTAACATCAATGTGACATTTCCCTTTCACAAATTCTCTCTGTCCCCACAGCCTATAATGCGTCGTGTGTGGCTCCCAAAGCCCCAGATGTGTTTACAGACCCCTGTGTTGTCTGTCCTGTAACATCAATGAGACATTTCCCTTTCACAAATTCTCTCTATCTCCACAGCCTATAATGCGTCGTGTGTGGCTCCCAAAGCCCCAGATGTGTTTACAGACCCCTGTGTTGTCTGTCCTGTAACATCAATGAGACATTTCCCTTTCACAAATTCTCTCTGTCCCCACAGCCTATAATGCGTCGTGTGTGGCACCCAAAGCCCAAGATATGTTCGAGACTGCGTGGATGAAAATGGCCCACGATTATAACCTTTCGTATCAACAAAACATACAGGCCATGATATGTAGGTGAGTTGACGAAAAAGGTGTCCGAGCGAATACAAGAACCTCCTAAGAACAGTGAATATCATATGCAAATGCTACAATGTATGACGATCTGTGACTCGCATTCTGTGCATGCAACTTGCAGCTTGGACCCGTTCCACAAAGCTATCTTAGCGCTACGGCTGTCATAAGGCCATAGTAAAGTATGGAAATGACGACAGTTGTAGCACTAAGATCGCTTTGTGGACCCAGTTTGTATTTAATCATCACTCATTCCTGCAACAGTTTGTAAAAAGTAATCTGTGGCTCAGTAACTTTGTGTAAAAATATACTGGTTCAATGAAGGCTCGGATAAGACATGGATTTGCAACCATGTGATCCCTACCGTCTTTGAAATGTAAATTTGGCGAAAAAGCAGATTTATTGATTTTCAAAGAGCAAATGTCCAAGATACCCATCAGCAGTTATGTATTGTTCGTTTTTTAAATTTTTTAATCAATTTAAAAAAAAATATATAACAAACTCGAAATATTCTTTGAGTGCTAAGCGCCAGTACAGTTGATCGTTTGGATATAATATCTCTAACTTAAAGTATTTTCAAATGAAAATCCAATATAAGATAAAATGAACTGAAAGGTATTGTTTATTTTACTCTTCAGTTCACATCACTGTTGTATGTCTCTGAGCTGACATTCTGTGATATAACTGAAATAGTTTCAAACCGGCGAAAAATCAAAAGCACCCTCTACAGCTTGACATGTTATTCGTGCATTAACTGATCTTTAATGAGATATATGAATTAGTAGTATCTCTCTTATCAAGATATTTCGCTCTACCAGGTGAGGTTTGTTTAAACACTCACGAAACTAAAGAAACATTGACATTGTTAACCAGCTTCCGCAAGTATGTTGACATAGTCGCTACAACCATGATGTCTGACTGTGGTGACGAGGCTGTGAAGACGTTCCTTGCTGTCAACAACATCGTCGCTCCCGACAACGATCGCTGCCAAAGGTGTACGTAATCAATATTTACAAATAATATCATCTGAGACAAAGGGTTTGGCACTGATACTCGCTTTCCGGGTGTCGCTACCAGGCTTGTAATCCGATGATGCTCCAATCTGTCTGACAGCATAAATGTATCTTTCACGGGCTTTCAGTTCAAATATAAATTCAAGAGGTAAAGTCGTTTGGTGTAACGTCGCGTTCAAGATTATTGCACTTATTGATCGACGTGTCTGAGTAACAAGAGCAACAACAAGTACAATTCTTGAAGGACTTTTGGGATCCGCCAAACTAAATTACAGAACTCTGATCGCAAGATTTTATTTTATTTTCGCACTAAATAATACAACTGAACAGTAGAATGTTTCTATTTCAGTTGGTCACGCAGTGTCTATCCCCTATATCGTTGGATGACACGTCCTGAGGTCGGATGATATGTGACAATATCAATGTTCGATTAGTTGTGTATACATGTAATGCTGATAAAACATTTAATATACCAAGTTAAACTTCAAAAATAATTTTTCATTTTAGGGTTTAATTATGTACCTTCGAAGCTTTTAAAGACGATATTTAGATCTTTTGGGATCATGAATTAGTTCATTAACAATTCCGGATCCGGTTCAGTGTTCGTTTTCATCTACCTTAACACTACATATAAATAATGTTGTTACTGTGACACCCAGTGGAGTAGTGTAATGTAAACACTAATAACTGGCCTACATTTGAAATAGTTTATATATTAAATGTAGTGCATATTACATGTGCATCATGAAGAATTCCGTCCTTGAAACAAGTGCATTGGATTAGCTACTTATTTTACAATAATACCCATTGTTATTTTTTTAAAATTCTGTTATAATAGAAGTCCATTGTCCCCTTTTAACAATCAATTTAATTCTTTACTTACTTTAATGTTGTATAGCATATCAGTATATCAATATACTGTTGAAAAAACAACACTGATCCCTCAAACAGACAAGTTGTGTAGGGTATATAGTAATGATTAAGCACATGTTAAAAGTTTCAAATGGAGAATACACATACTTATTTTAACTAACATCTGACGTTACTTGCATGATACAGAATCGTTCCCAAGTTACATACACGTAACATTTTTACTTTCTGTAAGTAACATTAGTTCTTGGACAAGTTTGAATAAAAAAGGTTTGTTTCCAACAATATGAGTTTCATATATTTCTTTCTAATTTCAAATATAATGGACATTTCAGTATGAAATGAAACTCATCTTCAACAAAAAAACAAATTATATAAGGGTGGATCTTCAAAGATAGTTGATAAATGCTCTACATTATGCATATAGAAATGGATCTCTATCAGTATCCCCGAAAAACAAGTATTGATAACGTGCAATCCAAAGGAAAAGAAACAAAAATTAGTTTGAAAGAAATGGCACCCTATTTCTATCGAATACTGTAAGGGACATTCTCGCGATCTCGCATTCTCGCGATCTCGACCTTTGGAAAGGAGGTAAATATGCCCAAAACACGAGAATGCGAGATCGCGAGAACGCGAGATTTGGTGATCTCTTGACAATCCTTGGTTATGCCAGGTCTGCATGTTTAACTTACAATGCATGTTTAACTTACAATGCATGTTTAACTTACAATGCATGTTTAACTTACAATGCATGTTTAACTTACTATGCATGTTTAACTTACAATGCATGTTTAACTAACAATGCATGTTTAACTTACAATGCATGTTTAACTTACAATGCATGTTTAACTTACAATGCATGTTTAACTTACAATGCATGTTTAACTAACAATGCATGTTTAACTTACAATGCTTTTTAACTTACAATGCATGTTTAACTTACAATGCATGTTTAACTTACAATGCATGTTTAACTTACAATGCATGTTTAACTTACAATGCATGTTTAAGCAACACACAATAATTTATTATACAAATGCCTTACAACCGTAACTGCTTTCACACGTACACGTTGTGATATCGACAGCCTTAACGGTAGTTTGCATCATCTTCATCATTCTTCAAGATTCAGAAAAAAGAGCAGCGGATGGTGGACAAGGTCACTTAGAACCTCACCCTGATAAACTCCTCCGTTCTATACATGGAGGAAATTGTATATTTATACACATTAACGTGATAATGTAGTGATTCGCTCGCCCCATGTCAGACGGGTGGGAAATAAAGTGTTTTGTAGTAAAATAAACAAGTATATGTTAGTGATACTTTCTCGACCAGAGGAACATACATATATACTAAGTCAGTAAGAGCCAGGTATTATATACAAGGTTTACTCGTATTCATTGCCAGCTATTCCGAAGGTAAAATACAATATGGTTAGCCCAATAAAAAGAACAATACAATGATACAGTCTTGATGCCAATATTCGTGATTCCAACCCGTGGCTCACTGTAGACTTAGTCGATTCGAATATGGAGAACAGTCCTGTTTCCATCCACATTCGTTCAAAGTCTGCTGTCATCTGTTCCATACTTTCTCCCCAAGTAACCAGTATGTGTTCATGGATCCCAAGCCCTGTAACACAAACGTAGCAGTATGTACTACCACACCACACACCTTCATCTTGTTCATGTTGTCTGGCGACCGCCTCCGTGACCCTGTGGACGGTCGGGGGGTCGATCCCCGGCCGCGTCATACCAAAAGACGTTCTAAGACTGTGACCTGGCTTAAACAAGGACTCCTCGGCTCGGAGGCCGTATACTGTGTCTGAGTGTAGTATTCATGTATGGTATGGTATCTCAGTGGGCTGGCACTATGAAATCCCATTTCACCTCAACTCATGTTGTCTATCCACAATTATCGTAATATTAGTTTAATACCTTTACATGTTATACATCGAATCCAGTATGTATGCTTTAGACCATCATAGTTTTCATGTTCAACGCATTTGAACGAAAGTCCTATCTGAAGCATCTCGTACTAGACTCACCTTGACTTCAATACTTCCACGCGACCCGATGATAAAGATGCCACATCGATCCAAGATATTCTTAGTATCCACACTTATGTGGATTTTACAGGCTGTAGAATTGGAGGAAAGAAAAATCACAAATGTTATTTTTTCAACAACAATCATGGAAGAAACTTTAATATGATTTAATACAAACTGAAACATTGTCACCTGTAGATTAGGCCTTATAGTTAAGTTAGCAACATCCAGGCATAAAAAAAGTGAATGAAGTAGACTTTAAAAAAGTACAAAGAAGATGCAAAGTGTGTTTTTATCGTAATCATGAGTGAGTGAGTGAGTTGGGTTTAGCGCCGCTTTTAACAGTATTCCAGTTATATCACGGCGTGTCAGCTTAATGTGGGAGAAAAGCCCGAAGTGATGCAGGTCTCAGACGTTTACCACTTCGGTGAAACCCACGAGCACAGGTATGGCGCTGACAAACCTAGAAACATAATCGGGGCGAACCGGAATTCGAACCCACAATCATAGGTTTCTGGCGTGCCAAAGGGACGCAACTCTGCGGCGCCTTAGACGACTGGGCCACCCGTGCCCCCCGTAATCATGAGGGCAATGCACATGATATATTGGCCGTTATATCCGGATACGGTGGCCGGTGTTCTCTAAGGCCGATGCCCATTTTCTCTAGACTGGTGTCGGTATTCTCTATAACTAGATTGAAAAACGATGACATGCTTCAACAAAGTCAGCGAGCTTGCCTCAACTCTACTGGACGATTCCGTTAGTCGCCTCTTACGACATGCATAATCGCCTTTTACGACAAGCATGGGCTGCTGGAGACCTATTCAACCCCGGAACTAACTAACTAACGAACGAACGAACGAACGTTAAAATACAAGAAAATAACTACAAACCTTCTCCGTGAGATTCCATCCGAGAGGCAGTAATAACGGTATCGCCGAATAAGCAGTAGCGTGGCATCTTTTGTCCTACGACGCCGGCGCACACAGAACCTGAACAGTAGTAAAAGAGTTTACGGATTAAGGCAGACAAATTTATCTTACTTTGAAAATATACATGTATGTATGTAAACCCCTTTTCCACAATCTCTTCTTGTTGCTAAGAGCGAGTGAGTGAGTTGGGTTTCACGCCGCTTTTAACAGCATTCCAGTTATCTGCACAGTGAATCGCGGCGCCTTGGACCCGAGTCCAATGTACGATTCCGACCATATAATATGACAAGTATGTGTTTATAACTTCACTTTACAAACAGAAACCGCAAAATAAACTGCTGATCGAAGCTTACATAATACATGTTTTGTCTGTGGAAAAATTAATTACAAATTTGAAACTTTAGAAATGATCTGTGAATGAACATGCCGATAGATTGACTACTCAATGGTCAGACATATCTTTACCATCGAACCCTGTATAAAGCGATCGAAATATCTCTAAAGTCAGTACATATACCAACATATACTCAGAGAGTGAGTGAGTGAGTTGGTTTAACGCTGCTTTGAACAGTACGCCAGTTATATCACGGCTTGTCAGCTTAATGTGGAAGGAAAGCCCGAAGTGATGCAGGTCTCAGACGTTTACAACTTTGGCGAAACCTACGAGCACGGGTATTGTGCTGACAAATCTAGAAACATGACAGGTTTCTGGTGCGTCCAAGGGACGCAACTCTGCACAAAGTAAAGCTAGACATCAAGGATCATTTATAGTAACCAAACAACAAAAAATGACGAATGCCATGGCAACCACTGGTTGATTACACATACAAAACGTCACTAATAATTGATAAATACAACGAAATGAGAACTATAGACATAATATTTAATAATACCCTGTCATTTGGAAATAAAATAAAAACTTCGAAACATGTATCTCAATAAACATAAATATAAACATAAATATCAGAAATTGGGGCGATAAACATGTCCTTGTTAAAGTTTACAGTACATTATAGCTAAACTGGATTGAATTATCATTGAACCGCCAGCACGTTATCAGAAATGAGCGGGCCACTGTAACTTGATAATGCCCTCATATTGCTTGATGACGGGCCATTATCAAGCCCGTTGTTAGGTGACGTCATAGGGTAGGGAAAGTGACGTCACGTTTAATAATGACGTCATCTGGTTTGTTCTATGACGTTTCAATATGTGTTAAAGTGGGTCAGTGACATTCGTGTTGATTGCAGTAAATGTTTCAAAACCGATATTCTTGTTTCTTTTTATTTGATAACAAATTCCATCCATTTTGGCTATAATAACGGTAACGCTCTTTTTAGGCATTATCATTTCCAGAAGCCCTCGGTCTTCTGCAAATGATAATGCCCTGAAAAATAGCGTTATCCTTATAGTATTCAACTAACGTTTGTCGATGTTAGGTCTTTAGCTATATTTCTAAATGGCAATAAGGAACACTTTAAACTGTACCACCTGAAGATAATGCGTTCTGGATCGTTCATTGCTATTTGTATGCATATATTCAGTGTTCGAAATACCTGCCTGCCCGACCGTCCGAGACGGGTTGATTTCAACTCGGGCTGCCAGATTTTCAAATCCCCCTGCCCGACGGTCGGGTTATATTTCATATGTAAAAATATTCTAAATATTTCCGGATGATAAGCATTATTTACATGATGTATTCTAGGATATTAAATACAAATCTAACCTAAAACTATGGCATGAGCCGGGTATTTAGCAAGAGCTGCAATGCCAATAGAATCAAGGATTTCTCACCAGAATGAATGCCAACTCTGAGACGAAGCTTTTCATCCGGCAAATGTAGGATCTTGATGGTGTCTATTGCACGGAGGAGAGACAGGGACATTCGGGAGATCTCGGGCGCATGGCGATCTCCGTTCCGTACTGGTAATCCCGAGACGACCATGTAGGCATCGCCAATTGTTTCCACCTGCGAGGATACAATAATCGTAAGTGAATGAGTTAATTGTAATTAACGGCTCGTTTAAAAGCTCACAGGTTGTATACTTAGACCTTTAGGCATATGGGGAACCCTTACGAGAACCGTATTGTGCTGACATACCAATTATAAACAATGAGAGTCTGATATTCACTCAGGCCGATGGGGTATCCTAGTGGTAAAAGCGTAACCTCTTCACGCCGAAAACCCGGGTTCGATTCCCCACATGGGTACAATGTGTAAAGCCCACTTCTGGTGACCCCGCAATGGCTGGAATATTGCAAAAAGCGGCGTAAAACCATACTCACTCACTCACTTAGATTCACTCCAGAGATTAGCTGGTAGGACTAAGGGGAGCAAAGAGGTAATGGAATTAATTTTTTCATAGAGTTCATTTTGCTGTGTAACACGACATGTTTTCTATCGGATATTAAAGTGATAGATATTATTCTAATAATAAATCCATAATTCAATACTTTCGTGATATGGTTGGAAAGAATCCCCCATTGGGATTGACCAATAAAACACAAAAGAAAGAGAAGAATACTAATCCACATTAAGTTAAAATACTTATTTCCATTTTTAAGCATCGATAGGCACAAATATGATAGTAGTAGGTTATTATAAACTCGGAAATTGGACATTTACGGATATGAAGACAAGCAACCACACTTTAATGAAACGTAGTTAACAAATGATACGAGTTTGTGTGTGTGTGGCTACTTGTACTTCTCCGGACTTTAGGTGATTTGATGGTGCTAGCCTTCTGAGATACCATGCCGCAGTTTAACATAAACACCCCACGTGATACTGACTCCGAGCCGACCAGTCCTTGTTTCATCCCGTTACTGTCCAACGCCAGGCAGGGTTATAACAAGTAGCATATATTAACGTCTTTTGGTATGACGTGGTCAGGGGATTGAACCATTCACCTTCCGCGCTCTCTGGACAGAGGCTCTATCCTTTACCCCCCCCCCCCCCTCCCCCCCCCCCCCCCCCCCCCAACGGTGGCGGTCCGATTTCACATATGTACACAATATGTGATAGCATAAACGCGTTCTCAGGGTATCCACTTACTTTGTAAACGTCGTATCCGTCGATGATGTCGTCGAAGCAGGAATACAAGTCGTTTAGGAGATCAACGATCTATATATAACATTGATAAAAAGAATGAAACTATTTGAATGAGGTTTATCTTGTTTTACCACAGTTAGGCACTTATCTAACAGGAGAAATAAAACACACTTTGAATAATTCCCCCTGGGTCTATTTCATTCTGGAAATATCGTAAATATCCGGAGAATGCATCTTGCATCATTAATTCGAGATACACAATTGCGGTTGGTATGTTGCAAATGTAAAGTAACAGTTCGGCAATTCGTGCGGGAAACTTAACATGTTAGAAGCGTACATGACAATAATTGAAAAGGTCTAAGCAATCAGAATCCGACTTTAATGTGTAAGGTGAGATAAGATATTACCTGCATTGGTGTTGATCTGGCCGATAGTGTGGTGAAGCCGCAGATGTCGGTGAAACACACGGTTACCGACTCAAATGAATCAGGTTTTACTCTCAGGCCGAGTTTTAACTGGTTAGCAACAGACCTGAAATAATGAGTAGTACTTAAGTCTTTACAAAACATGTTTGGTGGTCAAAAACAACCCCTCTTGTATGTATAGTCCTTTATGAATACCTTGCGAAACAAGGGCGGTCGGGTAGTCTAGTGATTAAGGCGTTCGCGTGTCACGCCGAAGACCCGGGTTCGATTCCCGTCATGGGTACAATGTGTGGAGCCCATTTCTGGTGTCCCCCGCCGTGATATTGCAAGAATATTGCTAAAGGCGCGTAAAACCAACCATACTCACTCACTCGTCACGCCGAAGACCCGGGTTCGATTCCCGACATGGGTACAATGTGTGGAGCCCATTTCTGGTGTCCCCCGCCGTGATATTGCTAGAATATTGCTCACTCACAAACCCTTGCGAAATAAAAGTGACAAAACCCTTTTCAAATTCATAAGAAATCTCTAAAAGAAGAGTCGATTGTACGATTCCGAGTACATCATGAGCATGCGCATATGAATCACTATCAAATAGTGATGACACTCGATAAAGTGACGTATCCTGCCCCACCGATGGCAGGGCAACTTGACTAATTGGTTTAATATATAACTTTGTGTTTAAGTTATTACTTGCTCTCGTCGCTATGGTTAAACCATTGGCGATGACACTTTAAATCCATATACAACTAATGACTTAAAAATAGAGTTATATATTACACCAATTAGTCAAACACGGATGCCACCGTTGGGGCAGGATACGCTTACTTTATACAGAACACATGTCATATATATTAACTCTAGGTGTTTCCGTATCATTTTCTACAAGACTACCGGACACCCATGTTTGACAGTGGCTTAAAAACAAGAAATGGTTATTAGATTGGCTTGTATCAGATTAATAAAGTTTTGATAACGTTTGAAATTTCTTGATCAAATCCAATTTTCAAGTATACACATTCTTTTGCCCGACAGTTTACATCGATTACAATTACCATATATCATAATGAATACAGTTGAATATGACAATGATACACATAATGTCCCTTACAGTTTCAAGGGCAAGCGTTCTTCACAAAAGCTTAGCAAGAAACAAGATGTCAGCTTGTCATGAATCAAATGGATGTTATACATTACAGTCACGCTTTCTATAACGTGTGTTTTCATGATACGGTTTTGGTAAAGTAGCGTTTGGTGCAATGTGTTGTCTCCCCTTCACTGTTACTGACTTTGGAATGATCTGATGGAGGAGTTCATCCGTTCTCTTCTTCTCCTCCCGGACTCGGTGGGTCTTCTCATCCACAAGCTTCTCCAAGTTATTAGCGTACTGCTCCATACGACGAAGAAGGTTATCGAAGAAATTGCCAGATGCACCGAAACGTCTGAAACATAATTTGCTAACTGAACCTCAGTTTGATGACTAAAAGCAAGACGTATATGCCTTAAGTCTGTAGTTATCGACTGCAAGATTCTTCATTGAAGGCAGTATAATATACATCATCGGTTACGTGCTTCGCCATTGCGTTAATAACTGTGAATACATGTATAAGGATATTGATGTCTTTATTATCAAGCAGAATTGGTAGTTTAAAAACGTACGCCGCCATATCTTTAAGAACCCTCTTTACTGTCACAAATTGAGGTCTTTCTTTTGGATTTTCGGCCCAGCACTCTGCCATCAGGGATTTGATTGCATCCAACGAGGATGGTGCATCAAACCTCGGCCTCAGCGGATCGCTACCTCCCTGTTTAAGCTTGGATAGGACAACTGGAAGATGAGAACATGGCGAAATAAGACATAGGACGTGGCGTCTTTCTGACTGATTAAAGAAGAGTGATTGAGTATGATTCTACGCCACTTTTAGCAATATTCCAGCAATATCACAGCGGGGGAGACCAAAAATGGGCTTCACACATTGTACCTATGTCAGGAATCGAACCTGGGGCTTCGCCTTGACGAGCAATCGCTTTAACCACTAGGCTACCCGACCGCCCCGATAATATGAGAAACTCGGCAAAGCTATATTTCGTCTTGGTTGTAACACGGTGAGCTAATCACATCACAAGAAATCAGGGAATATCAACAATGAATGTAATGTTTTTTGAGTTTCATAGTTTACATTTGTAGTTTATATGCCACTCAGAAAGTCGAAAGTGATGCAGGTCTCTGACGTTAACCACTTTCGCGGAACCAACCACCCAGGGTTTGGTGCTGACAAACCTAGAAACATAAACGGGGAGAACCGGGATTCAAACCAATAATCACAGGTTTCTGGCGTGCCCAAGGGACGCAACTTTGCACGGCGTATTGCAGCGCCTTAGACGACTGGGCCACCCGTTATAACATGACGGAATAACTGTGGAGTAAATGAAATAGATATACCATCGATGCCGAGTGTCTCTGTCTCGTTTCCGAAAGGTGAATCTCGCGAAAACACTTCTTGTAGAATTATTCCAAAGCTGTACACGTCTCCTTCTCTGCTTCCACGTAGATCCTTGGCACGCAGGTGTTCGGGGGCACGCCATAAACAATCTGAAGAATGAACAAGTGACTTTATGAAGAATTTAAGTGATCCATTCATATTATTTTCACCACTATTTTGCCTTTTACCCCTAGTAGAATCCGTTTCGTCAGACAATCAAAACTGATTATTCCGGTTGTTGACGTGCAATTTTAATATCATAATTACACATCTAAAATGACTTTATTTAAACCTAACTCTTCACGCTTAAGGCGTTCGTCTTTAATTCATGACCAAAACCAATTTTTCGATGGCCATCGTTCACGTTTTAAACTGTACGTATATCCAATATTAACCATGAGGGTGGAACGCACAGTAAACCATCCTTCAATGACACATATGCTTGACGGTATTGATTGCTACTGTACGTGTAGCGCAGAATACGACAAAAGCAAACATCCTGATACGTACGAAGATCGGGAATCGTTAATAATAATACCAATAATAAAAATGATATTATTATATAATAATATTGACACCCCCACACGGAGACTCAAGTCAGACAACAAATCCCACCACCCTCGCTCTTCCCTCAAACGCTTATATTTACCAATCATTATGGGAGGGCGTGGTTTGATTAACGTTGGGGCTCTTCATGATTGCTTTGTGCACTTTTACACACATTTATTTGTCTGATGATCCTCTTGTGAAGCATGTCAAGACTCGTGATGAAAACAAGGCATTCCACAGTTTTCGAAAACGAGCCAAGGATGTGGGACATAATCTCAATGTCGGTGTTGATTTTGTTGGTGGTTCTGTACTGCTGGACGGTACAGAAATGAGTGTCATTCAAGTGAAGTGCCATATCAAGTCGGCCCACACTCAGTTTTTCAAGGAGATGCTATCAGAACGACCACTGCATCGAGTTTATGTGCAGTGAAGTCAGCTTCTCTGCAATGTCCTTCGCGTGGATGAGGTCGGCTGGCCTGAAAAGTGAAACAGAAGGCTTTCTGTTTGCTGCTCAGGACCAGTCACTTCCCACTCGAAACCGTCAATGTGTGATTTTGAATCAAAATGTAAATATGAAATGTAGATTATGTAATGAATTTAATGAGACTATCCAACACATTGTCAGTGGATGCCCAGCTTTGGCACAAACACAGTAGCTTAAGCGACATGATGGTATGGCTCGATCATTTTATTACCGTCTTCGCCATGCTTGTTGTTTTGACACAGAGGTCCATCCATGGTTTGACCCAGAATATGTAGAGGGCGTCATGGGCGTTTTTTAATAGGCACGTATACAGCCTCAGACATATCCAGGCCAACAAACCAGATCTTGTCCTTTTTGTTAAGTCCAATGAAATCATATATCTTATTGACTTTTCTGTCCCTTTTGACAGTTGTGTGATTGACAAGATTCGGGAAAAACATGGCAAACATGCAGACCTCGCTTTCGAAATGTCAACCTTGCATCCCAAGTACCAAGTTGTCCGACTCCCCATTGTTCTCGGTGCCTTAGGTTTGGTACCTCCCAATCTGTTGACTGACATTGGGAGTGTGCCCGGGTTTGCTACCAGGAATACAGCCCTCCTGACAATCTGGGTAATGCAGATGGCTGCAGTGTTGGGGAGTCCTAATATTCTCCGAAATGTTCTGGGTGGGTTTGACTAGGCAGCGCTTCCTGGGAGAAGTCCCATTCGCTGTCTGGGCTGCGTGAAGAGGGGGCAACAAGCCTGACTGTGCCAGGATCACCCAAACCCTCTTTGCTGCATTTTTTTAATTTTAATATGTACATAATAATACGATTCCAACTCCAATGTAAGTCATGAGCATGTGTTTCAGAATCAGTATGAACAGGTGTTCGCGAAAAGGTGAGTGACACCGGTCACAAACACGGGCACAGGACATCAATTGTTCACCTGAGAAAAATAGGGAATTGCATCGTACATCAATATTGTCATTGATGCAAATTAGGAAATGTCCTCCAAATGTCCAGCATAAAACATTTTAAAAGTTTAGCTGAATTAAAATAATAATAGCATCAACAACATGGTAACCTACTGTTCAACATTGTAACCAAATGCTGTACCTGTTTTAAATTCTTGAGATTTGAAGTCCGGCTTGAGTTGATTGAATATCTGATGCGGTCCGTAATCTGCTATTTTTACAGAGAAACAGTTGTCCACCAAACACACACTGCTGGTCAGCCGGCCATGCTTCTTCAGGGGGCTATCATGCAAGTAACACATGCCCTGGTTGTATGAACACATAGAAGTCATTACTGCATCATAAATGTCTTTCAATCCTTCTTCTTCAGATGTAATATCTCATAAATAAATTGCAAGTGATTCTGTGGCATTTGATTGGCAAACCAAGCAATATTTTTTTTCCGTTTATGTTTCCCTTACCCATCAAGAGTTTACATATCGATATGTGCGATAGTCCAATCATATTTAGCACAGGAAAGTGGCCTGGGTGTGGCAAGGGTGGAAACAAGACTTTTATAAAAAGGCTAGTGGCCGCTCTTACCTCGAGAAGATGGTATATAACATGCTATTGATATATTAGTTGTATCACATCGATCCGCAATGCGTTGGAAACAACAAAACATTGATACAACTAGCGTGTACTTGGACCAGTGTCAATACTCATGGTACATGTGTAGTACAATATGAAATATAGCAGAAGCATATATTTTCTAAAGAAAGTTAATATCATTTCCAAATTTAACACATTTTACAAGGTCTCTCGCAGAAATAAATAAATTGCATCATAGAGCGTAAAGACAAAACTATATACTCTATACATGTATATTCATATACTCCATCTCTGTATATTCACCCTTTGTCGCTTTTATTCATAATATATCAGGTAGAGTACTTTTTACCTTAAGGATGTCGGTGCAGAGTGAGAACTTGAACTGAGCATCCAGATTAACATCGCTGTTTCCAATTATATCCTATTAGAAAAATTAAACATTTAATCCCTCGACAAATATAGATTTTAAAAGGAAACACACCTTAGGAAGAGAATATAATATTATGGATGTCACCTTCTCATTTATGAGGAACACAACGTTTCGGAGTAAATGCTTACTCCTTCACCTGATGAAGGAGTAAGCATATACTCCGAAACGTTGTATTCTCTTCCTTATGTGTATCACTTCTAAATACCTTTCAAAGACTTGAAACATACATCGTGTGACGTTTCTAAACAAGGACATTTATGACTAAGGATATTATAATCCAACTATGCTTTACATGCCATGGCTTATAAAAAACAAGTCATTCGTGCTACGTGTCTGCCTGTCATTGAATAAAAGTAGATCATTTATATAAATGTACAAGGGGACACGGGTGGCCCAGTTGTCTTGGGCGCCGCAATTGTCAGTACCATATCCGTGCTTGTGGGTTTCATAAAAGTGGTGAACGTCTGAGACCTGCATCACTTTCGACTTTCCTCCCACGTTAAGCTAAGCCGCCGTGATATAACTGGAATACTGTTCAAAGCGCGTTAAACCCAACTCAATGCATTACCTTATTTCAGGAAAATGAAACAGAAACTTCTTACCATTAGGCTTCCTTTCTGGCAGAACTCCGTTATCAAGTACTTGTCCTCAGCTTCAAAAACAGCTCCATGAACCCGTGCCAGATTCTCCAAGTTCAAGTCGCGTATCTGACGAAATATTCATTCTGAATAAGCCAATTTGAATTATTACCCTTTGGCTATGATACCTGTCCTATCGGATAAATAAACCAGTCCAAATCACTCATTATGATTCAACACCTAAATGCCACATATATTGACATTATCTTGTAAACATTATTCGCGTTTGTAATCATATTGTGGCTCGTACTTTTTCCTTTTTTCATTTTTGTGGATGTAGTATACTCACTTAAAGTGTAGGGTCACACAAATGAAAGTTATTGTCCAGTACTTCATTAACCCCAAAGGTTGAACGAAAAGTAATAAATTAATATATTTCACATATAACCGCGCATATTGTTTTGACATTTCAGACCTGGGTTGTTTCAGCTGCTGTATATAAACATGGGTGTTAAATGGGGAGAAGTTTAGTATTTGAGAAACTCTTCCAAATTGTGCGTTCGTGAAAAATAATGGACGAGTCTTGATCATTGAACTTTGTTCAAAATGGATCCATTATGATTTAACTTTTTTTTCTAAGTTAGAAACAAATGCAGCTTGTCATGCAATGATTTAAATGGAGATTTGATAGCGCTTATAACTTGCCGGGCAAAAATGTAAACAAGTGACAACTGGATGTGACCCCAAAAATACAAACTTTGTCAAAACTATAATATGGTGCAAACGGTCGCTGAAACACTGTAAACTTAAGGTTTAAAACACAACTATGATACCCCTAAGAAACGCATCACCATCGAATAGCCAGTTCTTGTTTGTTTCCTTTTTAGCCAACATAGCTTCTTTAGCCTGACAGTTTAGTTGACCATGGAGGTCACTTGTCTAGCTCCACATCTGAATTGGCATCATTTGTGAAACTGTACCTTGGATGTCCCACCTGTTTGTGTCCAATTCCAACGACAAATGATCAATACGAACGTTGTCATGACACACTTACATGCAGGAATTCTTCAATCAGTGTTTCGTCCACAATGATGGATTGCAGATGAATCGTCTTCAATCGGACTGGGCAGCCCTGAAAAGCAGCCGTCAGAATGAAACGCTTTATGATCAGGTAGAAGAAACTATACTCCCCATGAGCGTTTGATAATATCCCCTGTTAACAGTTGGCATATCTGATTACAAGTCTGTGATATAGCTACATTTAAGGTTAATATACAGTTGTAATTCGAAAGCATAATTTTACACGTGACAATAAGGCCACATCCGCCAGTCGTCTCGCCCCAAACTATTCATCTGAGGGGTGAGGACAGCAATATTTCCCCAATAAAGGCACACATTTGTTATAAATTTGTTCCTTGAATTTCGATTCCATTTCAAGTATTTTTATTATCACACTAATGGTAGTGTAGTGTTAAACAATGTTGTAATTGTATTGCATTTTTTCTGTTAAGATTCGGTGGAAGTTCATGACTTTCGGTATTAACAATAATTAGTTGTCTTTAATGAATTAGTATCTAATGTACGCAGTACTATGGCAGTTACTTTTTTAGATACTTTTTGAGTCAAGTGTAATCTTGCTATAGATTAATCCATAATGGTATCGAACCTTCTAGAAGGGATTTAGACTATAAACGGTAGGCAAGAGCGTGCCTCTCTCATCTCACATTACATCAAGACCAGTATATATCCAGCATATGCCTTTTTTGGAAGCTTGACCACTGTTGCCGCTAGTTGAATATTAGTATCACTGCCTTTATTGGTATTACCACTATTATTGTATTTTATACTGCCGTTGTAATTTTACTGCCATTATTTTTTTTATTTCCACACTATTGTGTACTGCCATTGTAGTTACTTTGCAGTAATTTGTATTGATTTGTAAACTTAGTTAATTTTATAATACCATTGTTTATTGTATAACATCGTTGTTGTTTGCTTTCACACTGAAGTCGTTTGCGTATGCCTGAGTTAACAGATACTGTTTCAACTTGGAAGTCGACACGTAACAATCTGATCTGATCTAATTAAGCTATGTCTTTCAATGTGTACATGAAGAATTACCCTGTGCAGTCCAAATCCACCACCGTAAGAAGGAATGCTTTCACTTTTCGGGGTAAGGGAACTGAATTTGGAGTTCAGACTCGCCGCTGAGTCCGACACACTACGCAGCCCCACCTGGATGTCTGCGGAGTCTACCCTCCACCACAACTTGTCTACAACTGGTTTCTTCTTTCTGTGCCTGCAACATGTATTTGTCAGTAGCCGAGTGGGTATTTCAACGGCCAATACCACGACCAGGTTTCTAGACATAGCCATGTGTACATTTCTGTCCACAGTCGGTAAATATATATGGTGTACAAAACTGAAGACAGGTTGGAGATGTGTGTCATAAGGTAACGTTTTATGTGTGGTAAGGTGGTGGATGTGTTCCTTTTGACTGAATACGCTTCATTAACACGCGTAAATTGAGTACGAAATAGATGAGCCAAAAGACGTTGTCACCATCTTGAAAACAGGAGTGAGTGAGTGTGTTGGGTTTAACGCCGCTTTTAACAGTATTCCAGTTATATCGCGTCGTGTCAGCTTAATGTGGGAGGAATGCCCAAAGTGATTCAGGTCGCAGACGTTTACCACTTCGGTGAAACCCACGAGCACGGGTATGGTGCTGACAAACCTAGAAACATAATCGGGGCGAACCGGGATTCGAACCCACAATCATAGGTTTCTGGCTTGCCCAAAGGACGCAACTCTGCACAGCGAATCGCGGCGCCTCAGACGACTGGCGCCTCCGTGCCCCCCATGAAAACAGGAAATGGAGGGGAGTGTAAGCATAAGAGTCAGTAAAACACCACTATGACAAGACGGAAGTAAGAAAGAGTAATATTCTATTTGCTTACAATTTTCTAATGTGCTACAGTCAGACAGCTACGTTCAATCAGCAGGTAAGGTGAGATTATTAATTATGGTGTCTTTAATTGCCGTATACGGTGTCATATTAGGTCAGCAGACAAATATTTGGCGAGGCGCGAGCCGAGCCCAGTATGTATCTGCTAACCTACTATGACACCGTATACGGCAACAAAAGACACCACAACGAATTTATTATGCCGAAAAGTGTACACTATTTGGTATCCACCTATATTAATCCACCTAAAATGGATACAATTATCATAAAAATGCCCGCATGTTATCAGAAATCTTCGGGCCACTGTATTTTGATAGCAGTCCGCTTTTCCCTAACGACGGGCTGTTATCTATTATATTGTTATGTGACGTCACTGGCGTCACGTTTCTTGTTTGTGACGTCATCCTACAATTTTTGTGTTCTATGACGTTGTTATTTGTAAACCAGTGACCTCTGTAGATAGCTTTTATTGTGTGTGTGTGTGTGTGTGTGTGTGTGTGTGTGTGTGTGTGTGTGTGAATTACGCGATGGAAGATATGTGAACAAGATCTTGTACAGACTGGCATGATGAACGCTTTCAGCAGCATATTATATGTGTGTATACAGATGCTTTTTTATATTTGAGTTATTAATTTATAATGCTTTATAGTTTAGGAGCTTCAAAGCTGTTCAATAAGCGTCTTCAGACATGTGAGAGTCACGGTGAAAACTGTTGACACAAGTGATGACCACCGATACAAAAGAAAGGGAACTCTGATAGCCTACCTGATCTGCACAAAGAATACAATGGACGGGTAACTCGTATGACCCACCTGATCTTCACACATAATACAATGGAGGGATAACTCGTATGGCCCACCTGATGTCCACACATAATACAATGGACAGGTAACTCGTTGACCCATCTGATCTCCACACCTAATACAATGGACAGGTAACTCGTATGACCCACCTGATCTCCAAATAATACAATGGAGGGGTAACTCGTATGGCCCACCTGATGTCCACACATAATACAATGGACAGGTAACTCGTATGGCCCACCTGATGTCCACACATAATACAATGGACAGGTAACTCGCATGACCCACCTGATCTCCACACATAATACAATGGACAGGTAACTCGCATGACCCACCTGATCTCCACACATTATACAATGGACAGGTAACTCGTATGACTCACCTGATCTCCACACATAAAACAATGGACAGGTAACTCGTATGACCCACCTGATCTCCACACATTATACAATGGACAGGTAACTCGTATGACCCACCTGATCTCCACACATAACACAATGGACAGGTAACTCGTATGACCCACCTGATCTGCACAAAGAAGGCAATTAGAGCCAGGACTATCAGAAGACCAATGGTACCGGCCAGCGCACTAATCAGCCTGACCTCCGACACTGAAGCAATGATAGCAGATATGCATTTATCTCATTTCGCAAACCAAACACACAGAGTTAGGCAAGAGCAATATACAAAGACGTTCCTTTTTTATGAATATATTTGATGATTTAGCGCGTTAATGGGAACAACGTTGTTGGGGGGAGGGGGGGGGGGGGGGGGGGGAGTCGTCATTATTCATACGATTTCCGCTGGTGATAGTTTTGAAAACGTGACGAGACATTGTGGCATATTCATGTCCTGCCCACCCTCCCCCACCCCCATGCAAATGTATGTCATCCGGCCTTGCGTCGAACATTAAACATATCTCCACATTTAATAAGAAATGTCAGTACTGTATTAATGCGACTTCTTTAAGCGCTGACGGAGATCTGTTAGAACCGTTCGACTGACACACGAATGGAAACGAATCTAGCAGGTACTTACCAGTCAAATTAGTTAGATTAGTACTATACGTGCATCGCATGCCCTTGTAACCACATTCGGGTACGTCTGGTGGGGGACCGAAGTTCTGAGGCCAAACGATTGTCCTGCCAGGGGTGTGTCTGAAGGTCTTAGTTCGTCCCCGGAAACTGCCAACCCCCTGAAGGGCACATCAGAAACACACAGGAAATGCATTTGTTTCGAGATAGGAATAAATAAAATAAATGTTTCCACATTTCATTTGACACTACATATTATTAATTTTAGGTTATTAAAATTTGTTTGAGCAGAGTCACCATCGAGACAAAAACACACACACAAAAAAAAGAGTGGTGCTGTATTAATCAGTATATCCTTGATGATTGAAAACACTCACAATGACTCTCCCGGCTTTAGTTAAATCGAGTAGGAAGAGGTCCCCATCCCGAGTGCCATTTTCATCCAGTGAGATGTTCCTGTCTATCCCTGAATAACACATGAGATGATAACGTTCAAAGTCCAATATCCCATCTGGTACCCATGAAATAGTCACACGCGTACGAGGCCAGCAGCAATACGTGGTGGTGCATATATATACAAAAATACAATTTAGAAAGGAGAGTCTCTCTTAATTTGAATTCTATTATGACGGGTTATAATTTATTGCATTAACATTAAACCATCTGTCAGTCTTTACGATTGTCAGAATTTGAACCACGCTGATGAGTAAATAGTAATTGAGTAATATCACTGTTATGTGTAGACAGAAGAAAACTGACGTCAGCTGAACCGATATTATTCATGGAGGGAGCGAGACTAGCGTACAAATTAGGTACAAACAAAGGACAAGTTATGGCATGACAAGGTCCGTTATTGGCCAGATGGACACGAACTCAGGTCAAACGTCAATTCGTAAAGTTATGGAAAAACTTTGATTATTGATGAAATAATTTTCAGACATGTCTCGAAATGTTTCGTTCTGCACAACACGTCCTAATTAAAAGTGACATAAGTGAGTACATGACTTTGGTTTCACGCCGCTTTGAACAGTATTCCAGTATCACCGCGTGTCAGCTTGATGCGGGAGGAAAGTCAGAAGTGATGAGGCTTAGATGTTTAGCAGTTTGTTGAAACCCTCGAGCTCATGTAGGGTGCTGTCAAACCTAGAAACCGCGTCGAACCGCGATTCGAACACATGGTCATAGGTTTCTGGCGTGCCCACAGGACGCTACTTACATGTAGACGACTGGGACACCCGTGTACCTAATATTGGCAGGAAGTACACGTACAAGCTCGCTATTTCCAACGTCCTCCAGTCACGCTGTAGTTTATGTCTGTTATGTCTCTGATATTGATGCCGTGATAGCAAATAAAACCCTTCCTCCGAGGGACGACTACTGATATGTGGGTGTCATCAAATTCAATCATCTTCCTTCCTGGCATCTCTATATCAGGGGTAAGTGGTAACGACGCATCTTCCCGGGGCAAGGGATTTAACTGACTAAAAGAGTCCAGTTTCCAGTCTTGTCGAACTTGGCTGGAATTCCGGCTGGACTTACCAGTTTATGATCAGTCCAATCAAAATCGCGTAATGACCAAGGCACTAGGTTCGTAAACAACATGGATTTCAACGTGCAGATTTCCGTCGACTGCAGGATTTGCAAAGCGTGTGTATCGTCAACTGCGAGTCGGCAGATATTTTCCAAATCTTTTCATGCTTCTTATCAAGGTGCACCCGTGATTTGACGCACTTCGCGAGGTAATACCCGTTTCATAACAATAGAGATCTTGACTATCGATCAGATCGTCTTGACTGGGCGCCGCCATCTTGTTTGAAGCTAATATATGTGATATGAGAGGTGGAATCTGATTGGTCAGTAGGGGGGACGTAGCCTCGTAATAGCCACTCGAGCCACGAAATTCAAATCTAGTTCGGCAAGGGTGGAACTGAGTGTTTTGTCAGTTAACGCCCTTGTCATGGATCGATTGTTGAACATACCCGGAAAGGTCCTATTCAACATTTTCCTTGTCATGGCTGTTCCATTGTACGGATCGCCTCCCTCCTGAAGTGTTTCATACAACACTTGGGCATACAGGGTGACGGCGTCGTGGTAGCCTACGATGAACTCGCCTGGCTGTGGAAAATCATTGTAAACTCATAGCGTATAATCTTTCTTCAAAATAGTTATTTATAAAATTTAGACATCCTGTTCAATTACAAATTCAATGTAACCGTCAGAACAAATCTATGATATTGTTTTATATAATTTTGCTGAGTGCGGCGTTAAACAACAAACCAAACCAAAATTGAAGCACCCTATCTTTATGTGAACTCTCACAGTTGGGCCTAAGACAAGACGTCACCCTGCAATGAGATGACTTCATGATACGATACATGACGTCACATGATGTCAACTAAATTGAATTATAAATATTGATAAATATTGATCCAATCGCATATTGATTTAACGTGGTTTTCATACCCCAAAGGCACGTTTTTATAAAACTGGGATTGAGAAAAAAAACCTACTTATCGAGAAAACTTTTCATGCCCAGTGAATGGTCCAGGAGATTCCCGGGTTTCGAATCTTATTTGCTCAGTTTTTCAACCAATAGAATTGTAGCATACGCTCCAGTTCGTATAAAATATAAAATATCATTAAATTATTTTATAAATGTAATTGTTCGAACTTACGACATCGTCGCCGAAGTCGAGGTCCCAGTTTTCGAGGGCGTTGGCAACGACCGTCTCCTTGAAGAGTTCATATTTCTTGGTTTTCGACTCTCTCAAAGCCAGGAAGAAAACGCTTTGGAAGGCTTCCAGTGCCTTCTATAATGGAAGACATCGGTAGTAAAATAAACATAACGACATTCCCACAATAGAATACTTATGTGATAATCTGAAACCCCGTGAGTCCAGAAAAAACCCATCTAATAGGCGCCTGCAGTTACTAACGCCTGGGAGTGCGTCAGTATTGTTATACGCCGCACATTGCACCCATGTTGAGAATCGAACCCGGGTCTTCGGCGTGACGAGTGAAAAGGTTCAACCACTAGGCTACCCTATCGCCCTACGAACGTCTATATATAAATGCAGAGGGACATACATCTTTCCGTGCCCATGATTTGTTAATCCTGACATTTGTTTGATGAATTTTCTTTTATCACAACTTCGGGGTCTTTGAAAACCTTTGTTCCGATGTATCTTGACAGAACCGATTATTATCATTACCAGAGAGCACAACAATTTTTGCTTCTCAGGATTGCAACAACTTAATGCAGTTATGCCCCCACGGCATCAAGGATGTCGTTTGACGACCGAAGAACATAGCAGATGCACGGACATGCTTGAAACTTGGTCAGCACTCTCTTGTTGAAAGTCTTTGGTTTCAGGCGGAGTGTGAGTAGCAGTGCATAGAATCGATACCAGACGTTTTGAACAGCTACCCACCGACATGCAGGTGGTCGACAGCGTTCCATCACACAGCAGGAAGACAGGTTTCTGCTGATTGCAGCAAGACGTCACCACCTCGTGACTGCCACCACACTCAGAAATGACCCGCGGACAGTGAGTAATCGTCTCTGTGAGGCTGGTTTTCGGTTAATGAGGGCATTTGCATTTGCATCTCACTGACCCACCATCATAGGCAGGCACGTTTGGACTGAGCTGAAGATCACGTCAGTTGCACAGACCAGGACTTCACATATCGTCGAGCCCATGTGTGGCATACACAACATTTGACCATTTATCAAATCTGTCAAACCCTTATGAGATCAGGTGAAATGAACGAAAGCCTTATGGTGCCGCGTTGACTTTTTCTCGTTATTTCGTGTTTTTTAAATAAAGTGGCACCATTAGGCTTTCGTAGAAATGGTGTTTAGCGTCGTGTTAAAGATTATTGTACTTATACAAAGACGTGTGTGTGTGTTTGTGTGTGTGTGTGTGTGTGTGTCTGTGTGTCTGTCTGTCTGTGTCTGTGTCTGCTCGACTAATACCGGTTTTACAGTGTTAGCCCACTGAAATACCATGCCGCAGTTTTATATGGCCACCCCACTCAGACACACTTTACTGACTACGAGCCGACCAGTCCTTGTCGAAACAAGGCAAACAAGTAATTATGAAAACCATATGTATGAATCACTGGAAATTACAGACGACACAGATGTTCGCAGAAAAGGTATTCAAATCCGGAGATGTGAAAGGTCGTGGAATGGAATAACATAGCACATCATAACTTTTCTCGTGTGACTGAACTGGGCCTTTGATTATGAAACCTTGATTGGAAAACTAAGTTGCAAAGCAAAACGTCTTTCCGTGAAATGTGAATAAAATATAATGCTCTAAAGTCCCTAAACAATTGAGACATGTAGACGGCATACGCTGGGGCTGATGAATTATACTGCTCGGAGTGCTATGGGTCTGAGACGTTTATCACTTTGGTGAAACCAACCTTAACAGGTGTGTTCTGACAAACGTAGAAATATAATCAGGGCGAACCGCGAACCGCGAAAAGAACCCACTCTCATAGGTTTCTAGCACGCCAAAAGGAAAAGAACTCAGCACGGCGAAATTTCCCCCGCCTTAGACGACTGTGCCACCCGGAGCTGTTGAAATGTGGCTCTCCCGATCCGACATCGTCCTATCGGCTACCCACCTCGTCGTTCTCGTCCCCTCTCTGCCAGACATAAGGCGTGACGGTCTCCAGCAGAGCAACTGTGATGATGAAGACGTACTCGCCATTGGTGTAGCCCATGTCGTGGGCAATCAGCATGATGTCGCGAACAACGTCAGCAGGCGCATGGATGATGAAGACTGATTAAAATGGCAAAACGTTAGTTTCGATCTTTGAAGCCTTTTAGACATTAAGCATGCGACATATAATCATCTTCCCGAGGCAAGCGTGTCCACTAGCCTACATCAAAGCACAGTTTCTACCCTTGCTACATCATTGCCACTTTTTTGGCTCAAGCGCCACCTCACGTAGTTCACGAGTTGTGTCCCTTGTAATGAAAACGCGAGATCCAATCAGATCGCGGTTCTGTTCCCGTATAGCTTCACCAAAATGGTGATTACCACAGGCGAAGATGAAAAAGACATATTCGTGTCAACAAAGTCAGGCAGCGGTGAAGCACTTTCATACGAAGGTGTACCAGTCGTGGATGTTGATTTTGTGAAACGTTCTCTGATTGGACTGTCGATATGTGCGATACTCCAATCATATTTAGCACAGGTAAGTGGGTCGATGTGGCAAGGGTGTAAACAAGACTTTGATAGAAAGGCTAGTGGACGCTCTTGCCTCGGGAAAATGACCTTTAATATACTACTCGACTTTTGACAGGGATATATTTTTATCTAATGAACTGATTCTAATAATATGTCAAGTTCATATTCAAACAGAATGAAAGATCCTATCAAAAGTCGAGTAATTTATAAATCAGATATAATATAATTAATTTCATTGATGGACAGGCTACCCGAGAGAGTAAAAAGCATGTTTTAAATTTGTTGACTTCAGTGATGTAAGGTTCACAAATGTGAAGTAATCATTTATAAGATAAGTTAAATGGATATATCATCTCAATATATTTAATCTAAATCGATGTATGCATCTAAGGTAGCAGAAAAAAGCTACGTGACTAACTCCTATAAAACAATATCACATCCTGTTTTATTTTTGTTTGTTGTTTTACACCGCACTCAGCAACATGACGGCGGTCTGTAAATAATCGAGTCTGGACCAGACAATCCAGTGATTGACATCATGAGCCTCGATCCACGCAATTGGGATCGATTACATGCATCAACCAAGTCAGCGAGCCTGACCACCCGATCCCGTTAGTCTCCTCTTACGACAAGCATAGTCGCCTTTTACGGCAAGCATGGGTTGCTGAAGACCTATTCTACCCCGGATCTTTACGGGTCCATCCTGTTTTAAATCAGTTATTCGTCCATGCAGCTGTGAAGCTCACCCCTGGCATTCTCGCTCCCCTGTTCTAGAATGTACCTATACCCTTTGGGATTCAAGCGCTTCTTTCTCAGGGGCAGATGAGAAACATCAAAGATGGAAGTTTTGAACATCTGATGGAATACCCTGCCCATCCGGCTGGACTCTGCATCTCTGTCGCTGTTGTCATACAAAAGGGCTATATGACGCCAGCGGTACATCTCCAGAATTTTCTGCGTGAAGTCAGTAAATAGCCCAAACGGAGATAACTTAGTGACAGTGGGGTATTGCGTATTCTGGAGTACATCTGTGTTACCGCCAGGCGTTATAAGAGGGATATTCCAGTCCGCCGCCATAAACCCGAGGATTTCCACAGCGTCCCCACATGCTGTGAACATAAAATTAACATTTTCATCAAAGATTGCAAATATATCATTCTATAAATTCAAGGCAATTCATACGCATAGCAATATATACTATGCAAGTAAGTGATATTTTGTTTTGAGGTGAAACTGCAGGAAGATACACCAATGTCTGGCAATGAAAGAAATTCATTTATGTGGCAAGAACATTTTCGAAGAAATCAAGCTCCCAAACACAACATTGTGACTAGGGCTGGGACGGGTAACTCGGGTACTCGGGTCGGGTGGGTACTGAGTAGGACGCGGGTACCAACAGAACTTCCCGGACCCGTGGTTAGTCACGTGATATATTGTTTCATGACAAAAATTCACTATATAACTACATGTTACACGACAATTTTAAGTCTAATGTTCGCATTTCTTTATGACTATGAACACGTTCCTTCTGACTTATATATGTTTGAGCAAAGCTAAAACTTCAGTCAACTTCAGTGTATGCATGACCACATCGTTTTATACGTGTATCTAAATACATTCTGCCAGGGCTACTGTCAAACTATTCCCAATCGGACATTTTGTACCTGTCTCTTGACACCAACAGCGCGCGGCTACCCGGGTAGGGTCGGGTTATGGGGGTGTGAGTACCCGGGTAGTAAATTTGGACTCGTCCCAGGCCCAATTGTGACAGTCATGCATCACGTGACCTCGGATAGCACGTGCAAGGGGCGGTATGCCAGATTTACCATCGTCACCCAGACTCGGTTGTGAGCAGATGCATATCATTTTCATGGACCCAAAAGCTCAAATACACTTTATAAAACACATTTAATCATTAAGGAAGCAACAGTATTTAACATGCGACGTTTGCAATGTGCTGAACGTTTTCGTGTCATAGGCATGTTGCAGGTTGGCACATGTCAGAATAGTGTTTCTCAAACGCTGCATGTTTCTCAATATGTTATCAGCAGACTGTGGGCCCGATACCAACAAACACATAACGTCGATGCGTTTTGCAAAACTCAAATTTCGAAACGGCCTAGTGCGCCCCCATCTCATCACATCAACCATTAGAACCCATTTGATGTGATCACCGGCTCCCCAGCAGATATGATCATATCAATACCATATAGATCATAATATGTCTTTTGGGGCATAGTATAATTATTTAGACTAACACTTATCCACCTTTGCCTCGTCTATTTGATATGTACATATCAGTATAAATATACATCCCCTGTACTGGTACTGATCACAAACAACGTAAAAGCTATATTTGCGTTAATAGGCAGTTCATCTATTGACTGAGATTGGAGGTACGTGTAGCTCTAGACATTTGCAAGTGCGGACATTGTCCACTTAAATGCACAAACTGAGGAGCAAAAGAAGGTATACCGAGTTTTTTAATGTTATCAAAAATTTAAAGAACTGTTGTTAAATTTGATTCTACCTATTTAACTATCACTCATTCCTGGAGTAAGGGTAAGAAATGAATTTGCAATCACATGACCCCTACCACGTTTTAAATGTACATTTGTGCCGAAAAATAGCTAATTTATTAAATTTTCAAAGATAAGATATCTACGACTAGCATCAGCAGTTGAATATTATGCGAAAATACTTTTTCAGAATTTCTAAAAGTTTTGAATCAAATTATTTACAAAAAAAACAAAAAAACATGTGAAAGTATTATTTGAGTGTTGACTAAGCGCCAGTACAGTTCGATTTTTATATATAGTATCATTAACATATCAACGGACAGGTATAGTTCCTTTTGACCCTCAGTTAATAACTCAGCGTTCTTTTTTGAAAACCACAAAAGTGATATTTGTATGGTAAAGGATTATTTAAACTTAACTCAATTATGCCACAAACTAATTTATGACCTTTGATCACTCAAACCTACTCATCTTATTTAAGATGCATATGACGTATTTTCTACACTTCCTTTGTTATGAAATGTACGTTTGAAATTTAAGCATCCTTGAAAAAAATTAATTTAGTGTTTGCCTGAATGCGTCGACAAGAAGTTTTGTTTAAGAATGAAATTACCGTGCTTCTCAATAATAAAGGTTGGTGCAAACATTTGCTTGCAAATTCGAGAATGATCTATGTTGTTGACGTATACACAAATAAAAACCAATACTTTGGTTGTCATGGATATAAACATACATTTTCACATCAACAATAATTACATTAGTGAAATATCAACAGAATCATTAAAAATATTTAGTAATAGAATTGAATATATTAGAACGCATATTTCCCTTCGTTTCATAGTGACTGCCATAATAAACACAATAAGCTCACCTGGTCCGATGAAAGCTGTGACTCCCTCGTTGTAGTATACATCTGCTGCTATGGCACCGACTCTGTAGCTGTTGCAAGTGTTGTTACGAAAAGTGACCCGAAAGTCAATCGTATCACCATACTTCTTTTTGACTTTAGTTAACGCAAGATTCACTGCGGGCCCTGATCGAGGGAGGGCGAACGAGTACCGGGTATCATTCACTTCAATTGTTGCTATTTTGGCTACAAATCTTGCGGCCATAGTAAGGCTTGCGAAACACACAAGTGCACCTAGAATCAAAGCCAGGCCAATGTTTCTCATGTTTCGACCAGTGTCGACCGAGAAGTGGTCGGGGAAGTCAAATGCAACGCCTTGTTATACCGCAGGAAATGGTGCAACTTGACAGTTTGCCTCAAACAAGCCAAACTGTTAATGGTGCCATCACTGCTACTTGAGAACATGTGCAGTCCACATCCATATATCTCCATCCGTGTCAGTCCTGAGTGAGTGAGTGAGTTGGGTTTAATGCCGCTTTTAACAGTATTTCAGTTATATCGCGGTGTGTCAGCTTAATATGGGAGGAAAGCCCGAAGTGATGCAGGTCTCAGACGTTTACCACTTTGATGAAACCCATGAGCTGACAAACGTAGAAACATAATCGGGGTGAACCGGGATTCGAACCCACAATAATCGGTTTCTGGCGTGCCCAGCGAATAGCGGCGCCTTAGACGACTGTCCCCCCAAATACCAAAATGTTTAAGATTATCTAGACAATGTTCCTTAAATGTTGTCGAAGATGAATTTCATTTTCTACTTGTATGTTGTAAATATGAGGATTTAAGGAACAAATACTATGTACATCCAAATAAATACAAATTTATCTCTTTAATATCACTTGTGAGCAAAACGGCTTTACGAAATCTATCTCTATTTATAAATCATGCCGTGTTATTAAGAAATGAATCATTGCAATATGTTTAACCGCTTTCACATTGCCATTTATTCTGTACTATGGGCCTGTGGCCTTACAGCTATATGTAAATAAACTGAATTGGTTTACATTGTGAAGATACAATGAGAAGGTTTTAAGTTACACATGTGGTAATCCTGGTTGTGGCCAAAAGGTTAATCTTACGCTTCATGTTATCGGTGTTCTGATCTCGTTCAGTAACAGTGAACTAGCCAATTCACTCCCACTGACTTACCCACCCGAAATAGAAATAAAAGATACCAATGAAACAGCTTCATCTAGATTTGTTTCATTTTGAGAACTGTGCATAAAGAATCATACAGAGTGACAAAACACTAACCCAAGTTCTGTATGGCAAGAGGGAAGACTTCAACTTTCCAATAGTCAATGTTCCTTTATGTCGAACAATATTCCATCTGCTCCAGCTTTTGATGTGAACATTTCACAACTTATGAGGAACAATCGAGTATGCTCTTTCTGTGAACATTTCATTCGACTCTTGCTCAAAAGTTGTTTGATAAGGGTACAACATTCAAGGCCTCAGTAAAGCTTTAAGAAAGAGTTATGGTAGACATGTGGAGGAAATTTCCAATTTTGACCAGCGCATCAGTGACAAAATAATGTGTGATGCAATTCCTTATTTCGACTTGAACCATATGTTCCCGCGTCTTTTCAGGTGGAGACGTGAATTGCCTTTGCATGTGTTTGTGACGGGTGCCACCGGTTGGGCAGGATACGCCCACCGTTTAGCGAACACCTGATATCATCACTATTTAAAGTGATTTATAAACCCGTTCTCATGATATAGTCGAAATCGTACATGATTTTAGCAGAGATTCCTTATGATTAAGGAATGAATAGTGTCGCTTTTATTTGATAAATTGAAATTACCTTAGAAGTTATTGTTACCATTACCGATATCGTTTTTTTGGTCATTCTGCCATTTCTTTTAATTGCCATAATTACTTAATGACATTATATACTTAAAAATAATCAATTCTCCCCACACAAAAATTAGTCTCATTATACAAGACCTAGAATGGCTTATAATATAGCCTCAAATAAACCTCCAGTATGACTACGTCAAAACGCTGGATTTTTTGTTAAAGAACGTGAATATAGGGGCAGTTTAAGTGTGTTGCGTCAAGTTGTTGTTTTTATTTGGAAAACAAATAGAAATGGTACTGAAAGGCTGATTTTACCTTGACTCAATTACCCACACTACCCCCACCCCCACCCGTGAAAATAAGGGGTAGAATAGGTCTTCAGCAACCCATGCTTGCCGTAAAAGGCGACTTTGCTTGTCGTAAGAGGCGACTAACCTCATTTTTATAAAATTAGCGCACTTAAAATTTAAGTATCCTTGAAATCATAATCACCCAATTAAATCGACAATGCTACAAGCAGTTGTGTTTATAGATGAAATTAGCGTGTTTCGCAGTCACTCAGTCAATTATATACGTTGCGGCAAAAATGTCTTGGTCTTTTTGACAAATAAGGGGATTGTAGATAAAAATACATTTTCACATCCACGGTAATTCTGTTTGCTCCGGAAAGAACTGACATTAATTAAGTATATCGACTCTCACTGCGACAAAGAAGTGACATGGGGAGAGACGAGTGTCGACAGCGTAATGAGACATTGTCGGATATAACTTGTGCAAAGTAATATGCATCTCTTCTCTTTAAACTATTTACACATACTAATTCATTAGGTGATTGTTTTGTGGTTATCAGCTTGGCCATGTACAAACCGGCACCCCGCTGAGATGCTGATTACCTGATGATGTGGGAGTTTATGGCAGCAGTAAGTATGTTGGTGATTGTATGGAGCTGTATAATGAGCTATTAATATAGTTGACAAGGTATGAAGTAACGATAACAGTTTTCGCACGCGTCAGCACTTAACAGCAAGGATCGTTACCGAACATGGCCAAACTTCCCATAACTGTGATCCGTGTGTATTATGTCCTGCTTTCTTATTTAATGTGAACTATACAATGGAACGGAAATATGTAATCACGATTCTCGATGGAATTGATCTTTTTGTGAGGATAGTAGTGTGTTCCACATGCCAATGAATGCGGGATGATAAATAATAATATGTGACAAGTTGGGCGGAAATGGCAAAAATATATAAGTTATCACGCGAGTGTGTCTGGATGGTAAATATCCTGTATAAGGAAAACACAGTGTACTTAGCGAGTGTTTGTAATTAGCTGCGGCCATTGATAACTTCTCTAAGTGAACACTATGTTCCTTCGGACAATCACTCAAGGTTTGTTATGCAATCTTAATATGCGATCTTATAAACATTATTATTTTCGGTGGTGTCGAGCACCCCTAATGGAAAAAAACATACGACAAAACCCTTTCCATATTCAAAAGAAATCTCTGCTAAGAGCACAGTCCATTGTACGATTCAGACTTTATCATGGGCAGGTGTTTATGATTACGGTCGAATAGTGAAGATACCAGATGGTCGCGACAAGCTGAGCGTATCCAATCACAAACATTCTAAGGCATGAGAAAAAAATGATACTGGATATATGTATCGGTCAGCTGTTTCAGTAAATTCATTATTACATTATAAAGTCATATATGAACCAATTTCGTTATTCCAAAAACGAATCTTGCTCGAGAATGTCAACTAGTATTTTGCTCATTGCACGTTATACATCCAAGGTCGGAATCGTCAGTCAGTGGTCTTGTGATGCAGGAGAAAATAAAGAGAAAGTATATAGTCACTACAGATCGATCTCACAACTTGTACTTAAACACTTTATACAATTTAAGATACTGAAATATACAAAAGCCAACAAATATTGAGTTAGGAGAGTCCACATTAAAACATTCTTTAATCATACATTAACATGAAATAAGTTACATGTATTAAAACATGCAACAGCATATACACCACCAAATATCACTGGTGTTACATACACTCACTGTATTATCAAAATCAATGGTGTAACGTACTGACGAAAATGCTTGAAAAATCCTTTTCTGGCTTCATTTAATAATTAGGAATCATAGTCTCTTCTTAGGGAAGAGAATATATGGATTTCAACTTCTTTATTATGAGGCACACAACGTTTCGGAGTGTATGCTTACTCCTTCATCAGGTGAATATATTCTCTTCCTTATTCGTATCACTTCTAAATGCCGTTCAAAGACCCGATAGTCTTTTCTTGACATCTTACTTCCCTATTTGAAGACTCAGTTCAAATCTCGAAACATTGTTATTTCGAAAAGAATGGACACTTGGTGTAATTATTCCTGGACACACAAAAGGACCAACAAATGATGTAAATAATTTCAGAGGCATAACACTCTCCAGCATATTCGGCAAACATTTTATTTCAAGCATAAATAAAAGAATGGTATTTTGGTCAGAAGCTCTCGAGAAGATTGACGAAAAACAACCTGGATTTAGACGTGGGTCCTCCAAGACAGATAACATATATTTATGTTAGGGGATATTATTGATAGAAAAATACAGGGTAAACGTGGTAATTAGTATGCACTTTTTGTGGATATTATCTATAGTTTAAAGCATTTGATTCAGTATGAAGAAGAACATTATGTGTTTTTATTTTATTCTAAAAGAATAAGTAAAACCACGGGAACATTACTATGTAATAGCTTTTAAGATAGAAATAATGGTATATATCTCTTCTAATTCTTTATTAATGAACTTGCTGAACAGATACAACCTAATTATGATGGGGGCATTCAAGCATACCCCGAAACTAAAACAAATATGTATGTTACTCTCTGGTGGTAATATTGTTATGTTCTCAATTACTGTAAAATATTTATAAGGGTAAATAAATCAATCAGAATTATATTAAATAATTGGAAGCTCAATATAGATCGGACTAAGGTTATTGTGTTCAGTAAAGGTAATATGTATGTATGAATGTGCGTGCGTGCGTGCGTGCGTACGTACGTACGTACGTTTGTATGTATGTATGTATGTATGTATGTATGTATGTATGTATGTATGTATGTATGTATGTATGTATGTATGAACCAGCCTTCGTTGTGGTAGACTCTAGACTTATCTCTTGTCTCCATTTGACACACCAGCCATGTAAGGTAAATTGAATTATTAAGCTACAGTAAACTATGGTTATAACGAACTCAAAGGGACTACTAATTTTAGCTCGTTATAACCGTAATTCGTTATAAGCATATATACAGTATAACTATACCAAATAGTCGGGACTAAAAAGTTAGTCCGTTATATCCGTTAGTTCGTTATAAGCGTGTTCGTTATAACCGTAGTTTACTGTATTACTCGCATGTATTACTTTAAGAGTATCAACACCGCCAGTTACGATTACCGATGTTGAGAACAAACAGGGCCCGGAATTCATTCACACCAGTTAGTACCAGGTTTTATAATACCTTTTGAGATAAATACTTGTTGAACATTTATTCGCTAAGGACACATTTAATGTTAATTACGTTTGTGATGTTCTTATTTATTTGTATATGTGTTTATCAGTAAGCTGAGACCTAGTGCTGATGAAACCCATATTTCCTTTGAAATAATAAACTTATCCTATCTTATCTTATCCAACATATGATGCAGGAAGATCTCATCAGGTGCCATTAGTCCAACACCATCAGCATAGATGAGGGTTGAGATCATGCATTCATCATCAAAACTTACATCACAATGAAGATTATTTATCTCCTCATCCCCAGTATTCACATGTACGTGGTTTTCAAAATAAGGTGGGTGACAGCATGCACCCCTGTTTCACACCCATGGTTACAGGAAATTATATAACATTTAATCTGTAACTTTTTAATGTTCAAAGACCACTACACCTCTATGTAAAGACTTTGGATAGCATCAAACATTCTTCCCTCTATGCTTACTTTTTTTATATGATATGATGTGTCCTCTGTTTCTAAGTTGATCCCGAAGATCTCCTCCTGCTTTCAGAATCAAGCCATGTCTCCAGCCGGTTGGTGATACAGATTTCCTGGGATTTTATCGAGAATAACTTGTCCGGGGATAATCTTTAAAAAAAATAATTATGCTTCAGACTGTTGGAAAAATATCTTAAGGCTCTTAGTTTTAATTAAGATGGTTTTGCATCTGTAGCTGAAAACATTTCACTCTCCATATAAGGATGTATGAAAACTCCATGTAAAGTTGACATGTGTTATTGTCGCTGATTATGTTGACAAGCGACGCGTCATAGTAAGTGAATGGATGTCAAATCTAAACTTTCTGGAATGATTAAACCAGGCCTTTAATGGTGTAACCTCGAAAGAAAATAAGCTTTCAGTGATTTTGAATAATAAGTATTGAGAAACTAGACTTGAGCATGTTAGATATTGCTGGACATGAAAAATCGAAGTCATCCATATGCAAAAGTTTCAGAGTGAACGAGAATAATTTATTTCCTAAACATTGTAGATTATTTCCTTGTATTCAAATGTTTCGATAAAAAGAGTGTTTGTATTTACGGCTGCAGTATAATAAATTTATGTTGTTGTGGAAGGAAGGATGCTTCCTATATTTGAAGAGTGTGTTTGGCGATATTTACCATATGCAACCTCACATTCCTTTTCAAACCAACGGCGATTTGCATGATCTTACTTACTTAATAAGTAAGTAATAACGAAACTGTATATTTTCCACTTACAGGGGTATTTACCTACTCTAGATTCACAGGTTGGAGCAAGTGAAGCAATTTTGTCTTTAATGTCTTTTATAGCACTTATATCCAAGCCAACTGTCCCACTTTTTTGTGATGTTTCTGTTCCGTAGTTCTCTTATTACGCTTATTACTATGTGAAAATGGCTACCTATGTCAGCACAATTTAGATGTAAACAAAGAGGATTATGAACATCAGAGATTAGGTGTGAAGATCGGGGATAGAATAGGTCTTCAGCAACCCGTGAGTCCGTAAAAGGTGACTATGCTTGTCGTCGGAGGCGACTTACGGGATCGGGTGGTCAGACTCGCTGACTTGGTTGATGCATGTCCTCGGTCCCAATTGCGTGGATCGATGCTCGACGGTCCAGACTCGATTATTTACAGACCGCTGTCACATAGCTGGAATATTGCTGAGTGCGGCGTTAAACAACAAACAACTGTTGCCCTAACTATTCCTCTATTGCTGGGTAGTTTAGATAATCCTTAGTGAGTACATGTATCAACATAATTTTAACACCATATAAACGTTTAGAGTTTGTAAAATCAGAATGTTTGTCTTAGATATTACTTTTAGATATAATTTTTAGCACCCACAATGACCACGTGCAGAAATCATATAATGTATTTGACGATTTCTGTTTATCATTTGGGCACTTCAAGAATATAAGTACACGTGTGATTAGCATACATTAAATCTGCAAATTGTATCATCAGTAAATGCTATCCTTATTACATTTAAATCTATGCCATTACACCGATTCTCCAATGAATAAGGTCCAAGAACGTTAATACACTCAGGAAATAGGCAGATTGTTTAACTGGTGCTGCAGACACAATATTCAGATAACATATTTTAGCATAACACTCGATTAAATATCATGACAAATAGTTTCACATGACAGTGTGGGAAATATTCGAGTTTTGCCACATTTCTCTAATTTGAACCAGAGACAGGCCACCAATACTAAATCGAAGGCTTTCATTACGTCAGTGTAAATTTGTCAAGAAAGTAGATCTGGAATTTCTTCATTTATTTATCGTTCAATAATGGTAAAATAGCCAATTCACTTCCAGTGACTTACCCATCTGAGCTAGAAACTAAAGTCCGCGCGCCCGATCTATTTCACATTTAAGTCTATGCATAAAGATTCAAAGTAACAAGCAACTATACACAAGATTGGGATGAATTCAACTGTCAATCTTCTCTTTATCTCGAGCTTTCGGGTACAATCAAACATGTTCTGTCTACGAAAATGTCAAAGGGCGTCATACGACTCGTGCTCAAAAGCTGTTTGATCGAGGTTACAGCATTCAAGGCCTCTGTATAAGGTTTTGTGGCAGACATGTAAAGTATATTTCCGGATAAGTCGCATTAGGCTGTTTCACATTTTGTCTTGTTCAGGTGAACATTTTACATGCCTTTGCATGTGTTTGTGACGGGTCACCAACGGTGGGGCAGGATGCGCTCACATTTTCGCGAACCTGGTGACCTGGTGTCATCACTATTAAATTTGGTAGTGATGCATTAACACATGCTTATGACATAGTCGGAATCGTAAAATTGACTCTGCTCCTCGCAGTGATTTCCTGTGTCTATCAAAAGTTTTTTGTCCCTTTTCTTAGTGAGTGAGTGAGTTTGGATTTACGCCGCTTTTAGCAATATTCCAGCAATATCACGGCGGGGGACACCAGAAATGGGCTTCACACATTGTACCCATGTCGGGATTCGAACCCGGGTCTTCGGCGTGACGATCGAACGCTTTAACCACTAGGCTACCCGACCGCCCCTGTCCCTTTTCTTAACTAATAAGAAGCGTATATAACATAGCTTATGTGTGTCATATATAACTTTAAGACATCAAAAGGTGGAACTGACGAAACATTGCTCGACATATCTGCATAAATGGAAAGTTTACTAGTGAAAAGTCGAAGTCATCTCTTCAGTAATCCATACTGTTTTTTTAACTTATAATTATCCTCTTGTCATGTCCAATATGATTGTGTCATTTCACTAATACACCTGTTGGTGACAGTTATAAACAGATACAAAAAACACACTCGCCCAACTAGGGTTCGTGCCAAGAGAGGTACCAGTCAGAGCCCATTACAATTGCCATCCGATGGTCAAGTTTGTGGATGCTTTTTAATGTACTCCGAATGCATGCTCACTCACTCACTCACACACAGAAACCACGAAGACATCGTTTATATACTATCACTATTTATTCGCCGAAACACAACACTTATTAGGCAGCAAAATTGTTTCTTGGCCACATTTTTCTTAAAAGTGAGGAGGGAGGTGCAAACTGTTTTTAAACCCTTTTCATTGAAACGACGAATTATTGAATACAATGTCAGTTGTCCAACATGGATAACAGGGAATCATTCATATGACGCGGTAAACTTTAAAAAAACTATCTTTTATTGACAACACAATGATTGACGCACAGGATTTAAATTGATGAGCCGATGCTGGAGCCTTTTGTTAATAAAATAAAATAAAAGGTCAAGTCGAATTTTCAATGCATATTCTATATCAACTCAATAGACGAAAGAAGACATCCTAAGAGACTTTCCTCAAAGTACACAATGATACCTCCACGCCTGGCTAACTGGAGGACCAAAACGTTCATCGTGTTGTCGTGACACTATTTGCAGCCATGAAGGTCACATATTGAAGTAGTGCCAAAACTCACAACTCACAGAAACATATTAAATGATTTATATTTGCATACTACATTCATACTGCATAATGCTATATTCAGCAATGTTTAAAATCGGATTGGAATTATGTGAGTTAGTTTAAGACACCATTGCTTTGATCACATACACACAATTTCAGCTGATTGAAGGATATATCGAAAACTAAAGTTTACGATGAACTGGCGGACAGGTCGCCACGACAAATTCTCTTGACTTGAATTAAAAAAAAATCGTAAAACTCAAATGACACATGTGGTGTTTCTATTAAATTTTAATTGTCAGTGTAAGAGAATTAAGAAGGAATCGAGGTATTGAAGCTATATAGGCATATATACATTACGATAAAGATCATGACTTAACTTAAGTTAGGAAAACAGAGACTATATAAGGAGGAGTGACACTTTGCACAAACAAAACCAAAATTTATGACATAAAATAGGAGACACTTTGTTGATGAACTCCGGCTATAATCTTGCAAATTCGATATTGTCAGAACAAACATTAAAGGACGATCTTCCGTTTCTTTCCGCCGTGCTCCTCAGTTATCAGGTAGGTCAAAATTGGTCCCCCTTCGTGTCCTCGCCCAGCAGCCAGTACGTGTCCATCTTCCCCTTGCCCTGCAACGACGATTTTAAATGCGTCATACAATTCTTGCTCAAATCTTTGGCTACATCATTCAAGGCCCGAGTAAAGCTTTCAAATTGTTTTATGGTAGACTTCAAACGTATCAGTGCCAAACATTGCCTATTTTGACCATACCTTCCCATGTTTGTTCAGGTGAACACTTGATATGTGTCAATTAGCTTATCCCTTTTCTAAAAGCCCCCGGGAGATAACTTTGTAGATTGAGATGAAATTACAATACTTTTATCCATTGCAAAACGTCACCACTAGATGAAGGTGTCAAATGATATTCACCGTACAAAGAATGTACGTGTGCTTATTCAAACATAACGTTATGATTGAAATATGTCTGGACGTTACCGCAATATCGAAATATTAGAACGACCACAGATCTCATAACCAGGAAAACATTAATTGTATTTATATATGAGCAAAATAACTTTGCAGAGTGCATTACAAGTATGTTTATATTGAATGTGACAGTTTTATAATTTGACATTTGTGAAGTATATTCACAAGAACTGTTACAATAGAAAGGCCACACAAGTGCACAGCGATAATACCATATTCAGATTAAACAGGGAAAAAGTGCTCGGGTATAAACGCGTCATTTCACTTCACATTTCACCCTACACATGACTGAGATATTTTGGCGAAGAGCAGAGTTCACTGTGTGTCCACAAGTGCTTGTTAGTATCCTGGTAGGCAAATAAGAAAGTATTCCTCAAATCACTTGTTTTCATTAAAAAAATATTTATTCAAGTCATATCTCTGTCCTCTCTTTTAAGAAATATGTGTTCGAGAAACATGTATTTTTAATGCAGCCTACTGGCTGTGTGGAAATGATCCGACATGGAAGGAAATGCTTGCTTTAACATTGTTATGTCAGATACTGGTTTCCCACATGATCACAACCACAATAGTATTTCAATGGCCCGAATGAATAGCAGCAGAGAAAGCAAGTGTGCAAATGCACCCACCTGTCATATCTAATACTCACCTGATGCTAAAAGGTTAGCTGTCGAATCAAGACACATGGATAAATTGGCAATTATTAAATATCGAAACATGTGGTGGACCTGTGGGTAACATACACAAATGGACGAAAGTCTAATCCGTTTATAAACACATGCATGTACAGGTTACATACATTATGACAGGTTCCAAGCCAAAAGAGGATCGTTCTAATTATTTTTTTCAGAAATGGTACTTCAGGCTGATACCATCCTGACAAAAATGTATTACAACACCAAAAGAATTCGTGTGAATGGCGCATGTGTATTTATCCCTCGTAACCAAAAGAAAAGGACAAAATAATTCCCATAATCATTAGAAATATCGTCCATTGTTTGATTCCAATTTCATCATATGAATCACTATCAAATAGTGACTATACCTTGTGTTTGCGTTAAGGTTGTAAATTAGAATCATTTAAAGGCAAGAACCAAACTGAAATAAATAATTTTATCATTTTCTCATAATACAGTTTTTGCAAGGCCCGTATTTTACTACAATTATCATTTTAAACGTTTGCAATAGAATTGCTGAGTTTCTATTGTGCTTCAGTTTGTGTTGGGAGATGGTCTTACCTTAATATTAATGTTTCCACGCAGCGTTACCTTGAACGACCCATGGTTGTCCAAGATGATCTTAGTTTCCCCACTGATGTGAATCTTACATTCTGAAACAGAAGCAACCAGGTATCATTCTTGAAAGTAAACAAGGTACTTAGATTTTATTACGTTTAGGGATCACAACCCACACAGCTAAATGTACTGAACCGCAAAAGAAACGTCACCATGGATAGATATATGAGAAACCTTATTTGTCCAAACAGCTTAAACATACCTTGAGACATATTAAAGAGATGAAACTTGGCAAAACTGATCATCAAGGTTGAAATTACAGTGTCAAATGTTCTTAAAGTGAAACACAAAACTAGTCTCTGAGAAAATGGTATCACAAGTCAGTATTTGGTGTCTTCGCCATGTGGTTTGATGACTGCCGCGCAACGTCGGTACATGGAATGGATGCGGCGGTTGATGAAGGCCATAGGCACTTGAGCCCACACTCTGAGGGGCGCCTGACGCAGTATAGCTGCAGTTGTCGGCCTTGGTCAGACGTCATTCAGCCGTCTTTGAATCTCGTCCCACATGTGCTTTAAATCGGGACTGAGGGCAGGCCACTGCATGGTTCTGATGCCATTCTGCTGGAGAAAGTCTCTTGTTGCTCTCGCAGTGCGGGCACGGGCGTTGTCATGCTGAAACTCGTGGTTGCGGCGACGTGCCAAATGAGGTATGGCGTGTGGTCTTAAGACTAGATCAATGTACCGAGCTGCTGTGACACCATTGCCTCTCCCTGGACAGATGTTCTGGAACACCACAGGGCCGACCCTATGTGCAAGACCAATTCCACCCCACACCATGATACTCGGACCACCCCACGTGTCTCAACAACACAAGCATCCGAATAACGTTTCCCACGGCGTCGCCAGACTCTCTCTCTCTGCCATCTGCTGTTGAGATACAATAACAGCTCTCGCCTGAGAAGGGGACTCTTCTCCACTGCTGGTTGTCCACTGAAGACGGTCCCGGCGATGACGTGGTGTCAGAATGGGTCCTCGGTGTGGCCTGTGACAGTGGAGGTGTCTGCTCGTCAATCGTCGACGCACGGTGTCCGCACTAATGTGTCGCTGGTATGCTCCCATGGTCTGTCGAGCAGTTTCCGCAGCAGTAACAAAGCGATCTTGAAGATGCTGTCGCACAATCTGACGATCCTGACGTCGGGTGGTGACCCTTGGGCTTCCATTACGTGGTCGGTCATCTGTAGTGTTGGTGGTCTGGTACCGTTGCTTGACCTGTATATGGTCCTTACGTGCACTTGAAATGCATTGGCTACTTGCCTTGCGGTATGTCCAGCTTGCAATCGTCCATGGGCTTGGTGTCGCTGTTTTCTTGTCAATCTTGGCATGTGGTAGCAATTCAATAACGACAGAATGTTATCCGATCTGGGTGGATTTGTATGGGGCAAGAAATGGGAGAACGCATGAGGATTTCAATTTGCACGGAACTTACGTGCATCGGGTTACCATGGCCGTTGCCGTGATGCATTTGGGCGATCGGTTTTATTGTTTACCCAGATATTCAAATGACAACTTTTCATGCAATGGTACTTGGGGTGACGTTTCTTTTGCGGTTCAGTATATAATCAACAATACCTATTTCCGTAAGCAGATGCCATTGTACACACGTACACAGTTGGCACACGTCACAAAGGCAATTCAACGGGAACATAATTATGGTAGCGTTACAAAAAGCAATTGCATCAGACATCATGGTCGCTAATACGCCAAATTTGGAAACAACCTCCATATTCGATTATTTATATTGTGGTGTAAAGAAAGAAAGAAACAACAACAACATGCACTGATTTTAATATTGAAAAGGTGAAACTGGTCTACCTTCACCGTGAGATTCCATCCGGGAGGCAGTATTTACTGTATCACCGAACAAACAGTACCGGGGCATCTTTATCCCCACGACACCGGCACAGACTGGACCTAGAAAAGGATATACGCGTCAAGGATTAAAAGCATCAATAATGTTTCTTGTTGCCCTGGGTTCCACCAGGATATTTTCCATGCAGCTTAAGGGACAAACGAAAACATCAATGAAGCAACAGGATGGCTCAAGATGTACTGGGAAATGTTAATGCCATGAACAATAGTTACTGTCATCCTAAAATATTTCAACTTGACTACGTGTCTCTGAGAACGATCGCTTTTCTATTTCCTTTTTGGCAATAGAAAAGGACAGTCAGGGTGTTTAACTGTTCTCTATAACTTCTACCAAATACACCAAGACTGCCAGGTTTCAGGTTAGTGGTCATGACGTTAAAGGATAGAACAGAGTATAAACAGGCAATGACACGCTCATGAGCCAACGTTAGAAATATCATTAAAATAAGGTTGTTCCCTTATTAAACCAAATCGTGTTCTCAGAAATTCTTTAGTTACCCATGTCCTGTTAAGTACGTAATTGTGATTCCGTCTTACTATAGACGCGCCTATCTATCTGGTTGGTTGGTTTGTTGTTTAACGCCGCACTCAGCAATATTCCAGCTATATGACGGCGGTCTGTAAATAATCGAGCCTGACCAGAAAATCCAGTGATTGATATCCTGAGCATCGATCCACGCAATCCGGATATGCTGACATGCATCAACCAAGTCAGCAAACCTGACCACCCGATCCCGTTAGTCGCCTCTTACGACAAGCATGGGTTGGTGAAGATCTATTCCACCCCGGATCTTCACGGGTCCTGTCTATCTGGAACCACACCTGAATGCAAACCTATCCTGAGTTTCAGCCTCTCTTCAGGAAGATGGATGATCTTGACATTATCAATTGCCTGGAGTAAGTTGAGAGACATCCGCGATATCTCGGGGGCATGCATGTTTCCATTCCTCACCGGGAGACCAGACACCACCATGTAGGAATCTCCGATTGTTTCTACCTGCAAAAACACAGATTCTTAGCCATTCTTTCATAATATCGATGGGGGCACGATTCGCTGTGCAGAGTTGCGTCCCTTGGGGAATTCCAGAAACCTATGATTGTGGGTTCGAATCCCGGTTCGCCCCGATTATGTTTCTAGGTTTGTCAGCACCATACCCGTGCTCGTGGGTTTCACCGAAGTGGTAAACGTCTGAGACCTGCATCACTTCGGGCTTTCCACCCACATTAAGCTGACACGCCGTGATATAACTTGAATACTGTTAAAAGCGGCGTTGAACCCAACTCACTCACTCACTCACTCACTCACTCATAATATCGATAGCTGCGTTAAATATACACAACATATTAGGCTGTAACTAAACATATGTGCCTGCCTGATTGAACACGCATTAATTTTTGTAAATCAATTCCTTTTAGTCTTAGATTTTTGTTTACTGTTTTCACGTCTCTTTGTTTCTTAACGCCGCACTCAGCAATTTAACTCTGGTCCAGACAACACAGCGATTTCTTTCATGAACAACATGTCGTGCCGTCGGGGTACGATATCATGTCACGTGGTTCGGTCAGCGTAGTTTGCTGGGGACCAATGCAATCCCCACAGGGACCTGTGTAAGTTGCAACAAACGTCGTTGGCGATTACAACAAGCCGCGGTAAATGGGACCTCTTACCTTGTAGACGTCGTAGTTTTCAATGATGTCGTCGAAACAGGAGTATAAATCGTTCAGGAGGTCGACTACCTGAAAAAGAATACAAGTCGATTGAAATAACAGAATCGGATTTCAAAAAAGGTCGCCTGTATGTACTGGTGTTTTAGATAGGATAGTGTCGACAAAATCACAGACACAGTTCAGATATATCTCTGGGTCTTTGATTTGAACAATGGGAAATCAAAGGATGCCAAGTCTCACCGATGCACCGCGATATAAAACTGTAAAACATTATGATGCACAGTACAGTTCATCCCGTATGTGTACTAGGGGTGTCGATATATTGCTATTGGTAACCACTTAAAGGCAATAAATCGATTGTTAAATCGGTTTCCGATCAATAGTATCGATTTCACTTAGGAATATCGATAGTATCGATTTTATTTACCATATCAATAAAATACATGCAATGCTGTTCAAATTTGTTTTTCTTTTGATCATGAGTAGTAGTAATTTACACTTGGTAATGTGGAAGTATCTTTTTCTTAAATCATTAGGGTAAAGAAAAAACAAATCAGTCACATCTTAAACTTTGCTTTTTATTTGTTGTTATGGTTATTACATTCAAAGCAATCTTCAGTTCCAAGGTTTAATTCAACTCTAAAATCCATCTAAAATGACACACTGAAAACTATCGATATTTACCGCAATAGCTGCCTGTAATATCAACAGTTATCGCAATAGTTTCTTTCAATATCAATCGTTATCGCAATAGTTTCTTTCAGTATCAATAATTATCGCAATAGTGATTTCCAGACCAATAGTCGGCCCTAATGTGTACATATCGTGTTGTCGGAAGAGGCTTCTAACGGGATCGGGTGGTCAGGCTCGCTGACTTGGTTAAAGCATGTCATCGTATCAGGACTGCGTGGATCGATGCTCATGATGTCAATCACAGGATTGTCTGGTCCAGACTCGATTATTTACAGACCACCATCATATAGCTGAAATATTGGCGAGTGCGGCGTTAAACAATAAACTAGATTGTAAATAGATTTAACTACCTACACAGATTTACGATCTGGTGCTGGTCGACGTTTTCGCTTTACAATATGGTGACTGATTGTTAAGTCTGATCGTGTATCGAGTCTGATCGTATTTGTATATGTGGCATGATCGCAAAGTAAATCTGATAAAAAAATATATATTAATTTGATCGCATAAATCATTTAGTCTTATCGTGATTGAGTCTTGTCGTCTATTGCGTTTTATATATGTAGTCTGATCGTGTATTCTGTTTGATTGTGTGTTCAGTCTGATTATATATTTAGTTTGATGGCGTTTTTTAGTCAGATCGGGGGGCACGGGTGGCCCAGTCTAAGGCGCCGCGATTCGCTGTGCAGAGTTGCGTCCCTTGGGCACGACAGAAACCTATGATTGTGGGTTCGAATCCCGGTTCGCCACGATTATGTTTCTAGGGTTGTCATCACCATACCCGTGCTCATGGGTTTCATCAAAGTGGTAAACGTCTGAGACCTGCATCACTTTGGGCTTTCCTCCAACATTAAGCTGACACGCCGTGATATAACTGGAATACTGTTAAAAACGGCGTTAAACCCAACTCACTCACTCACTTTAGTCAGGTCTTGTGTTTAGTCTTATCAAATATTTAGTCTGATCATGATTTATTTAGTCTGATATTCAATCTGATCGTTATGTTTACTCTGATCGTATTATTCCGTCTAATCAAACTATTCCATGTGATCGTATACTTATCAGTTTTTATTTTATATATATATATATATATATATATATATATATATATATATATATAACCATTTTACTATTAAACAGAATAGTACACCTCGATAGCTATCGCATCGTGACATACAAAATTTCGTGACATCAGTTTATCGTCTAGTGTCAAAAGAAAACGCATGATATACTCCTGACTGAGTACCTGCATTGGGGAGGACTTCGATGACAGCACCGTGAAGTCGCAGATATCGGTGAAACAGACAGTAACAGACTCGAATGCATCTGGTGTCACTCTCTGACCCAGTTTCAACTGGTTGGCAACCGGTCTAAAAAAAAGTCGGCAATATGTAACTTGGGATGATTCTATATGCCATTCTCATTCTCAAATGATACGGTGAAAGATACTAAAGTGCTTTCGTATTTTACTGATACTATCTAATGAACGAGAGCTAAATTTAAATCAACTTTCTAATACAGTTTTCACGATAAATCTAAATGTATCGATTTGACTCAAATCAAATTTGGTAGAAATATGTAGGACCATATATATTCTAGTTACATTAAAGTTATATTATTGTCGTGGCGAAAATGGGACAAACAATATCATATTTTAATAATATGGACAATTACTTCATGCTCATCGGACAATCACCAGATAGTTGACCCTACCGTCTTTTATTACCTGGGTAATATTTGATCCAGAAGATCCTCTGTCTTCTTCTTCTCCTCCTTCAACTCAAGGGTCTTCTCATCCACCAGCTTCTCCAGGTTGTTGGCATACTGCTCCATACGACGCAGGAGACTGTCCACCAGACTCCCATTGGCACCCATCTGACTATAAAGCCATACAAGTTAATAAAAGCGACAAAACCCTTTCCATATTCATAAGACATCTCCGCTAAAAGCAGAGTACATTGTAGATTCCGATTATATCATGAGCATGATTTATGCATCACGTTCAGATGGTGTTATATCAGATGAACGTATCATGGTCCATCCGTACCACAACATGTACAGGTAAGTCGACTGTTCGCCTGAAAATCACGAGAATATATAGTACAAGTCAAAATTGTGAATTACATCAGGCACCATTTGTGTCACTGATGTGTCCAAATTGGAAATTTCCTCAACATTATGTCTACCATCAAACTTTTTGAAAGCTTTACGAAGCCCTTGAATTTTTCAACCTTGATCAAACAACTTCCAAGCAAGAATCGTAATGACATTCTTTGAAATCTTGGTAGAAAGTGCATTCTCGATTGTATCTTAATAGTTGAGAAATGTTGACGCCAAAGGCTTGGAGCTGCTGGAATATTGCTCGACATAAAGGGAAAGCTGACAATTTGGAAAGTTGAAATCTTCCCTCCTGTCATACAGTCTTGTGAAGCGGGTTTTGTTACTCTGAATCTTTTTTTACATAGATCTGAAAATGAAACAATGTTCGCCTTTATTTCTAGTTCATGGGTAAATCAGTGAAAGGGAATTGACATTCGAGATCATCGATATTCCTGAAGTTTAAATGTGCCAAACTGCCTTGTTTTGACTTTGCCAATCCGAGCAGATATTCCGATTTATATGCATACAGAAACAGCTTAGCAAGATGGGGAGCAATAATAAAGGATGACTTGCTCAAATGTGTCACATCATATACAATGATGTTAATAATAAAAGCAAACAACGAGAATGATGTATCACATTATGTTTTCCCTTTAACATAAGGTTAAATATGCAGTAACAACCTCGTTTACATATAGTACATACATTGCTATCTCGTTGATGTCTCTCTTTACGTTGGCCATTAGAGGGCGATGATGCGCCAACTCTGACCAACAACGTATAGCCAGGTCCTTTACTGGCTTAAAACTTTCAGGAACATTGAACTCAGGGCGAAACGGTTCTCCTTCCATATCCATGATGTTCTCGATAACACCTAGAGAAGGGAATAACTGTCACAAAAACACATGTACATTCTGTAACATTAAAACTCGCTTCATTTTTCCAGGAATCAACATTGCTCCTCATTCGCATATACAGAAACAGTAACACTCAAGTGACTCGTCCGTAGAAGTCGCAGCGAGACCTTGTGTACATATTTGTTGGTGAAAAGCGTCATACGTTATTAAAATGTCTTCTTTCTAGGTTTGGTGTTTATTTTATGTGTGTGTGTGCTGCACAACTCCGAACTTAGCATTGATTTAAACATATTTGTATTGACTTGTCAATCTCTCTTTCGAAAAAGAACATTTTGCGTACTGGGTTTTGGCTTGCGATAATTCATGGACTGCTCTTAAAAGAACTGATTTTACACTTTGCAAAAAGTTTACATTACCTGACACAAAACGTACAAGACAGAAATAAATTGATAAGGGAAATCAAGAACATAATGAAAAGCATTTTCACTTTCTGAATCACAATCGCGAGACTGGGTGTCACTGAGATGTACACGAAAAACTCCGACTTTAACGATATACAAGAAGATTGTGGCCGAGCAGATGAAAAATATTTCCTTTTCTGTCACCCTGCAAGTAGAATTGCGGCAACGTTAGAGAAACTTTTTTCAAAACTTGATAATGAAGTGGTGTCCTTTATTTCAGAATTTTGGCGGGAAATAGTTCTAGTTGTAGGAATTATAAAATTTGTTTTATTTCTCAGATTATTGTGAGACAGTTTCCTTTGTAGGTGGAAGAAAGTCTTAAGGCGTCTCCGGTATCCGTTTCTTTATTTGAACTTTGTGAAATGTACGAAGATGATTATGTCGTTGTTAAGCCAAACAGTTTCATAATATTAATTAGATTTCGGTGCAAATTTAGGTTAACCTGTGACAACTCTTCCTTCTTCTGATTGGACTATTTAACGTTTATCTTTGATTTCTACGGTACAATTGTCCAAGACTCATAATTTGTATTCTAAAATAGGAAAAATATACATGATAAATTACACTTTTGACAAAACGTTTCAATTAATCTTCTCAAGCCTGAAACCATTTTTTAAATTTGCCCCATAACAGAGGTTAAATGGTTGGATGATTTTGTATTACCAGACAGAGTTACACCAAGTTTTTACACGCTCTAACCGATGAGGATTGTTAACAAGATCAGGTGCTTGGCAAATTTTGTTATGACTAAAAAGCATAAACTTAGTTTTCTTAGGATTGGTTGGTTGGTTGGTTTGTTGTTTAACGCCGCATTCAGTAATATTCCAGCTATGTGACGGCGGTCTGTAAATAATCGAGTCTGGACCAGACAATCCAGTGATTGATATCATGAGCATCGACCCACGCAACTAGGATACGATGACATGCATCAACCAAGTCAGCGAGCCTGACCACCCGATCCCGTTCGTCGCCTCTTACGTCAAGCATAGTCGCCTTTACAGCAAGCATGGGTTGCTGAAAACCTTTCTACCCTGGATCTTCACGGGTAGTTTTCTTAGGATGAAACTTAACCAGACCATATCTGCTCAAATATATAATTTGATAAGATCATTGTTAAAACTATCTTCTATAATAGTTTTAACATTTTATGCAGCAATTCCGATAGATGTGTCATTAATAATACTTAGCATTGAAAACAATAGTCAGGATTAGTCAAACTAGCGATTGATATTATGATATATAGGTTCGACTTCCATGATATGTCCGGGATCTCATTCCATGACATTTGCAGGTAACTCACACTCCACGCCAATGGTCACAGTCTCCATCCCGAATGGTGCATCGGCGGTGAACACTTCCTGTAGAATGATTCCGAAACTGTAGACGTCGCCCTCCTTGCTGCCGACCAGGTTCCCGGACCGCAGTAATTCGGGAGCCCTCCATAGACATTCTGAAGCAATGTAAAACCAGTTGGAGTGCATGCCGCCATATGAATACTATGAATACTTTTATTGACAAGTATCTTTATTTCCCAATCTCAAATTTAGTTAGGTGTTAGGTTTAACGCCGCTTTGAACAGTATTTCAGTTATATCACGGCGTGTCAGCTTTATGTGGAAGGAAAGTCCGCAGTGATTCAGGTCTCTGACGTGTTCCACTTCGGTGAAACCCACGGGCACGGGCATGGTGCTGACAAACCTAGAAACATAATCGGGGCGAACCGGGATTCGTACCCACAATCCCCCTCTGACCCCCGACCCCCTCACCCCCGAATTTTGAAAAAGGAGGCGAAACGATTCGGCGAAATGGCTGCCACTTGAAGTAAGTGTTAAGTTTGCTCAATGTTTATCATGTTGCTTTTATCCCATTACCAGACGAGATCAGTATCACGGAAGCATGTGACGTCATCTATTGTATCATGACGTCTGTATCAAGACGTCAGGGTGATGTCATGCCATTCCAGAGAGACGTCATGAGTGTCGCACAACACGTGATCACGAAGAAGGAGAGAGGGCATTAGAAAATAACTAACGTTTCTGTTTTAAAATGTTGTTAAGCATTGTGTTTTAAAATTTGAAAGTTTCGATTACCGAAAATGTATACAATTGAAATGTCCGGGCATTGAATACTCAGTGAAACTCCAAAATGAGTTACAGTTAAATACGTTTATAACGAACACGCTTATAACGAATTGACAGATATAACGAACTTATTTTTTGGTCCCGGTCATTTGCTGTATATTTGTTGTATGTATGCATATAACGAACTACGGTTATAACGAACTAAAAATAGCGGTCTACTGTATACGGGAAATGCATGTGCTCACGTGGTGAGCACCCCATATAAATTTCGCGTTGTGATACACCTGATACAGTTGACATCGATGAAATAAATTCACCGCAGCAGCAGCGGCAGTTCTTGTTAAAGCGAATTTCGAATTAAATGAACTGGTTATATAGATTCCTGGGAATTGTATTCAGTTTGATTGTTGAGCATCATCTGGTTATATTTCACAGATGTGAAAAAAGTCGTATGACACTTCACTGAAACTGCACGGGCTATTTCACTGAGCTGCAGTACCTCTTGGCTCTACTTATTTAGTATTTATATTTTTGTTGTTAAAGGACAGATCCGTTACATCTCATATACAGTAAACTACGTTTATAACGAACACGCTTATAACGAACTGACGGATATAACGAACTTACTTTTTTGTCCCGATTATTTGCTGTAGTTATGTATATATGCTCATAAGGAACTATGGTTATAACGAACTAAAATTAGTGGTCCCTTTGAGTTCGTTATAACCGTAGTTTACTGTATACTCAATTCAAGTTTCCATTTCTCACTTACTGTGTTAAAATTAGAACAAAGCGTGAAACATGGTTAAACAAACAGTGAAAAATGTTTTACATGATGATCGAAGCGTGCCAGCGCCAGTGTTCACAATTTGGGTTAATATATTGAGTTTTTGTCAATTATGTATGGATGTACGGTTTCAAAGAAAGAGAGTCGGTATGTGTAATAGAATATACATGCTGAGAGTGTGGTAATGGATATAACATACATCAGCTAAGTTGATAATTCAGATGCGGAAGAGACTGGTGTGCCTTAACAATTCCCACCTTGTTTGAACTCTTGCGACTCATCGCTGATCATGAGTTTCGAAAAAATAGAAGTCGGGCCAAAGTCTGCAAGTTTGACCCTGAATCTGTTGTCCACCAGACACACGCTACTGGTCAGCCTTCCGTGGTGGTGCAACAAGTTCTCGTGGATGAAACACAAACCCTGAAAGTGTACCAGCTTCTATAGCAGTGTAAGAATCATACAAAAGGGGCTGGCAATTATTTCTGAGAAATTTGTCCCCGATAAAGAAAAACATTTACTTAATATGTCGGATGCTAAAACATTCCCAAAAATATGTGTGTTTCCTTTTTTTCCGAGAAAGAAAACGAAAGTCTGGAAGCACTGATTAAAGAAATGTTATGTCGCCAACTATCTTCCCTGACATCGGTCCAAGAATATAAAATCGCCAATCGCTAAATACCCTTAATTGATTGATTGATAATAATAATAATAATAATAATAATAATAATAATAATAATAATAATAATAATAATAATAATCCGCAGTTTTCTGAAACGAGCCAAGGATGTGGGACATAATCTCAATGACGGTGTTGAATTCGTTGATGGTTCTGTACTGCTGAACGGTACAGAATTGAGTGTCAACCAAGCGAAGTGTCATATCAAATCGGCCCAGACTCAGTTTTTCAAGGAGAAGCTATCTGAACGACCTCTGCATCGAGTTTATGTGCAGTGTGTTGAGAAAATCAGCAAATCCTGCAGTGTCCTTCGCTTGGATGAAGTCGTCTGGCCTGAAAAGTGAAACAGAAGGTTTTCTGTTTGCTGCCCAGGACCAGTCACTTCCCACTCGAAACCGTCAATGTGTGATTTTGCATCAAAATGTGAATATGAAATGTAGATTATGTAATGAATTTAATGAGACTGTCCAACACATTGTGAGTGGATGCCAAGCTTTGGCACAAACACAGTACCTTAAACGACATGATGGTGTAGCTCGATCATTTTATCACCGTCTTCGCCATGCTTGTGGTTTTGACACAAAGGTCCAACCATGGTACGACCCTGAATATGTAGAGGCGTCATGGAAAATGATAAATACAAAATCCTTTGGAATAGGCCCGTTTTCAGCCTCAGGCATATCCAGGCCAACAAACCTGATCTTGTCCTTTTTGATAAATCAAATGAAATCATTTATATCATTGAATTTTCGGTCCCCCCTTTTGACAGTTATGTGATTGACAAGATTGAGGAAAAATTGAGGGCAAATATGCAGACCTCGCTTTCGAAATGTCACACTTGCATCCCAAGTACAAAGTTGTCCAATTCCCAATTGTTCTCGGTGCCTTAGGTTTGGTACCTCCCAATCTGTTGACTGACATTGGGAGAGTACCCGGGTTTGCTACCAGGAATACAGCCCTTCTGACAATCTGGGTAATGCAGAAGCCTGCTATGTTGGGGAGGCTTCACTTTCTCCGAAAAGTTCTCGGTGGGTTTGACTAGGCAGCGCTTCCTGGGAGAAGTCCCATTCGCTGTCTGGGCAAGGGCCCGAAGCTGATGATGAGCCTAACCAGCCTGACTGTGCCAGGATCAACCAAACCCTCTTTGCTGCATTTTTAATTTTAATCTGTAAATAATTATAATAATAATAATAGCTGAGTACATGTTTGCATGTGTTTTTGCAACTGAATTAATACATAAAACTCTTCTGACTATTAATTGTTTTGTGAAAAGTACCTTGATAATATCAATACATAAAGCGAATTTGAGCTCATCGTCCATCTTCACCTCCGCGTTGCCTATCATGTCCTGAAAGTAAAGAAAAATCATGTACATAGTTAAATTCCTTCTTTGTAGACTTCATGGTCAATCTCAGTTTTTTATAATTAGCAGGTACATGTAAATGTCAAACAAGTATAACGTTTGCTTCTGGTTGTAACGAGTTACATGGAGTGGTGTCAGCAACAGTGGTACTAGGGATCATACATTTCGAGGTGACCTACACCCGTCGATGCCCGAGAGATACATAGCTTTCCCTGTGTCGATAATAACCACCACTCTCACGCCCTGACATCTTAATCCTCTAAACGCGATTAGCAAACTTGTGAAAAGTTGACCGAAGATGTCTATGAATCTGCAATCAGCATACAGGGAGCATTCTGGTAGTCAGCTGAAAAAGTATGTGATGATTAACCAACCTGTAAGGTGCCTTTGGAACAGTAATCTGTAAGGATATATTTGTCATCACCCTGGACACAAGCTCCAATTACTCGAACCAAATTGGGGTGATTGAGATTGCGTATCTGAAGATAATAAACATTCCATTATCAAAAGCATGTACAAATATTTTCTACTTAACATTCATTTTCATCTATTCGAGTATTCACGTAAGCGTTCTCTTCTACAAGTAACGATTGTCATTCATAAGGGTAATCTTACGTGCTCAAACTCATCCAGTAGCTGTTTATCATAATTGATATTTTTCATTGTCAGCATCCTCAAACGAACTGGCAAACCCTGAAATTTAAGAGAAACAATTTATACACGAAAAAGGCTTTCCGCTTTGTCTAACATGGATAGTCGAGATACCTGTCCATTTTTGCCTAAAATCACTGACGTGCGTTTTAATATATTATTCATGTGAATATTATTAACAACAACAATGATAATTCATACGTTTACCAACGATGAATTGCTAATAACTTTTCGAGGAATCGTCAGTATGATATTGTATACTCTGTGACGTACTGTTATAACGCCGATAAAATCGTAACTCAAATCTCAGAAGATGAGCGAATGAATGTGGTTAAACGTCTCTTTTGACAACATTCCAGTTATGTCACGGCGTGTCAGCTTAATGTGGGAAGAAAGCCCAAGCCCAAGTGATGACAAACCGAGAAACATAATCGGGGCGAGCTCGAGCCCACGATAACAGGATACACACACACACACACACACACACACACACACACACACACACACACACACACACACACACACACATATATATATATAGTAATAATTAAATAAGTGGAGTAAGATTGAACACAGTTTTAATAGGCTAGCGCTTTCAACTCGTACCACGTACGAGTCTCATCAGGCCATAACTGAATAACGGACATGAAGTAGTAGAAGAGAGTTAGAACTTTACTGTGCTTTATATATATATATAATTTGGGATATCAAAGGGATCACTAATTTTAAGTCGTTATAACCGTAGTTCGTTATAAGCATATATACAGCATATATGCGGCAAACGGACGGGACCCAAAAATAGTTCGTTATATTCGTCAGTACGCATAAACTCTTTATTGTGTGTGTGTATATATACAGTAAACTACGGTTATAACGAACTCAAAGGGACCGCTATTTTTAGTTCGTTATAACCGTTGTTCGTCATATGCATACATACAACAAATATACAGCAAATGGCCGGGACCAAAATATAAGTTCGTTTTATCTGTCAGTTCGTTATAAGCGTGTTCGTTATAAACGTATTTTACTGTATATTCACTTTACTCGTGTCCTCATTGTCGACCTTTTGGGTTTTAACTTGCAAATATGTCTACGTTGGTGACCCACTCAGGATAGCAACAAGAACTTCAACCTGGTGAAACAATGGACAAACCACACCCTGATGGTGTAAATATAATACATCCTATTGCAGGTGTAGGACGTCATACCTACCTTGTATATAGCGAGGTTGGCCTTGTAGTCGGGCAGGAGGTCGCTCTTGGGGGTGATGGAGCTGAACCGCGATGAGAGGGACTGAGCTGACAGTCTGTCGTTGTTGGTGGCCGTCATCAGCTTCTTGTCGTCAACCATCCACCACCACCTCTCTATCTTGCTGGCCCGTTTCCACAGACTACTAATACGGGGAATGATCAGCGGGACAACTCATTTAGAATTTACGATGTGGCACATGTGGAATGGAATCGTAATTGTTTGAAATAATAGTAACATGAAGACTTACACGTGCATTTGTCGGAAAGGATTGACGAATGCGATATAAATGAAGATATTTGACTATTAAAAATATATTAAACATAAGAGGCTTGTGTAAATGAATCTGCTTGTACACGTTCGTATGATATAAACGCTACTGATCGTGATGTACAAATATGAATGAAACACTGACGACTTTTAGATTTCATTGAAAATAGGTGAGCTTCTTCTAATTAAGTTGTGTGTGATAATCATTCAATAGCATATGCATAAACTGAGGAGTCTCACCTGAAGTAGACCGCAAACACGAGGGCGCCAATCACAAACAGAAAAACCAATCCGCCAGTTAGTCCACCGATCAACTTAACGTTCGCAGCTGAAAGGGTGAAACTCATCTACAGCATGTATTTGTTTGTTTGTTTGTTTGTTGTTTAACGCCGTACTGAACAATATTCCAGCATTGTCTGCTATTGACGGCGGTCTGTAAATAATCGCGTTCAGATCACATAATCCAGTGATTGACATCATTACGATCGATCTACGCAATTGGGATACGATGACATGCATGAATTAAGTCAGTCACCTCTTACAAGCAATGATTGCTGAAAACTCCTCGGATATTCAGCTTGTAGAATTGGTGAGAACTGTTTAGCGTGTAACTCAAAATCTATTTCAACATTTACTTGATGTTCCATGACAGTCCTTCCTTCATTTCTACTAAGGATAGTGGTTAATGTTTGATACAGGGGTTTGTTGGTACATTAGCTGGACCCAGCAAAATATCTCACCGTTGTACGGATGCTTATGGAGCTTATTCAGTACAAAAGAGGAATTGGTCTGTCTTCAGGCTTCAGAGTCGAATCCAAAGCTGTTAGTACTGATGTATGATTTGGCAGATTTTCTCCTCAGCATACTGATCATTCATGTGATTATGTCATTATATGATAGGTCACGTATATCAAGCTCTTGGGAGTAAGCCTACCGCACCACACTCATGGGAGAACCGCAGAATTGGTAGAAATTATTGCCGGAGGATTTCTGGGAACCGAACGCATGTATAACAACGTGGTATATAATCTCTGAAGAGGGAAAGGCCAAAATGTGGTTCAAATGGGCAGACGGGATACTAAAAATAATGCAAACCGGTTAAAACATCTCTGAATCTGTTGACCCGAAAGTTCCACTTACTCTTGTATTCACATCTGTATCCTTTGAAACCGCACACTGGTACGTCAAGAGGAGGACTGCTGTTCTTGGGCCAGATTATTTCCTGGTTCTCTGCCCGCTCGTATATCCGTTCTTTACCCATGTACACGCCCACTACCTGCGGGACAGACAATCAGTGTACTGCTGCAGCTAGTGAGTGGATTGGAGAGCTGAACAGTGCTTCCGTTACTTCACAGCGTGTCCAAGTAATGTGACAAGATTATGAAGACAAACAAATCAGACAGGTCACAAGCTGTAACGACCCGATCCTCATTAAAAGACTGTTTCCCCAAAATTGTGTTCCTGAAAGTCCCACTAGGGGCATCTCTGTCAGGGAGTGTCTAACAACTTGATATAAGTTTGTTTGTTTGTTTTTTGTTCAACGCCGCACTCAGCAATATTCCATATATTATGTATACTATATGACGGCGGTCTGTAAATAATCCTGTCTGGACCAGACAATCCACTGATTGACATCATGAGCATCGGTCCACGCAATTGGGATACGATGACATGCATCAACTAAGTCAGTGAGCCTGACCACCCGCTCCCGTTAGTCGCCTCTTACGACAAGAACAGTCGCCTTTTACGGCAAGCATGGGTTGCTGAAGACCTATTCTTCCCCGGATCTTCAGGGGTACATAAACGAAGTATTTAGCCACAAGAAACCACAGTGACATCCTTGTGTAGCCATGATGGCTACCTGGAGAATTAAATGAACTTGGATTACCTACCACGACCTCCCCATTCTCTGCGATGTCATGCAGCGCAAGGTTCGAATATCTCCCGTTATTCTCATTCAGAGTGATGGGACCAGCTATGCCTGTTGAAATCAAATACACGTAGCATAACACACTGGAAAAACGAAAAAAAAACTTATATAAAGTACAATGTATATCTAACATTGATAACGGGACAAATCCTTACCTGCGGGCCCTTCCTCTTATTTTCTTGAATACCATACCTGTACGAGGGTTGTTTGAAAAGTTCTAAGCCTCTCATAGAAGGAATTGCACAAAGGTGAATTTTGTTGTGGACATTACAGGTGAGGTGAGTTGAAACTGGGTTGAACGTCGCGTCGAAGATTATTGCACTTATGTAGCGACGTGCATGCACGTGTTTGTGTGGGTGCTTGTACCAGTCGGGACTGATGCCGATCTATAGTGCTAGCACACTGAGATACCATGCCGCAGTTTAACAGGAATACCCCACTCAGACAGTGTACTGACTCCGAGCCAGTCCTTGTTTTAGCCCCTTTATGCCGAGCGCCAGACAGGGTAACAACAAGTACCATATTTTAACGTCTTTTGGTATGACGCGGCCGGGGATCGAACCCCGGACCTTCCGCTCTCCGGGCGGACGCTCTACCACTAGACCACGGAGGCGGTCGGATATTACAGGATGTCATAGATGTACAAATGTATATCAACAAAGACTTGAGTCTTTTGAGCAATTTTTTTTAGTAAAATATGCAGGGTCTGTGACCAAATACTTGCAGGAATAGGGCATACCAGGTTTTCGCGAAAAGGTGAGCGTATCCTGCACCACGCGTGGCAACCGTCACAAACACATGCAAACTGCTGTAACCTTTGAGGAAGAATCGTATGACGCAGTTGGAAATCGTGGTGGAAAGAACAAGCTCGATTGTACCTCAAAAGTTGAGAAATGTCGACACCAAATGTTAGAGCTGCTGGAATATTTCTCGACATAAAGGGTAATTTCACTATTAGAAAATAGATGTCGTCCCTCTTGTCTTACAATCTTAAACTTCTTGACCATATTACCTTGTTTTGATTTTGCCAATTCGAAGAGATATTCCAATTCAGATGGATAATACACAGATCAGCAAGAATGGGAGCACAACTGGTGACCTTTGGGACCTACTTTGGGACCTACTTTAAGCTTAAATGTTTTACTTTTACCCCAAAATGTTACATAGATGTTATCAGTTTCCTCAGTAAACTTCAGATGACATTTGCTTTATATTTGTTAAATTGTCCGGGACCTCTGAAGATAGATATGTAACTATGTCTATCTATGGTCACTACGTTCAAGGTCAAATGGCTCAAGGAATTAAGGTTTTTTCCTTACGTTTGGTCATGTGGAATAGAGATGTACGCTTATTTACAGACCGCCGTCATATTGCTGGAATATTGCTTAGTGCGGCGTTAAACAACGGCCAAACAAACAAACAAAGTTGAAAAATCAAATGTTTTGACAGAATTGATGTGGTTCTTTCTGGGATTGCAAAAGTTCAAGCAAATACTTGAGAATCCACATGGTATCAATTCCACTTGTCTCAAATATTTTTTGTGAATATAAAGAAAGTCCCTAGATTTTACTAAGGATTGTGGTTAATGTTTGACACAGAGATTTGTTGGTACATTTGCTGGATCCAGCAAAATATCTCTCCTTTGTACGAATTTTATGTCATGTGATAGGTCACTTATATCAAGCTCTTTGATCAATTAATTTATGTAATTGTGTTTACATATAATGGTGATGTTATTTGATGCCTTGTCGGCGGGAACAGCGTTTCGTGTAGGACATGCAGACTTTGGATGACATCCAATCTCAATAATCGCAGACAATCTCAGCCATTCTCAATAATCGCAGCCAATTCTCAATAACGTCAGTCTATCTTAATAACCGCGGCAATTCTCCATCTCCAAAGCCAATCTCTACGACCTCAACAATTCTCAACAATATCTGAGCCATTTATGATAATCACAGCCATTCTCATTACGATCAGGCATTCTCAACAATCTAATCAATGTAATCAATCTCAGACAATCTAATCAATCTAATCAATCTAATCAATCTCAGACAATCTCAACAATCTCAGACAATCTCAACATTCTGAGCCAATCTCAACAATCTCAGACAATCTCAGACAATCTCAACAATCTCAGACAATCTCCAAGCCTCAGCCATCTTTAACAATGTCAGCCAAAGTCAGCAATCTGAGCCAATCTCAACAATACCAGCCATTCCCACCCAATCTAAACAATCTCACACAATCTCACACAATCTCACACAATCTCAGCAATCTGAGCCAATCTCAGACAATCTCAGACAATGTCAACAATCTCAACAATCTGAGACAATCTCAGACAATCTCAGACAATCTCCAAGCCTCAGCAATCTTTGACAATGTCAGCCAAAGTCAGCAATCTGAGCAAATCTCAACAATACCAGCCATTCCCACCCAATCTAAACAGTCTCACACAATCTCACACAATCTCAACAATCTCAACAATCTCAGACAATCTCAACAATTTCAGACAATCTCAGACAATCCCCAAGCCTCAGCAATCTTTGACAATGTCAGCCAAAGTCAGCAATCTGAGCAAATCTCAACAATACCAGCCATTCCCACCCAATCTCAACAATCTCACACAATCTAAAATATCACAGACAATAATAACAATTAAAGACGATCTCAACAATCCCAAACGCGCTGAAGCGGGTGCTGGTTTGCGATTTACCCTGAAATGTCCGGTTTCTCATCCTCCGGGTTAGCTCGCGGCCATCATAGGGATCTCCGCCGTCCGTCAGCGTCTCGTTGAGGACCGAGGCATAGATGCTGAAGGCGTTGTAGTATCCCACTATATCACTGATCTGCTTTAATAATACGGAGACGAGGGTTAGGACCAGTTATGTGCATTTTGAATCATTCAGCAATATGTCCATGTTCGAAACATACTGATGGGAAGAAATAATGGGAAACATTACAACAAGGCAGAATAATGTTGCTGAAAATGTAAGAAATAACTTCAGACAGACAAAATAAACCGCCTGGCAAATAAGTATACAGCCATGTTTGATGGTGGCTCAACATGAAACAAAGAAGTAATGGCTATTCGATGGGGATGTATTTGATGCGGGTGTAATCGTTGCGTTTTGCCCCAAAAGTTTGCTGTGTTTTGGCGACTGTTTTCAAGCTTGTAACTTTTTGTGACGTTTGTAATGTTTTGGTCACATCCAATTTTCAAGTGAGTACTTTCTTTTGCATGGCAGTTTACATCACTGGCCGATCTTATAGCAGTCAATGGTTGAATTGGCCTCGGATAAAACATATACATATAATTTGGGTCGCAACTTCAGGACTTGTGCATATGCTATCCAAATGTATCTGGTGAATCTCAGTACAGAGGGAAGTATATACGACATTTATTATTAAAGCTGCAACACATTCTGGTGCTTGGCAGGGTTTTAGGAGAGTAGAATCAATCGCCAGGTAAATATGCAACTTACGTGCCAGCACTTTTTACCCAGCCGCTGACCACTACTGACCACTACGTACACACCTACACTTTACGATGTAACATAATTATGCTCAAACTCACATCATCCGAGCGTATACTGATATCGTGTTTCTTCTTCGCTTTCTTCCGTACAGCGTCCATGAATATCTGGAACTCGGACTTGTTCGAGTCCAACAAGGAAAGGAACAAGGCGCCCTGGAAAGCCTCTAGTGCAATCTGTAATATATAACCTTCTTGTGATCACATGTGCAGGATTAGGCTAATGTGGACCCCTTCCACCATAAGAAATCCTGCTTGCCTTCCTAACCTGTTTATCAATCACTATAAAATAGTGATATTACCAGGAGTTTGCGAAAAGGTGAGCTTATCTGTCACCACCGATGGCACAATCACAAACACATGCAAAGGCTAGGTAAGTGTTCATATGAACAAACACGGGAACATATTAATTACGATACAAGTCAAAATTGGTCACTGCAACATACAATGACATGAAATCAACCATGTCAGCGAGCCCGACCACATGATCCATTTGTCCGCCTCTTACGATCAGCATGGACCCATTCTTGTCCGGACTCTCGACTGGGAAACTATACATACGTCATTATAGGTAAAAAGATCAAGACACTCTGAAGTAATGAGGTTATATTACCTTACGAAACATCGAGAAATACGTTATTCCATGTGAACAAATAACGTTTCAGTCGAGCCTCTTATGTGACAAAGATACGAGTACATTCGTGACTAACCTGAACATTACTGCCGGGCTGAAGCTGTTCTTCCGTTAAACATGCCCCACATTTGGAATTAAAAATAATTCATTGTAAATATACCTCGTCCTTGCCGTCTCCCCTCTTCCACACAGCCTCTGTGATGGCCTTTCTGAGTGATATGGTGACGATGAAGGCATATTCCCCGTCAGTATAGCCCAGTTGGTGTGCCACAAGCAGCATGTCGCGGATATCTTCAATGGTGGCGTGAATGATGAAGACTGAAACATTAGTTCAGTGGCATATCTGATGAAATGACAATTGCTATTTTTTGTCCAAAATTTATTTGTATTATTTGAACTATTCAAGTATATATATTGCTTCTGACAATAATATTTTAAATTGATATAAGAAAGTCCATGTGAGTGAGTTTGGTTTAACGCCGCTTTTAACAGTGTTCCAGTTATATCACGGCGTGTCAGCTTAATGTGGGAGGAAAGCCCAAAGTGATGCAGGTCTCAGACGTTTACCACTTCGGTGAAACCCACGAGCACGGGTATGGTGTTGACAAACCTAGAAACATAATCGGGTCGAACCGGGATTCGAACCCACAAACATAGGTTTCTGGCGTGCGCCTTAGACGACACGGCCACCCGTGCCCCCGCGTGTCCATGTTGATTGATTTACTTGATATAGAGTTGCCTATAAAGCTGTTTCAGATTATACCCATGGGTGTATAAATACATATTATTTCAAATGTTTGCATTGTTTCTGAATGTAAACAGAAAATATAAAGCATCTTTAACCACATTTGCATTCCGAACTGCTCAATACATTACGTTGAATTTATGAGCGTTTAATTCGCTGTAAACTGCATATTTTGACAGATTCTGGAACGAAGGTTGAGTTCCATATATATGATTGTAGTGTCAGGGCTATTGAAGTGTTAAGCTGAGATGAGATGGGGTTTTACCCCGCTTTTAGCAACATCACGGCGTGGTACATCAGAATGAGCTTCACATATTCTACCTATGAGGGGAATTGAACCTGGACTACAGCGTGACGAGGAACTGCTTTAACAACCCGCCACCTCCTGACTGGGATGCATATCTAAGCATATTATTCATGTAAATACACCAACACCATTATATGAGGACACATCGCAATCATTGGCATCTTCTAAAATACATTTATTACATTTATCCATCTTGCTGCAAATTTACTCTCTCTGTTGTCTGTTTCTTGTTTAACGCCGCACTCAGCAATATTCCAGCTATATGACGGCGGTCTGTAAATAATCAAGTCTGGACCAGACTCATCAAGAGCATCGATCCACGCAATTGGGATCAATGACATGCATCAACCCAGTCAGCGAGCCTGACCACCCGATCCCGTTAGCATAGTCGCCTTTTACGGCAAGCATAGTCATATGCAAAGATGATGGTAAGGTGAAATTGGGTTCAATGTCGCGTTCAAGATTATTGCACTTATATAGCGACGTGTATGCACGTGTGTGTGTATGGTTTGTGTATATGTGCCTATTTATAGTGCTAGCCTACTGAGATACCATGCCGCAGTTTAACATGAATACCCCACTCAGACACAGTATACTGACTCCGAGCCGACCAGTTCTTGTTTTAGCCCGTTATTGCCGAGCGCCAGACAGGGTAACAACAAGTACCATCTTTTAACGTCTTTTGGTATGACGCGGTCGGGGATCGAACCACGGACCTTCCGCTCTCCGGGCGGACGCTCTACCTCTAGGCCACGGAGGCGGTCTGCAATGATGATGAACAATAAAATCTGTTTATACTAAAGCAACAACGAAGGAACGACGAAATCCTAACATAATGTTTAATGACATGAGTTCTGTTACAGTTATAATTACTTTACCTATTTCATTGATAAATCGTATACCGGTACACATGAAAATATACGTATGATATATAATTGTGGAACATACATTACTCATACATTTTGCGCTTTAGATTTACTTTATGACCAAAATACTGTCACTTTTAATATTTGTTGAAGTAATGAAAGCATACTTCTTGCATTCTCGCTTGCCTCTTTCAGGATATTCTCGTAACCTTTGTCGTTCATCTCGCTGCTCGTCATTGCGAAGTCTGTCCAATCATAGTCAGTGTCCATGAAGAAATCCACGAATGTATCACCCATGAGGCTCGACATCGCCGTAGGTTCGCTGTTGTCGTAGATGATGGCTATGTGGTTCCAGCCGTAGGAGTCAAGAAGCTGCACGGTGAATTCGGCAAACTGTTCTTGCCCAAAAGGAGAAAGTCGCGTCAGGGTGGGAAAAAGGGTTTTGTTTTTCAGTGTCCCTTTATACCCAGCGGGCGTTATGACGGGGATATTCCATTCCTTGGCCATGTAACTTAGTGTCTGTACTGACACCGGGCAGGCTGAAACAATATCACACGGTAATCCTAAGTACATACAAAAACTACTTAAATCAACTACAAGGATTTCACTAGATTTGAATTACATGTACGTTGGGGTGAGTGAGTGGTTGACAATCTTGCAGCTAAATAATAATAAGTCCATATACTGTGCCAGATTCCATTCACCAAGTTAATGCTCATGGCGCTACATAGTGTTAGCAAGTAATGCTACTGAAAGGGAAGTACAGTTGATAGTGTTGTCTGAAAAGGTGTGTTTTCAGATGAGCCTTAAAGGATGAAAGCGATGGCGACAGCTTAAGATCAGATTTGTAGGCCAGGGTTAGAATTTTGAATTCAATTCTGGCCCAGCTATTCGCGAACGGTCTGTTATTACTTCACAGGCGTAAGCCAAAAGTTGCTCTGAACAAACTATGACAATGACATGTGTGTTTGTTGTTTGGCATCAGATATTTTAATTGGGCCCTATAAATAATTTTGGACATCTAGTGATCGATATGATCGACGACCCACACTGTCAGGATACGATGACAAACAATCAACCTGATCACCGAGTCTGACCACCTTGGCCGCCTCTTACGACCAGCATAGGTTGCCCGGGATCGATTCTTATCCGGTACCCCCACGGTGTGACATCGAAATGCTTGCTATTGAGGGTATTAACTAACATGCCAGAAAGACAGTGCTGTCTGAAGCGGCTGGTCTTCAGAAACAGATGCAGACAATATTACACCATGTCCACTAAAAGGATAAACATGAGAATAAACAAATAGAGGTTTGAAACGTAACTATATATCCGAATGAACGCTGTAACTCACCTGGTCCAATAAAAACGCTGACACCAGTTCTATGATAGACATCCGCTGCGGTTGAACCTATCTTGGCAGCGTTGCACTCAATGTCTCTGTATTCAAACTCGAACTCGATGAAGCCGGCGTATGTTTCTCTCACGTTGTCAAGAGCCAAATTAATAGCAGGGCTAAACTGACGAATGTCGTTATTGCCAGCAGTATTGTTAACTTCTATCGTTGCTACTTTCGCAACAAATATGGCATCCCCCAAATAGGTAATACTACACTGTGTAACAAGCCACCAGCAGAGATGCCACGGTTTTGCCATGTTGCTTTAGATCTGGAAACTGACCGACTGTTCTGGTGTGCCTTGCAGATACAGTGATGAGAGGATAAACAGCGTCTGTGTCGTTATTGTCAGTGACGGGTGAACATATGTCACATGTAATTGTTGCGAACGGCCTACGCCATCATCTGCAGCGAGCGTTATACACACAGGTGTAATTGACGGTTGACAGTGTAATTTACAGATCATTAGAGCTGTTATGGTAATTATCATCCAACTGCTAAGTGCTTGTTGGGCTATTTCCATGTGTTACGTAATAAGGTATATTGTACCAAAAAGACAAATTTAACCCAAAAAAACGCTGCATACCCCATCGCACTCATACATGTGCCTTTCAGAAAGCGCGTTTGGTTTCTACACAATTTTCACAACCACATTTTTCAAAACTTTCTATGAAAACTTCAAAGAGCGCCATAAGACAAATGTTGTTTGATCAGGGTTACACCATTCAAGGCCGTCGTAAACCTTTCAAAATGTTTTATGGCAGACATGTGACGGACATTTTCAAATTAGTCGCATCAATGACCAAACTGATATCCGATGCAATTCCCTATTTTGACTTCCCTTTGCATGTGTTTGCTACGGGCGCCACGGACTGGGCAGGTTACGCTTACCTTTTCGTAAACATCTTTTATCACTACTATTAGTTGATTGTGATTTATAAACACATGCTCATGATATTGTCGGATTCGTGCTATTGACTGCTTTTAGCAGGGCAGTGTAATGATTTTGGAAAGGGGTTTGTCGCTTTTATATCACCCTATCTTATATTGATCTAATATGTAATTGATTCGGAATAAATGTTAGAAATATTGAAACAGTGCAGCCCCACATACTATTGCGAGCAGTATTGTTAACTTCTATCGTCGCTACTTTCGCCAAAAAATATGGCATCCCCCAAATAGATAATACTACACAGTGTAATAAACCACCAGCAGGGATACCACGGTTTTGCCATGTTGCTTTAGATGTAGGAGTGAGTGAATGGGTATGGTTTTACGCCGCTTTTAGCATAATATTCCAGCAATATCACGGCGGGGGACACCAGAAATGGGCTTCTCACATTATTTAGATGTGGAAACCGACCGACTGTTCTGGTGTGTCGTGCTGATAAAGTGAAGAGAAGATAAACAAGCTTATTATTTGTGTGAGATGAAAATGTTACAAACTTATTGTTGCAAAACGCCAATGTCATCATCTGTAGCTAGTGCCGTACACATAGGTATAATTGACAGTTTGTCACAGACCATTTAAGCCTTTATAGTAATTATCACCTAAGTGCTAAGTGCTTGTTGGACTAATCCCATGTGTTAAGCAATGAGGTATATTGTACCCATAAGAAAAATCGAACATGGAACGCTGAAGCCATTGGTCTACCCCATTGCCCGCATACAGTAATCGCCTTTGTGTCTACATTTTACAACTTTTGAGGTATGGTCTTTCTATGAATACTATGAATGACTATTACTCAAATGTTGTTTGATCAGGGTCAAAATTTATGTTTTCAAAACGTTTTATGGTTGACCAAACTGATATTGATGCAATTCCCTATCTTGACAAGGGGGCACGGATGGCCAAGCGGATGGCCTCATGCGCCGCGATACGCTGTGCAGAGTTGCGTCCCTTGGGCACGCCAGAAATCTATGATTGTGGGTTCGAATCCCGGTTCGCCCCGATTACGTTTCTAGGTTTGTCAGCACCATACCCGTGCCCGTGGGTTTTACCGAAGTGGTAAACGTCTGAGACCTACATCACTTACTGTTAATATTGTTAAAAGCGGCGTTAAACCCCACTCACTCACTATCTTGACGAAAACCATTATAACGCTTGACTTTCCTTTAGCTATTTCAATGAATGATGCCCCCAGTGGGATAGGATACGCTCACCTTTTCGCAAGCACCCGTTATCATCACTATTTGATAGTGATTCATAAACACATGCTCGTGATATTATCGGAATCATACAATGGCCTACTCTCAGCAGAGTTCTTTATGATTATGGAAAAGCTTGTGTCACTGTCATATCACCCTATGTCATATTTATATAGAATGTAATCGATTTTGTAAGAAAGTTCCTATGCTGGAGGTGAAATGAAATTAGGTTTAACGTCGCGTCCAAGATTATTGCACTTATATAGCGTCGTGCATGCACGTGTGTGTGTGACTGCTTGTACTAGTCCGGAATGATGCCGATTTATAGTGCTAGCTCACTGAGATACCATGCCGCAGTTTAACATGAATACCCCACTCAGACACAGTATACTGACTCCGAGCCGACCAGTCCTTGTTTCAGCCCCTTTATGCCGAGCGCCAGACAGGGTAACAACAAGTACCATCTTTTAACGTCTTTTGGTATGACGCGGCCGGGGATCGAGCCCCGGACCTTCCGCTCCTCGGGCGGACGCTCCGCCACAAGACCACGGAGGCGGTTCCTACGTTGGAAAATAATGGAACAGATAAAACAAACTAGAAGACAGTTCTAGTTGTATTTACGACTTACTCTCTGACCCTATGTGCATTGATCCTCATACGTGTGTATTCACAGCCAGAGTGTCGCGAGTCCAACTCAGCAGTGCCAGAGATGTAAGCAACATCATCATCTCAGATTGAACTGACATTTGCATGCAAATCTGTCTTGAAAACAAAGGTCGAAGTAGCATGTTATTTTTTTTTTTAAATTAAGAAAAAAAACACAAATCTCTTGCAAGCCAAAAATAGCTATGACAGTGTTATTTGATGAAGCAATGTGACAAATATAAAAATAGAATTGTCAAAACAGTTGGAAAGAAATCCCTCACGTCGAATGCGCAGAAGCGGCTATAAAATATCTAAACATATGAACACCGTCAATCTGTGGTTGTATCTATCACTCTGTTGCATTGTCTACATTAATGTTCTTTTTCTCACTTGGTGAAGGTTTGAGAATGATTAGCATTTATCAGGTTTAGGACCTTGATTTGGGATGAAATAAACAATCCATTCTGAAAACAATATACTATTTAGTATATTTGAAATATTCTCAAGACGTCTTTCATTTACTTGGAGTTCTGTTGGAGGGTTCTCGTGAATTCGTTCCAGAAATACACTCTGCTATCGGTTAGTGTCGGAGTAAAAATGATGAAATTTTTGTTGTTGAATATTTTATTTTTATCAAATGCAAAATACATATTGAGTGCTCATTTTTTACAAACTGGGATACCTGTCATTGATAAACAGATCTTAATCTCACGGGCAGTCGGGGTGTCTCTTTGTTATACGACACGCCGAAGTCCTGGGTTTTATCCTCGATATGGGTACACCGTGTGAACCCCATTCTTGTTTCCCCCGACCTGATATGGTTGGAACAGGACCAATCCCATTTTAAGATAAGATCTGAGTTCTAAACAAAGTATTGAGGACATCCCATTACGGGTCATGCCAGAACGACCTTTCGTCCGACCAATCAGAGCGTCTGGAAATCAGAACTGTCAGGAAAGTGGCAGTCTGAATTTGTTTTCTACTTATGCAACCTCAAAATGGTTAACATTGGGTATTCCGAACGACAGTTACGAGCTGTGCGACTGAATCTATCCAAACCAATGTTTATCTCCTGCTTCAGGGGGATAAACATGTGTATAGAAGTGTCTTTCCATAGGACGTATTGCCCTACAATCTAAGCCATCTATTAGACTTTCTAGAACATTCAACCCGCTGTGAGTGGGTACCCGGTAGGATGAGATAGTATTGTGACTGTTAGCCTAGTGCCGCACATGCAGCTTGGTCCTATGGGTGATGAGAATGAAAATCGAGTGCACACTCATCCATTCACCTGGGTAATAAATCGCTGTGCGCTTTGCGCATGATAAGTGCCATACAAATGGACTATTGTTTTAAATGGACCATTATCATCTTGCAGTCTCGTGGAGCTTGTAAAGTGCCAAATCAGTATCAACGTCAACCTTATGAGAGAGTGAGTATGTCTTAACGTCGTTTTTACCAGGGGGGCGGATGGCCAAATCGTCTAAGGCGCC